TCTAACCTGGGACCCTTCAGTCCGCAGGCCTACGCTCTATCCACCAAGCCAAATCAGTTAGGGCTCAAAACCTTATATTTAAAGTGAACTTTCGTTGGAATTGCCAAAGGTTGAATTTCTCACCTTGTGGTTGAGACCTGGAGTCAGAGAACCTGGATTCAGGTCCTCACTCTATCACTTATTAACTGTTTACTCTCTTCCTCTTGCTCCTTACTATGGAAAGAGTTCTATTCTCAGCTTTTGTTTTTCTTTCCCCTTCTCAGTCAAAACTCCCTCCTCCTTTGGCCATTTATATTAGTGACTCTAATAAGCTTGTTGATGTATATTTAGAGCAACAGTACTATATGGTTTCTTTCCTACAGTCCCACATGCCTAGCTGCTAGCTGGTCATCTCCATCTCCTTGTTTTACCAGTTCTTCAAACTCAACAGCTCCCCAGTGTCTTATCATTACTTCCTTATCTGTGGTCACAGTATTCTTTCTTCACAATCAACCAGGCTGCAAACATCAGAGTTATCTTTAACTTACTCCCTCAGTTTCCAAGATTGGGTAATTCTACTTCCTTTGATCAAATCCACATATCCCCTCTTTCCTTTTCCACTTGCTATATTTTTGCTGTAAGTTTTTAAACAGCCTTCTGATGGGTCCCCAGTGTCTTATCATTACTTCCTTATTTGTGGTCACAGTATTCTTTCTTCATAATCAACCAGGCTGCAAACATCAGTTATCTTTAACTTACTCCCTCACTTTCCAAGATTGGGTAATTCTACTTCCTTCAATCAAATCCACATATCCCCTCTTTCCTTTTCCACTTGCTATATTTTTGCTGTAAGTTTTTAAACAGCCTTCTGATCTTTCAGCTCATCTCATTTCTAATTAACCTTATTATAATAACTACAGAGTCAATGGTCTTAAAATACTTATAATTGCACATAACTGCCTACATGCTCTAAGTTGGCTGCTATTCTTAGGTAGTAAGAAAAATATTCACCTATATCCATAGAACTGAAAAGAGTACAACTCTCCCAGTTTATTTGTTTTTTAAGTAGTATACTAAACATCTATGTACATCAACAAGTATCAACTGAAGGTCAGTATTCCTTCATTTATATCTATGCCCTTCCCATACTCTTATATTATTTAGAAGCAAATCCAAGACATGTTATAACTTTATTAATAACTATTACATAATTTTATTTTTTAAAGAATATATTTTATTGATTTTTTTACAGAGCCAGTTTATTTGTTTTTTAAGTAGTATACTAAACATCTATGTACATCAACAAGTATCAACTGAAGGTCAGTATTCCTTCATTTATATCTATGCCCTTCCAGTACTCTTATATTATTTAGAAGCAAATCCAAGATACGTTATAACTTTATTAATAACTATTTCATAATTTTAAATAAAGTCCTATTTTTTAAATGAGAAACTTAAACTCAAATTTCTGTGTCATCTTAAGGGTCATTGAAGGAGAGATAGCTGTCAAGAAAGCAAGATGAATTTTAGCATGTTATCTCTAAGTCCAGCTCTTCTCCCCCTGAACAGGGCTTTCTTTCTTTCCTTTTCTACCACTCCCACCTGTTGACATTCTCTTCAAGGCTATACATAAGTATGACCACTTCCATGACTCCTCTGATAAGCACTCCTATTACATATGATCACTTGTTCAAGTACTCTCGTACCATTTTATTTTACCTCTTTTGTGGTGTTTCATTCTACTTTGTCTTATAGTTTGTTTCTTTCTTTTGGTGGAGGAAGTGGAGTTGACAAATCTATCCCAGTAGATTGTAAGAATATAAGAGCAGCAATACTATCTTTTAAATTTTTTGTAAATCACGTAATTCATAGTTCTGCTAACAATGGCAGCCTGGGTCAGAATGGGCACATAAAGAATAAACTTACACAGAAATACAATTTACTTTATTGTCTGGTCATTGATTTGACATTTAAAGAATATTTAGCTCTACAATTATATTTCTAACTTTTAATAAATCCTATGATTTTTTCCCAACCTTCATATGAAATTCTGAACATATATGTTAAATTTCATATTAGAAGTACAGAGAGACTATTAATTTATGTGGGTATTAAACTATATAAACCAAATGTGTAACTGATGGGATCTCAAATGGTCCCATGTCTCCATGGTGAGCTTCCATTTCCTGGTATGGCTATGACCCCAGAATCCCAGAGGTCAACCATACTAGAAGCTGGGGATGAAAAAAACAAACACCTAAGCTAGGGAAAAAGAAATAGTTCCTTATTAGGTTAAATGTACTCTAATCATTAGTTTTGAAATGGATGCCTTACTTGGTTTGGCGATGGTAAATGCATCTCAGTCACCCAACTAGCCAGCCACTCACCAATGCAGGTTCCATTTTCCGCCTTGGTCATCCCGTTGGGGCAGAGATCAATGCACTTGTAGCCGCCACGGGTGTTCTCGCAGTGCTGGTCTGGTCTGCACACGTTCTGGCGACACTCGTTCACATCTTCACAGGGGAACAAAGGGCACGCAGACTGAGAAGATGACTGCGTCAACGTTGCCATAGAAACTATACTTTTAGACTTTAAAGATATTATAGACTAATATAGGTGTGGACTGCATAATCATCAAGTAAAGTTACAGTGCTTAAATCCAAGGTATGTGACACAATTATAAAACATAATAATAAAAATCGAAAACATGTCACAGAGCTGGCAGCCATACCAACCATTTCCTCCTCCAAGAAAAAAAACGTATACATATCTGTATATACACATATATATGCATACTAATTATTGTATTATTTTCCATGTGAACAACTGTAAACCTACTTTTGCCCCATCCTGTGTTATACTTCATCCTGTGTTATACTTCTGTGAAAAAATTTGGTAAAAATAATAGGGGAAATGTTGAAAAATGGTTATGTAACCCGTGAAGCATAGCATTTGCTTCCATGTTGTTTTTATAAAGACTATATATACGATGCATGGTAGGTATTCTATCTTTAAATCAGGCTCAGGGCACAGCACATGAACTGGATCAGACACCAGTAAGAATTACAAAGATACTATGCTTTCGAATTCAAAGCTCTTTCTTACCCATGCATTTTCTGCCCTTGAGCTGATACCCAGGTTCACACCCACAGTGAAAACTTCCTATGGCATTGAAACAGCGGTGGTGGCAGGGACTGGACTCTTGACATTCATTAATATCTGTTAAATAAAGCAAAACTTTCATTATCTTCTGTTAGGAAACTTGGATGAACTTATCCCAAATATTTAACCTTTGAATACTCTTTGATAATTATTATGTTAAAGATCTTCTGTAAAATGAATTCAACACAATTGCTCTCACATAATCTGCTAGATAACGGACAGGATTAATTGCTGGAGAGAGTATCTCTCTCTGCAATACTCCTACCTCTGCTAGTGACTCAGAGCTGTGTTGACACAGCACACCTCTACTTTGAGTACTTTACCATGTGGCTCCCACTCCTGCTTCCAGGAAGCCTCAGCCCTGGAATGTTGCTGACAGACTGGAATACGAAGATAGGAAAAAAATAAATTGAAGCTAAGGACTTCTGCAATACATTTTGCAATTGACCTTTCGTCCTCATTTCTGCTGCTATTCATGTGAGGCAGGTCTTTATCACCTTATGCCAAACTGACAGCATCAACTTTAGTATTTCGCCAAATCAGTCTTCCCAAACACCGTCTGCATCACAGTGTAACAAAAAAGTGCAGGATGAACTCTCCCCACTCATGTACTGCCTTCTCCCCTCTCCTTCCTTCCAGGCCCAAAGGAGGAGAGAGCTCTTCTCCTGTTTAAGAAAAGTCCCCCCTACTGCAGCCCATCTCTTCCTTTCTCACCAAGATGAGGATTGTGGTCCATTGATAATTCCCTGCTCTTGTGTATTTTAAAGTCCTTCCTACTTACTGTCATCTTTCCCAAAACCCCATAGACACAACCAAATATTTCCTATCCTAACAAAATCCCTCTCTTAGATTTATACTCATTTCACACTTCTCCATGCCTCTGTCATTCTATTCTCAACTCTTCAAAACAATAATCACCATATTTAGGCTCTTCTTGTCCTTACCTTACCTTCCCAAACTCAAGATTGCTGATGTCTTATTTTGTACTTGTTTTCTATTTGAGAGCTTCTAATTTAATCTTTCAAAATCTGCACGTACCCAAATATGTTCATATAATTTAAAAAAGTTTTCATATACTTTTTTCTCTTTTGCTTGGCCCCGCTTATCCTTTACTCCCCTGCCCACCAAAACCAACCTGTAATAACTATCCAGTATAAATGATAAAGTCTCTTCCATGTACCCATATATAGCTTTACCTAAGTATATAAATGCATTTTCTTTTTCTTTGTTATTGTTTGTTTCCTAGTCACATAATCTTTTCTACACAAGTTACTTAGACTTTCCTACACTTTGATGTCCTCAATCAACAACCCCATTATGGAAATCCTTTAAGCCAAATAGTTGAGCTCCATTCTACTCTTTAAAATAGCAGCACAACGGTTCCTTTTGTGGATGTACCATAATTAATTCATTTTTTCCTATTATTGATAGGCGTTCAGTTTTGCACCCACTGTCTCTGTTTCTATGAAAAAATCCTGATAGCAGCTTTACCCATAATTGCTAAAACTTGGAAGCAACCAGGATGTGCTTCAGTAATAAACAGGTAAACACTGTGATACATTCATACGATGAAATATTATTCAGCACTAAAAAGAAATGAGCTATCAACCCAGGAAAAGACATGGAGGAAACTGACATGCATACCACTAAGTGAAAAAGCCAACCTAAGAAGGCTGCATACTATATAGCCTTACATATAGGTTCCACCTATACGACATTCTGGAAAAGGCAAAACTGTGGAGACAATAAAAAGGATAGGTTCCACCTATATGACATTCTGGAAAAGGCAAAACTCTGTGGTTTCCAGAGATTTGGGGGAAGAAGGATGAACAGGTGGAACACAGATTTTTTAGGGCAGGAAAACTTATCAGTGGTTTCCAGAGATTTGGGGGAAGAAGGACGAACAGGTGGAACACAGATTTTTTAGGGCAGGAAAACTATTTGTATGATATTATAATGGAAGACACATGTCATTATTACTTTGTCCAAGCCCATGGAAGGTACAACACCAAGAGTGAACTCCAATGTATACTATGGACTTTCTGTGATAATGATGTGTCCACATAGGTTAATCCTTGGTAAAAAATGTGCCACTCCAGTGCAGGATATAAATACTGAGGGAGGCCGTGCATGAGATGGGGCAGGGGTACGTGAGGAATATCTTCACCTTTCACTCAATTTTTCTGTGAACCTAAAACTGCTCTAAAAATAGAGACTATTAAAAAATAGTCCCACAATAAATATTCTGTAGTCTGATGCAATGGAGTTCAATAAAGTAGATTTTTATTAGATCATGCCGTATAATTTCCTCTCTCTCAAATATAATAGGCAAACGTTATTCAAAACCACCATGCTGCAAACGTTTGAAATAGCCATGGTATATTACATCTGAAGACCCCCAATTGAGAAGCTCAATCTATAAAAGTGTTCACTTTAAATGATTCAAAAGTCAGGGTGTCTTAACTCTTAGTATCATAAGATAAAGCAAAGGCCTCCATGGTTATACCTTGACAACTCATCCCATCAGAGGTTCTTCGAAAGCCAATTCCACAGCGGACCACACAGCGATAGGATCCAATGGTGTTGTCACAGTCCTGACCAGCATGGCATGTGTGTCCACCTAAAGCACACTCATCAATGTCTGCAACAAAGTGGGGCATTCAATCAAGGTGAGTTGAAAAAGCCAGGCTAAGAACCTGCTGTGAAGTGGGGATAAGAAAAGCAGTAACAGCACTTGAAAAACATATAAGAGCAAGAATGCTGATTTTTTTGGTTGAGTCATTTCAGGTGGGTTAAATGGCTGACAAGCTCACAGTAGCATAGTGTGATATCGTCACAGACCAATCCATCCATTAGACCACTTATAGATTGTTTTTTAAAAAAGTTACTTGTCCTTTCTGAGATCACAGTGTTCTGTAAAATCAGAACAATAATATGTATCTCTCAGTATTGCTTTACAAATGAAAGGAAATAATGTCCAATGCGTACTGGACTCTCCATAAATGTTATTCCTCTCGCCTCCTATCGCCCACTCTTTCTCTCTTTTGCATTTAGAAGGGAACCTCCTTGGCAGAGAGGGAGAAATCCTTTCTGCATTTCATTATTTTTTAATTTATAAAACTAGATCCTTACACAATTGTGACTTTGAAGCATATCTAGTGTCTGAGAGAAAAATGTTTTTTTGTTAATGTTCCCAAAGTGCTATCAGGATTGTGCATGAAAGATAATGTCCAATGCGTACTGGACTCTCCATAAATGTTATTCCTCTCGCCTCCTATCGCCCCACTCTTTCTCTCTTTTGCATTTAGAAGGGAACCTCCTTGGCATAGAGGGAGAAATCCTTTCTGCATTTCATTATTTTTTAATTTATAAAACTAGATCCTTACACAATTGTGACTTTGAAGCATATCTAGTGTCTGAGAGAAAAATGTTTTTTTGTTAATGTTCCCAAAGTGCTATCAGGATTGTGCAATTTAATTGAATTCTTTATAACCACCTGCTTTGTTTTATAATTGTAAGATGAGTAGAGTGATGGCCCTGATGCCTCTCCTCATTGTGATGTGAGGAGTGAGAGAGTCACTACAGGTGCCCATATGAAGGGCCCCATATGAAGGCCGTGTGTGGGCAACATTAAGATCTTCCTGTCTGTTGCCAAGTGAGGGGGGAGGGGATAGAGGGGGCAAAAGAGTAGAAAAGAAGAGTGTTTGTCTACCACACTCTCTCTAGGTTGCGATTGTCATGACCTTTGCTGAAATATGTCCATTAGACCCAGGGTTGTGAATAAAGACCTTGACAAGTTCTTCCATCAGCAGCGATGGTGAGGCCTTTAGGGCAGGAGCAATAATAGGTCCCCATGGCATTGTGGCAGATATGGGAGCAGGGCTTCCCTGTTGCACATTCATCTTCATCTGAAAGAGGAAACAAAGGGCCCAATTAGTACATGAACCCCCTACTTTCTAGGAGTTATTAACGTCAGTGTTTAAAGAGGCCAAGGAATTGAGTCATATGGAACAGAAAATGCTCTATAACATGGGAATGCTGAATAAAAATTAATGCCGAGACACCCAAATTATCTTTGATAGTGAATAGATGTTTAGATTGATTCTAAAACAATGATGATGATAACTAGGATATAACCACCATTTACTGGAGCTAACCTCTTTTTACCTACCTGAACTCATTGCACACAATGTTCCTAGGAGATAAGTTGTTTTTTTAAAATCCTCACCAGAGAATATTTTTCCACTGATTTTTAGAGAGAGTGGAAGAGAGAGGGAAAGACAGAGAGAAACATTGATGTGAGAGAAACACATCGATTAGTTGCCTCCTGCATGAGCCCTGACCAGGGCCCAGGCCAGGGAGGAGCCTGCAACCCAGGTACCTGCCCTTGACCTAATTGAACCTGGGATTAGGTCCACAGGCTGATGCTCTATCCACTGAGCAAAACTGGCTAGGGCAGGAGATGAGTATTTTAATTACTATCCTCATTTGCATGATAAAACTGAGGAGCGAGGAGGTTAAGTAAACTCCCCAAGGTTACACAGGTCATTATTAGCAGAGCTGGAATTGAACCTGGGCAGTATAATTTTTAAAGACCACTTCTTACCAATATACATTACACTGCCTACCAGTGAAAGAAAGGCGTGAGCTATTTACTCAACCTTTTACTTCTCAGTGACTCTCTTGAGGTGGTACTTGGGTGAGAAAAGGCTGGTTTAGTCATTAGTCTTTGGCCCACAGTCCTGCCCTGTCCTATGATTGAGCAATTCTAGAGTTAGGTGACTTAGAGCTGAATTACGGCTGTGTCACATCCATGGCAATTAAGTGGCCTCACAGAGTCCAGTGTCTTGTCCCTGTGCTCACTCCACCTCTGTCCGGCACACTGATCCCTGGCCCTTGATTGTGGCCAAATGGAAAGAGCACAGCATTTGTATCTAAAATGCATACCCAGCGGCGCTGCCTGAAAGCTGAGTGATCATAGGCACTTCTCTACATCTCAACCTCCTCAGCTATAAAAAGGGGTATTTATAAGACTGTGTGATGATTACATTTCTAGCAAAATGGCAACAGATGTCCATTTAATGGAATCCAGTATGAACATTTTAATAGAAATAAAAGTGCGTTATTTATTCCTATACTCACCAGCACAAAAGGGTCCAACTGAGTCTAAGGCAAACCCGGAGGGGCACTGATTACTGCGGTCTCCTACCAGAGAGAAAAAAAGCAGAATGAACGGGCTTGTTGGAATATTAGCACTCGTTTCTTTCCAGTACAATCTTCCCTGGGAAGGTACGCCAAGATGGAACACACACATCAAATGCTCTAGGTGAAAACAAGCTGGAATGGAAAACTTCCCCTGTTTCTCAACCAAGAACTAAATGAGTCACAGCCCAGAGATTGTTGGCAAGCAGCCACTAGAAACAGATGTTCTGTTTAAGTTGTTTATATTAATCAAAAGAAAATTAAATTATTCATCGATAATGAAAAAAGACCCAAGGTCAATGTGTACTCCACGAATAACCAAGGTGAAGGCGTATTCGTCCAGCCATTGCTGTTTGTTCTAGAAGGGGGGATGCTATTTTCAAGCCACTGAGAAAAAGTTCGTGAAAAACAGAGACTCTAATGAAGAAATCCACTCTTTCTGTGAATCTCCTCCATTTGTCACGTGGGGCTTCCAGGTCAAAGGCCCTACGTGCCGACCAAGAGTTCTCCTTTTCCATGTAGTCAGAGCAAGGGCCAATGGGCATATTATGATAGAACAGAATTCAAGTTAGAGTCAGAAAAGACAACATAGTAACAAAAATAAACAGGTTAGTCAGGGAATCTCTTTCCTTAGAAAGTAACAGGGTCTTGACTGTTTTAAATGGTTTAGCAAATATTTTTCAAACATTAGTGACCTGAAAAAAATTAAATGAAACTCATCTTTCAAGTTACCAAAATAATGAATGTGTACCCAGCTTCTGAGTCAACCGTTAGTCTCATAAATTTCTCCTAAGGGACATTTTATCTCATTTATATTGTATATTCAGTTCATATTCAGCCTCTTAGAAGTTATCTTAGATTTTCTTTCCATTCTAAATGCATGAAACTGTGATTATTTTTATGATTGTTTTAGGGGCTCTTCATAGAGGGAGTCTGGGCTAATTTTTCAGATTCATCCTATTTTGGAGAGTCTCTGAGTACAACACTGTTTGAGCCCTGCTGCGAACATGCAACTGTCCAAAACTGTTGATGAATGTGGGGGTGTAAGAAACACTACTCCAATGAAAGTATTTCCTTGACTAGAAAACTAGAGTCCTATCTGCTATTTCTGTGCCATCTGATTGTTTAGAACCTTAATGAGAAACTCTAATGGTTCATGACCCATTTCTACCCTGACTGTAAAGATGACCCTGAGAGCATCCGAGTCTTCTTGAAACGGCAAAGGAATGAGACTAGAATAGGACGGGTGGAATAGAAATGTCTGGAGAATCGTTGCTAAATGATTATACATTTGTTTGTATTATTGCATGGTTACTGTGTGTCACCTAGCACTGAGTCTCATATGCGTTACTTCATTCAAACCTCACAACTCCTCTACTCTTACCACAACCAATTTTCTGACGAGGAATTAGAGTCTGAGGTTATGCAAACTGCCTCAAGTCAAAGATCTAATATAAGCCGGAACAAGAGTTTAGATGCACATCTGCTTGACTTTCAACCACGGAAATCAAGAATATAACTCAGGTGGTGATTGTAATGCATGCTTCCTTTTTACTTATTCACTTACTTGTACATTCCTTAATCCAACCAGTATGTTCTGTAGGGCACTGTGTTGTGAATGTAACTGTGGAAAAACTGTGTCATATAAACACAGTTAGTTGTTACCTGACAGTAGCTTTTGAATTTTGGTTCTAAGTGGGGGAGATTTCTTCCTTTAGGTGGCATTTGGGCAGCTTTTGGGGAGACACTTTGATTTTTCACAATGCTAGGGAGGCCTATTACAATCTGGGGAGAAGGGCAGACCCTGGGGCAGGTTTTAGAAGAGCCCTCTAAAATACTGCAGTGTGTGGTATAATGATGCAGATGGAGAGCTGTCCCTGGCTCTGATTTTCATGGAAGTGAGAGAGCTGTTTTTAATTATCTAAGGCTAGGACCCATCTTCCACATATTAAACACTATTTTATGTGCTTAAAATATACAATGAATTTCTAGGAATGCTCCTGGAATATAAATTGATGTGTGACTATACATGTTTTATTGAGAACATAACCAAGAATTACTCGATTCTTTTTTTTTTTTTTTAAAAAAAGATCACAGCAGGGCTCTATATATTGTAGGTTCAGTCATAGGAACACTTCTCTCTTATCTTGCATTGTAGTAATGTCTAATGGTTTTTACACTGAAATACAACATATTTTGTTATAAACTGTTTTCCTTTTATTTATTCTTTAGGTTACAATTAAAGTATGTTGTTTTGAACATACTTTAAAATACGGGAATCATTAGTTATGATGTTCATTTTGCCATATTAAGGGGGCAATGCAAAATATTTGTTTATATTAAAAACTAGAGGCCCGGTGCACGAAATTTGTGCACTGGGGGGGGGGTCCCCTGGTGTCCCTCAGCCCAGCCTGCACCCTCTCCAATCTGGGACCCCTTGGGGGATGTCCCTCTCACAATCTGGGACTGCTGGCTCCTAACCACTCACCTGCCTTATTGCCCCTAACTGCTTCTGCCTGCCAGTCTGATTGCCCCCTAACCGCTCCCATGCCAGCCTGATTGACGCCTAACTGCTCCCCTGCCAACCCGATGGCCCCCAACTGCCCTCCCCTGCTGGCCTGGTCGCCCCCCAACTGCCCTCCCCTGCCGGCCATCTTGTGGTGGCCATCTTGTGATGACGTGAGGGCGCGAGGGCCACCTAGGCTTTTATTAGTATAGATAATTGTAGAAACTTTTAAGTTTAAAATTCCCTGCAAATTTGTCACTTGGAACAAATTACTACCAACATTTTGATGCTTCTCTCTCTAGTCACTTTTATAAGTACTCTACAGAATAATGGCCAAATTACTGATTCTAAAATCTCTTGGAGAGCTTATTAAAACCAGAGATCTCTTGGTCCTATCTCAGTCAGAATTGCCAAGGAAAAACCTTAGAATCTGTGCTTTTAGCCAGTATAAAGGTTTTCTTATAACCACGGTGAGATGGGCAACCCAGGTTGGTTGGGATCATATTGTATATATACTGCTTTTCAATTATAATGATATCGGGTACATTCTCCTTCGTCTCTTGTTCACAGTTACCCTGTCAATACCTAAAACAGTGCGTGGTACACAGTAGGCACTCAACAAATATTTTCAAATGAGTAAATATGCTAAATTATTTTTAAAATCCTTTACATTTACTTTAAAGATTGCATAAGAATTATCATACAGCTGTGCCATCATTTAAGCATTTATCTCTTACTTCCAAGACATTTATTATTGGCCATTTTTGTGGTTTTCTTAGGGTAGACTCCTAGAATGAGATAACTAAAAAGAAGGGAATATTTGAAAGGCTATTGATACATACTGCTTTCTAGAAATGTTAAACGAAGATACAACCTCTGCTGGCAGTGTATGGGGATGTTCATTGCCCTATGCCTCTCTAATACTGAGCGCATCACATTTTTAAATCTCTGAGTGATAACTGAAAAATGTGCAGTTTTTTGCTTATTGATGAAGTTAAACAATTTTTCACATTCATTTTGTTATTATTGTTTTTTCCTTCATGTATTTCCTGTTCATAGCCTTTATGTGTTTTTCTACTGGTGTGTTTGCCTCTTTCTTATTGAATTTTTAAAAGCCTTGTATATATTAAGGTTAATCATAGTTGATCATGATATATAATGCAATTTTTTTTTCTTGGTGTATATTTTACCTTCTCAATTTTGTTTTTTTCTTCCATGAAAAAGTTTTAAAAAAATTATTTGTAGCTAAATTTATTTATCTTTTCCCTTTATTGTTTCTGACTTCTCTTTTATTTAACTTGTAAAATTAATCATATTTTATAATTATATTTTAAAAACTAGTCAATTTTATTTTAAAGATCAATTTAAAAAAATTACACTGATTTATATTGTGAGTTGTTTTGACCAGTAGTTTCCAAATGCCAGTGTGCAGACCAGATATTAGAATCACTTAGGGGTTGTTAAAAATACAAACTCCAGGCTCTACCTTAGTCTGGCTAAACAAAAATAGTTGTGCTTATAAATCTGAACTTGCATCAAGCTCTCTAGGTGACTCTAAGTGCACTGTAACCATAACTGTAGTCTAGACCCAACAAAGAGAAAGAACCTTCTGGTTAAGCAACCAAGAATGCAAGCTTGCCCCCTGGTGGTCATTTAAAAAGAAATTGCAGGTACACAATTCTCAGCAAAATGTTAACAAGCAAATGGGCACACATATCAGATGTAATGTATTCGTCATAGTATCTAAGGATAGCAAGGGGTTTTAAATGTCATATAGTGGGACCCAGTCCCCCAACAACACCCCTACAAGTACCACAAAGACCTTCCAGCCGTTTCAGGCCTAAAGGATTTACACAACTAGGTAGAAACTATACATGACTTTTCAAAAATCACCTTAATTCCTCTAGTCCCAGATGATATAAATTATTTTTAACCAAAGTCCTGTTCCAAGTTATGTTTTTTAAATTATATGGGGTACTAGAAAAAGTAGAAACAGATTAGATTTGAAAAGGAGGCATTGTTGAGGAAGAGAAAACGTAATTATTCCGGTGGCTCTTTTCTTTTGTCCAAGTGACCTGATCCTGCATGGCCACAGTAAAATGAAGTGTTGGTGGTGATTTGTGGCTGGAGGAGGTGTGAGGCCATGGGTACCACTGGCTATGAGGCTTCATGAATCCACGATTATCTCAAATAATATGATCACAAGTTCCTAGATTACAGTGATCACAAATGTAATGAAACCATTATGAATGAAGAAGAAAATAGTCACATGCATAACCAATAAAAACAAGAGTAAGTAGTAAGAATAAAATTTTTAGTGTTTCTTCTGAGCATGATAAAACAATATGATGCTATTTAAATCTACTTGGATCTATTTTGGGAAAGCCAACACATAGCAAAACATACACATTCACAAAGCCAATATGAATAATTTTAAGTGTACTCATGGGAGTCTAAAGTTCAAAGTTAAAGTCAAACAGTCTCAACATCACTACATGCAAGTGTTTCCTACCACCCAAACCCCACGGAATATTGAATGCTAATTGTTGCGGTGCCTCTCATGACTGAAAAGGAAACCCAGGGTACAGACACATCAAAGAACCACACAGCATAGGGAGGCTGCTGAGATCAAGGGTTGTAGAACTATGCTTGGAAAATGAGAAGCAGTTCAAAAATTATAACTTCCAGGAACAAGAAATGACTGTGGAAATCCTGATTATTGCTGCATTGCTTTAAAAATATGAAAACTTTTTTGGGACTAATTTAGGTTAACATGTACCCATCTCAGGAATTTAAAAAATTCCTTGACAAAGTATAAAATTCAGAACAAGAACAAATGGATTTTATTATCCAAAGAAAACCATCTGACAGAATATATATTTTTAAAGCTCCCTGTGCATATAGAATAGAATAACTCCATTATGCTATATGAAGCAGCATATTAGTAAAACAAATGTATTAGAATACACCCTGACTGGCTTTACCACCAAAAAAACCCACAGATAACACTCACGAAAAACTGATGTCATCGTGTATGGTCTACACCTTAATATCCTTATTTTGAAGGTCAATGCAATTCTATAACCCTTTTAGAAAGATTTGGACTTCGTCTGAACCAACTTACCTTTGGAAATGGAAGCATGAATTTTAAAACCCAATGTCTCTTCTAACTGGTTGTAGTCAGTTTCCACAGAGGATGCATGAAGTGTTTCTACCAAGAAAGGCATTCTTCCTTGTGCCTGGTCATAGAAAATGGTGTGGTTCCATGTGTATGGGACGCCGATGCCATCAATGGTGAACAGCCGGGTTGAGTAGGCATACAGCTGCCCAGGACCTGTCTGAACGTAGTCCTCCGTGTAATCCTAAGGAGGACAATACAGATTTGAGGATCAGCATGACTCTTCCTATTTTTTTCTTGAGGGCTCTATGAGATGCAGAATGAGAAAAAATGGTTTAGAGGCTAAATATTATTAGTTCTAAATGAAATTATAATTGTACAGTAGAGTCCAAGAAATAAAATATGAACTTCTTAATTATTATGTTAGTTTCATGATTTTACTGTTATAAATTATAGTTTCATAAGGGAATCAGAGTTGTAGGTCAAGAAAAGATGTGAAAGGGCAATGGTTTATTCTTTAATTTCAGAATCTTTTAATGGATGATATACAAAAACTTTCATGCAAGAGTTACTATTCTGTGAGAAGAAAATTAAACAAATGGCTTAAATCAACACAGCAGTGATCTCAGTTCTGATAAGCAGAATAATAAATCACTAAGAGTTTGGAAAGACTTGTCCCTGAAGATTTTTTTAAATTAAATTAATTGGAGAACCATTGATAATAACATTATATAATTGTCAGGTGTATAAGATTATAATTCAGTATCTGTGTACTCTATTGCATGCTCCCCACCCGAAATCTAGTCTCCTCCGTTACCATGTATTTGGTCCCCTTTATCCACTTCACCCTCCCCCACCCCATTCTCCTCTGGTAACCACCATTCTGTCTATATCTATGAGTTTGCTTTTCTTTATTCCTTTTTGTTTGTTTGTTTGTTTTTTGTTTTGTTAATCCTCACCCATGATATTTTTCCCATTGTTTTATAGAAAGTGAAAAGGAGGGGCGGGGGGGCGGGGGGAGAGAAACATCGATGTGAGTTATCTCTGCACATGCCATGACCAAGGTGGCAGGTTGAACCTGAAACCCAGATATGTATCTTCGACCAGAATCAAACCTGTGACACTTTGGTGCATGGGCTGATGCTCTAACTACTGAGAAAACTGGCCAGGGCTACTTTTCGTTTTATAGTCCACATATAAGCGAAATTATATGATTTTTGTCCTTTTCCATAGACTTATTTCACGTAGCACACACTGTCAGGATTCATCCATGTTGAGATATCATATTTTCTTTATCCATCCATACGCCCATGAATACTTAGGTTGTTTCCATGTCTTGGTTAATGCAAACAAAGACCAGACAGCCATTTCTAACCGCAGTGGTTTAGACATTTACTCCCTGAAGCAAACAAGGGGAACGACACAAGTTCTTTGTGCTCTTTCGATGGAACTCTGACTCCTACTCTTACCATTACACCAATAAACAGTGAAGGCAAGTTATCTTGACAGTTTACCTTGACAGCGACTTCAGCAGGTGAATGAAGCTGCAGGACATAGCCGCTCACGACAATATCTAGCAGCAAAGCACCATCGGAATCCAGGCCCCGAGCAATATGAGTCATGCGCAAGATTTCTCCTGGGAATTACAATGCGTTCACTTTAGCAGCAAAAACTATATGGTTTGTGTAAGCGCAGAACAGATTTACCTTACATTCCAAGTCAGCTATCTTATTTTACTGAAAGCCTGAATAAACATAGGCAATAAGAGTATTAAATTAGCATTCAGTCCCCAAATTAAAGGTAGGCTTACCGAATTTTCTTCTGAAATCTCTTTTTATGTGGCATAAATGTAGGATATGATTGTGTGAAGGATCCCACACTTTAAAATCACAAGCAATAGCTGACAGTCCCACTTCTGGGATAATTAAAGCTATGCCCTCCCTCGGTCTTTCTTCCTTAAAGATCACTGCCATTTGATCACCTTTGATGAGGTTTGAATTGGACCTTAGGGCACTTGGAAAGAGGAATGAATAGCTAATACAAGTTCATTAACTCTAAGGGTAAAGCAAAAACACATTAAGATTTGCTTGCTTTTACTTCCATCTGTTTAAAAAATATATTTTTATTGATTTCAGAGAGCAAGGGAGGGCACTTGGAAAGAGCAATGAATAGCTAATACCAGTTCATTAACTCTAAGGATAAAGCAAAAACACATTAAGATTTGCTTGTTTTTACTTCCATCTGTTTAAAAAAATATATTTTTATTGATTTCAGAGAGCAAGGGAGAGAGAAAGGTCAATGATGAGAGAGAATCATTGATTGGCTGCCTCCTGCATGCCCCCTGCTGGGGATCAAGCCTGAAATCTGGGCAGGTGCCCCAATGGGGAATCAAACTGTGAACTCCTAGTTCATAGGTCCACACTCAACCACTAAGCCACACCGGCCAGGCTACTTCTATCTTTTTGATAAAGAATCCCTATAAGGTATTCTGATTGAATCTCAGGTTTAGATACAAAAACTTTTAATTAATAGCAATGACTCATTTTCCTATTCTGTTTGACCTTTAAAACTTTTTTCTAAAGGTTTAAGGAGAAAAGATACAGGAAATACAATAAAAAAGTTTTGGGGTATAAAAATGAAAACTCTTAGAGACCCATGCCAGTAAAAATTTATAGGGAAATATAAAATTGCTTTTATATCGTTTATGATAAGGTTGCCTCAAAGACTGAAATTATTCTCTATGGGAACATATAATATATTTTTCTTAACCACGGACTTTTAAGGCAATCATATTTTTATAGTAATAGAATACTAAGCTGAGCTGGCACTAACCAGTTGCAAATTCCACTTGGGTTTCTCTCTTGAAGACTGCATTGGTAAGGGTGAAGCCATTGACTGCTTCTCCAATTTCCTTTGCTGTTGTCCAATAAATGGGATTTAAAATAGAAACTATCTTTCGCATTGCTGGACCTATATAAAAAGAGATACATCAGGCGACAAAGCAAAATATTTACAGTTCCCTGTTATTATTGTTTCATAGCATGTTATTCATAAGCATGAAACCTAAATAATCTTGAATAACAATAAAATAAATACTAGTATCTCATGCATCTTTAAGAGTTGACTACTGGGATAGAATTACTATACTGATCATTTAGTAGTAACATCTTTTAGAAACTTTTGACTGGAAATAACAAGATGAAGGCTAACATATACATTTTTAAAGAAGAGGCTTATTGATTACTTCGATAAGTAAAGAAACTCACCAAGCCTGCGAGGCACATTGGTAATTCTGGCATGTATTACTCTAGTATCAGAGGTAGGGCTATCTGTCACTGTGGCGTTAAGGAAAGCAATTCCAAATTCAACATCATTAATATTTCCAATAACACTTCCTCTGGCTCGCTGGGGCCCACCTATTGGGGGAAGGAAAAACATTCCTGGATAAGGAAGTAATTTCATCAACATCACATGGGAGAAAAGAAGGCCAGTATTCAAAGATGCTACAAATCTTCTCTCAAACATTTGAAAAGATCATGACATCTGAATTTAAGAGTGTAATAAATAAGCTTTCAAAACATTTCACTCTAATGTAGTACTCATCATCCCTCATAAATCCAGGCTCCTTCCAATCTATGTCCATCATAGCAGTATTTCACAATCCAAAGAATACAATCAGCGTCCAGTCCCAAAGCCAAAATAAAGTGGGTGTTTGCTGTTGGTAATGAAATGATGATAATAATGAGTTTATTGAGCATGTCATGCGCTATAGTAAGCATTTAATATGTGCTAACTCTTTTAATCCTATCAAAATCCCATAAGGTGGTTTATTTTAAGTAGCCACAGTTTGAAGACTAAAAGAAAGTTCAAAGAAATCATCATTACAGCTAGAAGGTGGTGGAATGAGGATCTGAACACAGATGTGATTGGCATCAAAACCCACGTTCTTTGATCTGTTTGCCTCCTTAGTGGGAACAAAGGGACAGGAGGCATCACCAGCAAACAACAGCTCCTAAGCCTTGTGACAGGTCACTGTTAACATAAATGTGACATATCTAAGGGGTTTTATCGTCCAGCTTGGGTTTCAGATCTTGGGCTTATCAAGTTCTTCGTATTACATATATATTTTAAAAATGCTTAACAAGAAAAATTTGCAGGATAGCATACTTTTAACAGTGCTGCAAAATTCATACCAAGACAATCAGATTGAAAAACAATAATAATTTTAAAAAGTAGCTCTGCAGTAATTTTATGCTTTCTTCCCATTGCTCAACAAAATTATTGGTAACTAACAGAATAGGTGGCTAATGACTATTTCTCAATTAAATTGCATGCTTTGATAAAAGAAACATGTTGGGAAGAAGCTGATAGTGAAATTTATAAATATTCATTAAGAATATATTTTAATGGAATATATTTTAAAATAATCACCAGGTGTTTCAGATATTGTTATCAAGTATTATATACTAGGGAGGATATAATTATATTCAATCTCAGATAAAACAGTAAGTATAGTATCTCACCATTTTATTTATTGTTACTTTTTTATTCACCATTTTAATTTGCATTACTTTATTAGAGAAAACATTTTCTTCACCTTGATTCAGCCTTCAGGTTCTGGACTACATTCATTTGGTCATCAACTATCGAGGAAACAGCAGTAATAAGAAAGTGGAAAAAAAGACATGAGACCTGTCTTCATAGAGCTCGTGTCTGAATAGGGAAGACAGATATTAATGAGAATTCTATAAAAAATGTAAAATTGAAATTTTACACTAATGTGTAAGATTTACTACTCGGGGAAGTCTGAAAAGGAAGTAAAAATTGAGTAGCAATCCAATAAAATAGAGGTTTTAACTAAGCCAGGGAAAAAGGCAGGAGGAGGGCTTTCCCGGTAGAGAAAATGGCATGTGTCACCCTTTGGGGAGGTGGTCGCTTGCTATATTGGAGAAACCAAAAGTGAGAGCTTAGAGAGCGATGGGAACCACACTGCAAGATGATGCAGCAAAGTAGAGAGCAGGCCCAATCAGGACCTGGTAGGCCATATGGGTCCTTATATTTACTTCTAGGCAGGGGAATAGTTCCCCTATTCAGAAGGATCGTGAATTCTCTTAGTTCTCTGGGTCATTGCTAACAAGCATGGCCTCCCACTGTGATCTTGGTTCCCCCGTCTCACAGAGGAAGAACTTGAATCCCAGTGCTCAACCACCATCTCCTAGTCCGGCCAGCTAGTTGGGAACCTTGAAACCTTCTGCCAAACTCTATAATCCAAACTGTCTGTATATTTGGACTGCCTTTCCACTGGGGCCCTGATACCACCAGAGGCTGAGCTACCAAATGCCTTCACTGAAATGGGACTTATTGCTATGCCTACATGTTCGAAGAGCCTCGGAATCCTTGGTAATCAGCTGATATGTTGAGAAGATACGTTGAGCAGTTGACTGATAGACACTTGCCCTGTAGCTTGTCTAGATCCTATAAATCTTTTCATATAACCTCTCTCTCTCTCTTACTGTGCCAAATGGGCCTTCTTGATTCCCAGGGACATTTTATTTCTAAAGCAACCTTAAAGCTTTGGAAAGTCCAGTCATATCTCAAAACTTCAACAGTGCCAAACTGTTCTTTCTGTTCTGCTTCTAGCCCTTAGAAAGTTTATCCTGAGACAAGTACCCTTAGGACTACCCACCATTTAAAAAAATGTTTTTATTTATTTCAGAGAGAGAGGAAGAGAGAGGGCTAAAGAGATAGAAACACTGATGAGATGAGAGAGATACATAGATCGACTGCCTCCTGCACGCTGCCTACTGGGGGGATTGAGCCTATAACCCAGGCATATGCCCTGACCGAGAATCGAACCAGTGACCTCTTGGTTCATGGGTTGATGCTCAACCACTGAGCCACACCGGCTGGGTAACCCATCATTTCTTAGGACCCCAGCAAACTCTTTCTAAGATCCATTAGTTCTAGAATTCTGACTTCGTTCCTCCTAAATTTTTACATTACTTACAATAGCTAGCCATGTTGTGTGATTTGAGTTGTGGTAGCTGAATTGAACTCCTCCTACTCTTTGTCCTCAAACTGAATTGGCTTCTATTTCACTTTCCACACTCATGTTCTCCCCTTTTACATCTGTGAAATAACAGCCCCCAATTGTGTATTCCTGTTAGATGTTCAGCTTCTGCTCTACCCTCATTCTTCAGCCTGAAATCTCAACTAGGTTTTCCCCACGTCTCTACACCCGTTTACCCTTCACACCCAGGACTGCTATTTATGGCTCTGCAGACCAGATCCCATCACAAGGGAGCCTGGGAAGTGGCAAGCAGAGGCTAAAATCCAGCTATGAGTTTGGGGTAGAGCAGCACCAGCTAGAGGAGGGAAGTACTTTTCCCCCAATTCTTCCTCCCAGAGATGGCACTGTTTCGTAATTTGTGGGCCCAGAGTGACTCCTTTTCTTCCTTTGCAGAAAGGCTGTAAATGTGCCAGCAGTAGTTCTGTCAAAATCTCACTGAGTTGCTTACCTGGACAAGCTTGTATATTGCATCTGGAAACCTGAGTGGCGTCTCCCGGACAGGGGCGCCCGCGGTGAGATGGCTCTGGATTGTTGCACAGCCGTTTTCTGGTCTTTTCACCTCCTCCACAAGAAGCAGAACACGGGCCCCAACTTTGCCAGTTTCCCCAACTCCCATCCACTGTGAACAAGAGTGGAATGGTCAATCTGAACAAATCGGTCCTAAGACTGTCATGTAGGGTGGCCCTGCCTGTGCAACTTTTATTTTAAGATCTGAGAGGACGGCGCTGCTACAATGAACACTACGTAGAATGCTTTGCTTGTTCTACTGCAGGAGTCGGGGAGCTCACCAGGACACATGTCAGTGTTGCATCTCTGGATCTGGGAGTCTGGCCCCCCACAAGCTCTTCCTCCGTTGGAGGGTCGAGGGTTATCACACGTGCGGTACCGCCGCATCTGCCCTCCGTTACAGGACCGACTGCAGATTCCCCAGCCACTCCAAGGGCTCCAGTTTCCATGAGCTACAATGCAGAACCATTGGAGACGTGCTAAACAATGACATTCACTCAACAGGGACGGGAAGACTCTCCCCAGGAAATGAAAGGAAACATAGAGATCTATAAAGAGGCAACTTCCAGAGGTAGATGGATCAGCTGTTGTTTTGACCAGAAACTGAGTATACATCCCAGTGACTGTTCAATTCCATATAACACATGTTTACTGAGTCTTAGAGTATTCCAGGAGCTGAAGGATATGACTGAGACAAGATCTTTGGCTCTCGATGAGCCAAGGCTATCACACTGAAGATACAGTGGATTCAGATGCTGCTAGGATTGAGGAATCTAGCTTGGTGACTGAATTAAGGCAGAGAGCTGCCTGCCTGCCTCCATAGAGGAATCATCAACATTATTAACAGTTAGCAGGTCAGGGTGCCGCTGCCCTTGCACTCTGCAGCTGGTCCCATGGAGTAAATGAAATCGGACACAGTCCCTGCCCATACAAATCCATTACTTCTAAGGTATAACACAGACTTATAGCAACCATATAACATTTGAATGCCCTACATCAAAGGTAGACGAATCAAGTCACAGAATGTTATAACTTTAAGGACTTAAAAGCCATAGTGGAACTTTAAGAAAGTATAATTTTGACTCACTATTTCCAACACTCACTTGGACAAGGGTCACTATTGCAAAAATCGCTCTGGACATCACTCCCTTCACACCTGCTTCCTCCATACTGTGGGGCGGGATCAGAGCAGTCCCTTGTTCTCTGTCTGGCTCCTCCTCCACAGGACACGGTGCAGGCACTCCAACTGGCCCAGCTGGCCCACTTGCCATCAACTGGATTAAGGAACAAACAAATATGCTCCGTTAATACTTAAAAATGAGGTTAGCCCTCACCAATTTTCTCAGTGGTTAGAGCATCGGCTCACGTACTGTTGGGTTCGATTCCAGTCAAGGGCATGTACCTCGGGCAGTCAAGGGCAGATTTGATCTCTGGCCTTGGTCAGGGCATGTGCAAGAGGCAACCAATCAATGTATTTCTCTCACATTGATGTTTCTCTCTCCGTCTCTCCCCCTTCTTTCCACTGTCTCTAAACACCAATGGTAAAAATATCCTCAGGTGAGGCTTAAAAAAAAAAAGAGCCGATTAAACACTAATAACTGTCTAATAATGCCTACTGACTGGGCATTATTAGGTTGAGCAATGTTCTTATTGACATTGATTCTTACTGACACACTAGCCAGATAAGAGGCAGTGTTTATTTATTGAGGGTATAAACATTGCATTTCTCTTACCAGGACAGTGTCTTTCATTGCAAACTTGCATCTGTGTTTCTGCTCCAACACAGTAGGAGCCACCAAACGATGGTGGAGGGTTATTGCACAGTCTTGTTCTTGTCTGGGTCCCCTGCCCGCAACTTCTGCTGCACACACCCCAAGGCTGCCAAGTGCTCCATGCTCCATGAACTACAAATATCCCAAGAGACAGAGTCACGTCACAGCACCATGTGTATTAAAAACAAACATTAGAGGAGTAAATTAACTTAGTAATGAGTGAAATTAGCCCAGAATAAAAAATAATAATTAAGATGGAACCAAAGAAAACATGAGTGACGTTCTTCCTTTCTCCTTCTGATTAGATTTTCATGGAAATTAGTCTATAGGGAAATTCTGAAGGCCAACTAATGCCAAAATTAATGCTTAACATTATCCAAAGAGGCTATTTTATTAAAATAAAAATTTAATCAAACTGCCATATGTAAAGACAATCTGACTTTTATTTTTTTTATTTTTATTTTTATTTATTTATTATTTTTTTTTTACAATCTGACTTTTAAAATCCTAGATGGATGAGCATTTGCCTGTGCTCTGTGCTCTGGGGAAAAGGGAAAGAACCAGAAGCTTCGGAACAAGGCTATATAACAGATCCAGATGCGGTTATGGGCAATACAAATGTTCCCACCATGATAACTTGGACCCCAGATCACAAGACCACGTCTTTAAGCCTGATTCAGCTCCAGGTTTAAAAATGTACTTGTATCTTTCAACAACCTGATGATTTGCACAGTTGTACTCTTTGGGGAAAAAAAGTCTCCATTACATAATGTTCATGAATGAAAAGTTCTGAATAACACACTTACCTCCTTCCGAAACAAACAACAAAAAAACTGACCAGTGTTTTCCAAGTGTGGCCAAGGCCCCCGCTGTGGTAACTAACATATTGCACCATCTGACCGCAGGACTAGAACCATCTTATGTTTCTTACCAGGTACATGGGCTGAGAATCAATGTTATGGTTTCTCTAATGTGTTAAGTCAGTATCAGGTCATACGTTTGTTTTGAGGGTCATTTCTAGATATGGGACTCATAAAGTATGTTTTTGTGGTCACCCAGTTTAACGGAGATATGAACCAACACAGGGCCTTAATATCTGTGTCTAAATATTCTCTTAACAATTTAAGAGACATCAAAATAATAAGTTGAAAACCAAGACATGATCATTTGGTTGCTTTGTTTAGAAAAAATTTAAAATTTCTTCTCATTAACTGTTTTCTAATTGAGTTGACTACATGTCCCTGTACTTTATAGATACAGGCAAACACAGTCACACAAATTTATTTTAACTGACAAGAATTTGCACTGAAAAGTATTTGACTAGCCCTAACCTGTTTGGCTCAGTGGATAGAGCATCGGCCTGCGCACTCAAGGGTCCCAGGTTCAATTCCGGTCAAGGGCAAGTACCTTGGTTGCGGGCACATACCCACTGGGGAGTGTGCAGGAAGCAGCTGATAGATGTTTCTCTCTCATCGATGTTTCTAACTCTCTATCCCTCTCCCTTCCTCTCTGTAAAAAATCAATAAAATATAATATTAAAAAGTATTTGACTAAAAGTAAACAAATAGGAAAAAGCCTTTAAATATTTGGCAGATATTACTCAAAGTTATTTCTTTTTTTTTTTTAAATATATTTTATTGATTTTTTACAGAGAGGAAGGGAGAGAGATAGAGAGCCAGAAACATCGATGGGAGAGAAACATCGATCAGCCGCCTCCTGCACATCTCCCACTGGAGATGTGCCCGCAACCCAGGTACATGCCCTTGACCGGAATCGAACCGGGACCTTTCAGTCCGCAGGCCGACGCTCTATCCACTGAGCCAAACCGGTTTCGGCTCAACGTTATTTCTTTATTAATTCATATTGTTGATGCTCAAAGTCCTTATATATGGACTAAGTGATTTTAAAAAATTCTGCTGTTCTAATTATTTTCCTATATTCTATTTTCAAGGCTGTTGGTTAACAAAAGCTCACACCTCTTACATATAAAGTCTTAGAGCATAGATGCATTTTTTATTGCAAGATTATAAATGGGTGATATTTATTCATTTATTATCTGTGTAGTTTCTATTACATATAAATAGAGGTTTTTGGCTGAAGATATATATATTTTTTTAATCAATAAAGAAAACCTTAACCAGAAATGAACTTCACGATATAAAATGTGGTGGAGTTGAAATGTTTCTTTTATATGAATGGAATGATAACAATACAACAGACAGAATAATAATAATATAAATCAGAGAAGGAATAAAACATCATGGTGTCTAAATAATACCAAAGAAGACAACGGTGGAGGAGTAAGTATATAGGAAAAACGCAAAACGTAAGAGAGGGATTTGTTGTTACACTATGTTGCAATTCTGATTCTGGAAAGACAGCAGAACAGGGTCCTTGCAGGGACTCTGGGCCAGATGCCCTGGGTCTGAGTGACTGCTTTGCTCTTACTAACCGTGCAGTCCTAGACAAGTTACTGGGCCTTCTGTGCCCAGTTTATAACCTGCTATATCCAGATAATAAAAGTACTTGCCTTGAGAGGGTCAGGGTGAGGAAAAATGAGTTTATACATGAAAATTGCTGGGATCAGCACAGCACACACCATTGTAAAGTACTGCATATGTGTGAGCTATGAGCTAGTATGGCCATTCTTTAACTCAAAGTTCTCAACGATTTAAAAAACCCCCCAAACACTTTAAAAATGCTCATTCTTTAAGTAATCTGTAAAAATGTGTATTTTTTTTAATGACAATGGCTGTCAAATGCCAGCAGAAAGGTCCATTCCAGAAGATACCTATCTTTATTAGGGGGAGGATTGGAAGTTTAAAAATACCATTCTAACTGGGACGGAGAAAGTACAATATAAGCCTAAAATACCAATTTGCACCAGAAAATAAGAAAGTGTTCAAGGAATCCAGGGCATTTATAAAAATCATTTAGCTTTTCATGACACAGGTATCATCGTTGACAAACTGTACAAAGATTGCCATCATCAGGTATGTTTTATTTTGACACAGTATGCTATTATAATTAGCTTTCTAATTCTTCAAGGTGAAGAAACATTTTGGTTTCTTGTTTATTTTCTTTAGGATTTCATGACAGTATTTTATTTTTAAATGCAATGGAAGTTCTGAACTGCAAATCAAGAGACGCAGAATCTAAGTGAACAGGCTGGGGAAACAGTTCGGCCTGGGTCCAAATCCTTGATTTACCTTTACCCAGCTATGTAACCTCAGTGAACCAATTCTCATACATCCTCTGAATCGTAGTTTCCTCGTCTAGGCTGGGGAAACAGATGGGCCTAAATCCTTGATTTACGTTTAACCAGCTATGTAACCTCAGTGAATCAATTCTCATACATCCTCTGAATCGTAGTTTCCTCGTCTGTAAAATAGTGTGCAATATCTTAGTTTGGTTTATTGATTTCATTTTTTTGACTGTCTCAGCAAAGGTGTCGCTCCTAGTTCTGCTCCATCACTTCAACTATGTGAGTTTGTTCTCTATGCTTGTCAATATAGGATTATTATCTGTTTATCATCCTAGTTTTGAGCAATTAGAAGAGTGCCTTGAGTATAGAATGGGTGCTTAACAAATATTTTTTTTGGATGAATCAATGAATGAGTGAACAGCCACATCTCTATTTCTTTCAGGCTGTCCAACAAGGAGCCCTGATCCTCTGGCACTAAGTAACCCACGATGGTTACCAAAGTGTCCTTCTCCTGGACTCAAGGTCAGAGGTGAGCACGGGATCCAAACAAAATCAAACAGGGGCCTTTCCCAGAGGTTGATAGTGAGAGGAACTCTTTGTCTCTGAGGCCTGAGATTATAGAGCCCCCGTGAGCCAGGAGCTGCCGCAGTCATTTTTTTCCACCACATGGAAAGAGTTTAAAGGAGAATACAGCCAAGAGAGGAAAGCAGAGATGCGAGATGGAAAACATGCTAGTAAACTATTGGCCCAATCCTTGGATTCAATCATACATGAAAGGAGAATTTTTACTTAAGCTTCGGTAAGTTTGATTTCTGTCGCTTGAACCTCAAAGAGCCCCATCATGCCCATGTTGTAGGGTTGTTCCACAAAGTCAAAAAACAGCGCGTACATAAAGCACGTAGCCTGGCCCCTAGCACACGATAGGTATTTAGTCACTGGTAACTATTATTATTTTAGCTCTCCCTAACTGGTGTTTCTGGGAAACCCTTTAACCTCTCTAGGCTTTATTTCTCTCACCTGAAAATGAAAGACTGGATTAGGTGTTACCTAACGTCATCACCTCTAAAATTTTATGACTTGTAATTACTTATGTTTTCTCTACATGATTAAAAAATGCACCACAGTCTGGAGCCTTTAATCATGTTCAGTTAAATCAGGTGTTTTACTTATTCATGCTCTACCTTCCCAAGTTCATCCAGGAGACAGAACTAAGAACGCGGAGAATGAATATATTCCAGGGGAGAGGCCATCACACCTTTTCACAGTGAAGAAGAAAAGGTCATTATGACCCCTTGATGGGAGTTAAAAACAGGAAAGTTTTGCTCATCGGTGGCTTCTCACCTGGGCACGGCCTAATGTTGCACATGATCATTTCCACAGCAGTCCCTTCACACGGCCGCCCTCCGTGTTGAGCTGATGGATTATTGCAAGTTCTGGTCCTGGTTCGGTTGCCACGTCCACAGCTCCTTGTGCATTCTTCCCAAGGGCTCCATTCTGACCAGCTACCATGCACTGCACAAAGGTAAAACATTACACCACGAGATCATGAGCTACATTTCAATTGAAAGTACTAATACTGGGGCAAGGAGAGAATAAAAGGTGATGGGGGAAAACAGAAGAAGGTAAATGGGTGATAAATGGCGATGGAAGGAGACTTGAGGTGGTAAACACACCATACAATACACAGGTGATACACTGTAGAACTGTATGCCTGAAACCTGTATAATTTTATTAACCAATGTCACCCCCAAAAATTCAATAAAAAAAGCAAGTACTGCCAGGCCGATGTGGCTCATTGGTTGAGAGTCGACCTATGAACCAGGAGGTCATGGTTCGCGGGCTAGATCCCCAGCGCGGGCTGTGCAGGAGGCAGCCCATCAATGGCTGTCTCTCATCATTGATGTTTCTCTCTCTCCCCCCCCTCTCCCTTCCTCTCTGAAATCAATAAAAATATATTAAAATAAAAAAGAAAGTACTAATTCTGGGCCAACCCATCGTTAGAAACCGAAATGAACACATGTCTATCTGTCGAATAAAGAGTAGTACCTGGACACAGTTTGTGTTGACAGTTCCGCATTTCTGAATCCGACCCTTGACAAGGCTTCCCACCATTGGCCGGAAGAGGGTTGTTGCAGAGGCGACTTCTCTTCTGGATGCCTCTTCCACAGGTGACACTGCAGGCTCTCCAGGCAGACCACTGGGAAAACCCACCATGAACTACAAAGAAGACATTCTACTTGTCTCTGTTTTAGTGAACAAAAAACCTGCAGGTTGGATTTCATTAAGATGTGCACTGGGCCGACAGCTAAGTCAGAAGCTGCTGAGAAATTGCTTAGGGAAGCGCTCTTTTATGGCAAAATGAAAATCTAAGCGTGAGAGAAGAACTTCAGTTAACTAGAGTTTCTGCCCAACTCCAATCCTGACTCACGCGGACATGGCTACTGAAAGTACACAGCCAAGAAGTTCATATACTGTTTACCTTTTGAATATGCCTTTAAAAAAAAAAAGCAAAATATACACATTAATTTCTGAGAATAAAGTGGACTATTTTTCAATCAAAAAATTCAGTTTGGGAATTTAAATGATTAACTTGGTACTTTTTTAGCTCTAATCTATATTTAGTCCCTTCAGCCTGCAAATTGTGGTGTGCTTTATGTCCTAGCTCCATAAGCTAGAAGTGTCTCAAGGGTTAAGGAGACTTTGGATTAAGATGCTTAATAATCTCTATGATTTGAGTTGCTCTGGGTGCTGTTTAATATGAATATCCATCTGATCACACTCACCTTGGACTGTGACTGGTACTCTGACCATGACAGAACCCATCAGATTTCGAGCAACACATTCATATTCAGATGTATCTTCTTTCTGAGCAGCAGAGATATATAACGAGTTGTTGGACAACACATTAACTCGGTCATCCCAGGGGATAGCGTGCCCTTGACGAGACCACATAATGGCTGGATGAGGCTCTCCAGTGGCCTGACAATTCAATATGACTTTGCCACCAACATTAATAATTGTTGCTATTGGCTCCAGAGTGATAATAGGAGCACCTACAGGGAAAAAAGCACATAATGCTTCTTAGTTTTGGTGCACTAATATAAGCATTTTAACCAATATTATATAGTAACATTATTTTTAAAATTAGGTTAATCTGTTTATAAAACACTGTAGCTTCTCAACTGCTAAGGTTGTAATTACCATTGATAGAATTTTCATAGCTGTTTTATTTAGTAAAAGTCAAAATTTTAAATCCTTAAGCAGGGTAGCCTAGAGCAGAGGTCGCCAACCGGTGGTTTGTGGACCACTGGTGGTCCGTGAGGTCTGAAAGGTTGGCGACCGCTGGCGCAGAGCATGGGACCTGCAGTCAAGGTTTCTGAATTCAAGTCCTGCTTCCACTCCTTACTACCTCTCTAGATTTCATGTCCTTAAACATAGTGCCTAGTTTGAAGGATTGTTAGACTCCACTAAGATGATGTAGGCACAGCTCTTTGATAAGCTAAGACCAAAAGAGTATTAGTGCTATTGTTATCATTGCTGTTTTTTACATAATGAACATTCATGTATTTCACTTATATAATTTTTGTGGTAAAGAGTCATTATTAATCTATTCATTACAAATCATCATTCATTTATTCATTAAACACACATTGAGAGCCTACTATTTCCCAGGCATTGTGCTAGATGCTGAGGATACAGAGATAACAGATACAACGTCTTCTAGTCTGAAGGAGCTCATAGTCTACTGATAAGATAGACCAGTAACTAATTATTGAGTTGTGTTATAATATACCTATAGAATGAAGTAATAGGATAGGTAGAATACAACTTAGTAGAGTGGGTAAATGTGTGGAGACATGGGAACATAAACAAAAATACCTTAATAAATCACATGAAAGCATGTCACTGGAAATGGAGAGGAAAAAAGACATTCAAGAATTATCAAGAAAGTAGGAATGATAGGACTTTCTCATTGAATTGTATGAAGTAAAGGGAGGAATTAATGACTACAGAGTTTTGATTTGGGAAATATAGTGTATGTTGGGCAACTTGATAGAACACTGGAGGAAGAACAGATTTGTTGGGAGGGAGTAAGGAATGGTGCTTTGCATCCATTTAGAACTGTCTCTACACTTGAGGTATCTGTGGGACATTGCTGCAGAAATGTCTAGATGGAAAGTGAATATTCATTTCTGGAGTTCAGAATAAAGAAATGGGCTGAAACTACAGACTTGTGAGTCTTTCACATGTGGATAAGATTATTTCAGAAGTGAGTCTAAAATGAGAGGAAGAGGGCCAGAGACAGAAACTATTGCAACATTATTATTTAAGAGATGGACAGAAGGCAAACCCATCAATGGTACTAAGAACTGATCACTGAGGTAGGAAGAAAATCAGAGAAAATAGTATCCTGGCAACCAAAGGAAGGAGTTTCAAGAGGGAGGTAGGGGTTAATAGTTCCTATAGTGGATGATACCTGCTCCAGTGAAGTCACTGGAGAGAATGTAAAAGAAGTTGTATATAGCTGCTGATTGAATATTTATCGTTTTACAAGTCTACAGTGTCAAGATAGAATGTGAAAGACTTCATGGGGGTTAAGAAGCTTGACTGCATTTTCAAAAATGGGTAAGATTATATATAAGAGAAGGGAGCCTATTGGAGAAAAGAAAATAGCATGGCCGTGGATTTAGCTTTGAAAGGATGATTCATCCTGTGGCATACAAGGTTTTAAATATGTGGTTAAAATCTTCAAATGAAAATCAAAGGATTTGCATTTAAATAGGCAAGCGAAGGGGAGTGTGTATATCCTTGAAGGAATATGATGGGATGACAGCAGTGTTTTAGTGGGATTGAGTTAAAAGGAAGGATTAACTGCTCAAAGAGAGGGAATAAATATCAGATAATTCAGGGTGGTGGCTGCATAGTTTAGATCGAGAAGTATATCTGGAATAATAGAACATAAAACAAAAAGATAGAAGTAAAATGTGTTTTATTGTGACATTAATATGCTAGTATTTTATGTAAAGATATACTGATGTATTGTCTTTTCATATGAAGTTAGAATCTCAGGGAGAGTCATTAATGTATTATTTATATAAACGCCCACATCATCCTACATAACTGCCTTCCTACTGATGTTTACATTAACCTCACTCTAGGAACTTTCATTTCTCTCACAGTGTTCAGATTACATTATGCATTCAATAAGCTTGCTGAATAAAGTAAATACTTCTGATTAATCGCTCAACACTAAATGGCAATATAATGACCAAATGAGCTCATCTGCTCATGTTATTATGGTCAAAGAAAGTGTCAAATAAAACTCAGAATCTTAATTGAGATAACATAGTTGAACATTTCCAAATGCACACAAGGCTGTAAATTAATCCAACAATAAAATTCCTTATGTACATCTTTTAAGGTTGACTTAATTCCACCAGTCACATAATGATCAGTTAAACATGGTCATTTTATCTAAATGAAGACATGGTTTCTGGTTCTTTAATCTTAATTTTAAACAAATTATCTTTTTGGCTTCTTTTATATGGCTCATTTATTTAAATGTGTTTACTGTCAGTAATTTTAAATGAGCTCATCTAATGCAGCCTGTCTTAAACCTGATCAGTGGAACACTCTTTCAGAAGAGATTAATCATGTGATGTTCTACCTACATTCACCCAAACAAGGAAGGGAGAAGTTTTCACGGGAATAACATTTATTTGGGAAATGTGGCATTTTATATTCTCCTCTTGTTGAGTTATAACTCACATCAGCATATTAACATTTTTGGAAAGATCTGCAATATAGAAACTTTACTGCATATAGTGGGTGTTCTTTATATATGTTTAATAAATGAATGAATGTTGTTTAATCTTTTTTCCCTTCAGACTTATTTGACCATCCAACTCAACTTTTTTTCTAATAACATTCCACAAGGTTATCATTTGATAAATATGCACTTAGCAAGATAATGGAAACAACTTAAGTATCTGTTGATGGATGAATGGATAAAGAAAATGGTGTATGTGTGGTGTGTGAATACCTGTATAATATATATATATATATTTCAGCCCTAAAAAAAGAAGGAAGTTCTGCTGTTTGAGACAACATGGGTACACCTGGAGGGCACTATGTTAATGAAATAAGCCAGACAGAGAGAGACAAATAGCATATGCTATCATTTATATGTAGAATCTAAAAAAAAAAAGTCCAACTCATAGAAACAAAGAGTAGATGAGTGGTTGCCAGAGGGTGGAGGATGGGAAAAATGGGAAGATGTTGGTCAAAGGATACAAACTTTCCGTTACAAGATGAACAGGTTCTGAGGAGCTAATGTATAGCATGGTGATTTTAGTTAATAATACTGCATTGTATACTTGAAATCTGCTAAGTGTATAGGTCATTAGTGTTCTCACCAAAAAAAAATAAACCAAAACAAGCAGTAACTGGGTAAGGTGATGGATGTGTTAATTAACTTCTTTGTGGTAATCAAGTCACAACACTTACGTATATCAAATCATCACATTGTACACTCTGAATGTTCACAATTTTGTCAATTATACCTCAATAAAGCTGGAGGGAAAAGACTGTCTTAGACATTGTAAAAACATCTATTCAATGTTAAATTCTTACAGAAAAGTGGTTTGGCAAATAGCTGTTAGGAAATACCAGTCAACAGCATCTCTCCATAGTGAAGGAAGAAGATGTAAATTCATCCCCTTAAGTATTGAGCCTATTCACTAAAGTCGGTTGGCTTAAGTTCTCAACTCAATGACGCTGTCCGCGGGTTAGTCCCTGAAATGGTTCCAGGGCACTGTCCAATGGGCCTCTGGAGTCCTTCCTGTTTTTCTAATTATGAAAGCGCTTTCTTCCGGGGGCTTGTACTGAGGGGCTTCATGGGATAAGCCTGCCCAGATCACATAGTTATTCCATGGAAATAGCGATAGATCTGGAGCACTTTTGAGGTCGTTTACACTCGTCTTTATTTTTAATACACACTTTTAAAGAGCCACAGAATGGCATCGTTGCAAGCACTTTACAAGAACTGCAGTGAGCTATAAGAAGAGTATTCAATGGAATATATTGCAAACAAACAACAAACAAAAGCACTGCCATGAAGCACCTGTGATTTTGAACTGCGTGTGTTAGATAAAATAGAGGAAAATGTCTGTGCCAAACTGTATCTGCCTTATGCTCTATAACAATGGCTCCGTCAGCCGCAGATCCTAAGAGTGGACACACTCTGAAAGCTGCCGTTGATGTACCTGCTATAAAGCTAAGGAAAGTGGACATTCTTTAATAGGCAACATTGCTTTGATCAGGGGTTTAACTGGAATGTAATGAAGCAGCTTACTCTGCAGAGTCAGGCTCACGCTGCGCTCCACCATCCCAGCCTCGTTAGCAGCTACACACGTGTAGTCACCGGCATCGTCATTCTAAGGAAAAAGCAGTGTTTGTGGAAACGTGAGCTCACAGAGCAGGGCAAACACCTTCGTTCATCATGACACTAGTTTATATGAAATTTTCTTTTTGAGACGGCAGTTTAATGGAAATAGAAAAACCTACATATCTTTAACCTCATAAATAGGTTAAAAAAAAGAAGTAGAAAAAGAAATTCCTAGCCTACTTTTTTTCAAAACAGCTCATTATTGCTCTCTGGGATAATACTTACTAGGAAACCAGAGCAAAAAATAGTATTTTAGAATAATCATCTACCCAAAATTACCTTACTAAAGGAACATGTTGATGCTATTCTTATAGTAACTTAAAAACATTAAAATAATCAGGACAAATGAATAAATATGGAGTCTTTTCTAATGGGGATTAGTTCAAAATTTAGGGGATAACCAACAACATCTAATGCTGAAACTAAAAACCAAGGAGAATAAAGAGTGAGAGTGGTCACTGGATTAGGTGGTTAGATAGCATATTTTAATTATTATTTCAATTAATTAAAAACAGGTTAATAAATTACCCATATGTAGTCTAGCCGATAAATTTTTAGATAAAGTATTTCATTCACATGACCCTCAAATTAGAATAACTTAAAGCGCTACTCATTTTCCAAATTACTGAAGTTTTTGGAAAGCCTAATATATAGTTATTGACTTAGTGATGAAAACTGCCCTAAAATTTGTTTGTAATTGTGTTTGTGATTCTTCAATTTCCTGTTCTACTGTTGCTAACTAATAGGCCAATGATCAAGAACAAAGCAGAAAAATTATTTTATGGCTCATACTTCTTCGAAAGGCCTAAAAAGAATAGCTTTGAACCATTGTTTCAGTTTTTTTATAACAACCCATTGATTCAGATTTTACGATTTAAATAAAAATGCAGGAGAAACTTTTCCCATCCATGGCACCTATAGAAAGGCATCCATTGTGGCAGTTGATCAACAATTCCAGTGCGACTTACTACGGTGCCATAAATGGCCAGGGAGCCATTGCCAAGTTGGTGGATTCTGTGGTTAATTTCAATATCCACCCCCTTTCTGCTCCACTGGATGGTTGGGGCAGGATCGCCTTTGACCTCACAGTTCAGAATTGCATTTCCGCCAAGTGGTTCAATCCAATTAGAAGGGTAATCACCTTTGAAGACTGGAGGTTCTGGGAAAAAACACAAGGCAAAGTATAAGTAAAAGGAAGCTCTGATCATTTCTTTGTGATGTTGAGCTATTTAGAAAGGTCATTTAGTGAAGGGTACAGCCACTTTCAAAGCCCATGAATTTTCCAAAATCAACGGCTCATGCTAATCAACTGGATAATCTCACCAGTTTCAGATGGTTACACTTTGTGCCAAATGATCTCCTTACTTACTGCTTACCTACTTTGAGTTGCATGTTCAAAATATTCTATTTCTTATGAATTTGCATATCTGTGAATTAGGACTAAATGGATTAACAAACTGAAGGTATGGTGTATTACTACATAAAAAGAAAGGAAAATGCAAACCATTTATTATAAGTAAATTATGAATAAAAAAATAGAGCACTGTTACCTACCTTTCACATAAACAAATCCAACTGCCTTCACAACACCCATGCTGTTCTCTGCGGTGCACACGTAAGTACCCGAATCCTCTTTGGAAACCCTTTCAATAACAAGTTCACTGTGTCCGTTGACACTGTCAAAGTGGGCTGAGAGAAACAAGTTAGGGAACAAAACAAATGCCTCTCAGTAACCTGGGAAAACAATCACAACAGCTCCGCATTTTGCAGGTTAGATTTATGTGTTAGTCAGCAATTGCACCCGAGATCTCATCATGACCTTGGAGAAGAGAGCCTTTCCCACAGATCCCTTCCTCTGGGCTATTTGCTCTGTCTATAGATGCTTGTCTGAAGAATGAAAAACAGCAGAAGGAGCAGGAAAAGAGAGTGAAAACAAACATTTTAAAAATTATTTGAGATTGAAAATACACCTTTCATCTCCAAGTGTTGCCTAAATCTGGTTCATAGTCTCTCTGGGTTTCAAAAATCTTTCACTCAGAAATATGACATTGTCCATTTAATTTATCTCACCACCACTTTTCCTCCCAAACAATTTCCATCAAAAACATGAAAAAATTTTCAGTTACAATTCAACTGACTTGGCAAGTCAGAGGGGATGTCATGAAAATATACACGTTAGGTAATGACAACATGATTAAATTTGTAATAATTTAAACTTCTCCATAATCAGTGGTGATATAAATACTTACAAAGGTAGTTATAACATTTGGAGTACACTATAATGTTAATCCTAAAGCAACTGATACTAAATAAGATTCTGATTAGACCAGTCAATATCTAATTATGTTAAGTATATATTTATCTTGCATGATTTTCCCAAACTATCTTTTAAAATTTCATAGTGCTGAACATTAAGTGAAAAATTAGGCTTTAAAATTTAAATAGCTAAATAAGTACTGTACCCTCAGAAAATAGTACTTAAGATATTTTTGCATGTTATTTTCCCTTAGTGACATATACTATTATTATTAAGGTAATATAGTTGATGAACTCCAGTCATTAACATAAATATTTGTAACAGAAAGATCTAAAGTTTATTACCACATTTCTAGAAAGATATTTATTAAATTCTAATAGTGCAGGATTTCAGAACACAATTTTGGACAAGTTTTATTACTGCAACATCTTTATGCTCATAACAAAGTCTAACAAATAAGGAGATACTTGTCATCCCAGCTCTTGAGTTCCAGGCACTAACTACCTTAATATGTAGTGCACATATTGACTAGAAATTTCTACATAATCAATCTACACTATAATAGAGATTAATGCATATAGTAGAAGCAGAGTTCTCTGTAAATTTAAGACTCTAATGGTAGCCAACTTAATTCATTTATCAATGATGAAGGAGATCCGGTGGGGATAAATTTAGGTGCCAGTATTTACAATACACTTTTCTCCTGGGGGAGACAGATTATTTTTAGGTTAAAATATCTACTTATGTCCTGCAATATATGGTCCTGTGACCAATTTATCCTTTCAAAAGAATGGCAAGAATATAATATACGAGGTATAGGTGAAAATCCAGGCCAAGTTACACATTTTACAGAATGTGGAGCAATCAATTCTTTTTAAAATTGTTTTCTGTTTTGATTTTTTCAGAGAGAGAGAGAGGGAAGGAGTGGGAGAGAAACATTGATGTGAGAATGAAACATTGATTGGCTGCCTCTTGCATGCTCCCCTCCAGGATCCAGCCTGCAACTCGGGCATGTGCCCCAACCAGGAATCGAACTGGTAACCTTTCAGTGCATGGGATGATGCCCAACCAAATGAGCTACATCAGCCTGGGCGAGCAATCAATTCTTCATGTAACTTTCAATCAATTCCCATAGCTAAAGGAATGAAGATTGGATTAGAGTTCTTTGTGGGCGTATTTCTTCTCTTCTGAAGAATTAAATTACCAACCTGGGATAATATTGTTGTTGAAGGTCCATGTTAACTTGGGCAGTGGAATACCAGTTGCTTTACAGCTTAATCGTAGCTTTTCTCCTTTATTTAATGACACATCACCAGGAAGTTCAGTGAAAGTGGGGAGAACATGTACAGTCAGGCTGACAGTGTGTGTGTCTTCACCTGCAGCGTTGTTTGCAACACAGGTATAGGTGCCAGAATCCTCCAGCTTAAAGAAAGAAAAATCATAGTGCTTAAAATTACATAGTCTCACATCACATTAGACAAAATACATAAACTTGCACAGCTTGGTCCCCAAAAGAGCATTCTTATATAAAGACAGTTTAAATTTCTATTTTGTAGTCTGCCCCATCTGTCTAGCTTTCGGCATAACATAAATTAATATGTATATGAATTTAAACAAAAGCCTATACCTTATAGAACTCTAGCATTTTATGGCCCCAAGAGCTCACAAAACTTTAGATTCTAAAGTTTATAAAACAGCTGGTGTACTTCTGCTCTGCATTGTGCAAATACAAAACAAGTAATTCTAAAGACTGGTTGCGTCTCGACAGTAGAGTTGGTGCTCTGGGTAATGTGGCACCAACGACTACCAACTTTTTAAAGGAAGTAACAAGAGTAGGGGCAGTATTACCTGCAATTCTGAAGTTTCACTTGCTAAATCCAACTGCCAGTTCTTGGCACGCATGTTACCATCGTAACTAGCTAGTTATTAATATTAATAACAGGAAAGGAACCAAGGGGAGGCCAGACATTATAAGCCTAGTCATCTGGGCAGCTTTACCAGGAAGCTGCAGTTTTACACTTCCACCAGTCCCTTCCCTGAAGATCACTGGGGGAAGAGACCAGACAAAGGGGAAATGGATGCATGCACAGCGAAGTAGAAAAGGTGCTTGTCTGTCTTTCTAACCTAGAAAAAACATAATTGGCCAAAGGGGGTGGAGCCACTGCAAGTCCATGAAATCTTAGAAAGGGTAAAATCCCCCGATAAAGCAGTTCATTCTCTTGTTCTTCGCTTCTCTCCCGATTCTTTGCACTCGTCCATGTGCTAGCCTGCTATGTGGCCCTAGAGGCTGCATGGTCTATGGCCATGCAGCCCCCACACAATGGACTGCAGCTGGGAACACAAGCTAAGCTAGCCTGATGCTAGACTGGACTGTGCAAATATGGAGTGGAAACTCTGGACCCTGGCTTTAATCCTCGCTCTGCTGAAGATAAAATGGGACTTTTCCTTGGGCAGGATGGAGTGAGATGGGACCTTGGAAATTCCGGGGTTTCATTCCACAGAAAGAAAACTTTCTACAATACCTCATCTTCTGGTGGAGGCCTCAGGAAACCCTTATTCCTGTGGCACCCCAAGAAGCCCACTTCCACCAGCAATAGGTGGGGACACAGAGAACACCCCACTGATAACTATCTTACTGGATTTATTGGTGGCATGTGAATTATGACTCCCTTCTCTTTGAGACCATGTCTTCACTTGGCTTCCTGGATACCCAACTCCCCTAGTTTTTTTTCCTATATCACTGGTTGCTCATTTTCCATCTCCTTTTGCTGACTGCCCCTAAACATTACATCTTAATGTTGCCATGTGAAAGGTCCCAGTCATTGGCCCTCTTTTCTTCTTCTTTTTTTTTTTTGATGATTGACAAATAAAAATGGTATGTATTTATTAGGTTGTATAACGTGAGATTTTTTTTATTGATTTCAGAGAGAGGAAGGGAGAAGGAGAAAGGGATAGAAACATCAGTGATGAGAGAATCATCCATCGGCTGCCTCCTGCACGCCCCCTACTGGGGATTGAGCCACCCTCTTTTCGTCTTTATCTGCACTCAATTCCTTGGTGCACTCATACAGACTTATGGCTTAAAATACCCCTCTATATAAGTACCAGTATTTCCAGCTCAGATCTCTCTTCTAAATTCCAACTATACTGAACTTCTCAGTTCAACTCTCTGCTTGGATGCCTAAAACTCATGTCCAAAACTGAACTCCAATTTCCCTTTCCCCCTTCCTGTTCTAGCTTAACTTTTAATTTCTCTGAAATTGGAATACAACTTAAAAACTGGTCATCTGCGCTAGTTTGCTTGTTTACATTTTTTTTCTTAGTGGTATATAAAAAAATGATCCATCTTACTACTGAAGGAACTTTAGATTTGAAATGAGACTTTTGCTGGCACATGTGATTGAGTTAGGGCCTACTGACCTAGCTTACCACTAGGGCTTTATACCTGGTAATCCCAGGGGTCTGATTCCTATAAAGTAAATGGGATCAACTTTATAGGTACATGCCCTTGACCGGAATCGAACCTGGGACCCTTCAGTCCGCAGGCCGACGCTCTATCCACTGAGCCAAACCGGTTTCGGCAAGAAAACTATTTTTTATACTTGTTTAATAGCATATCAGACTTTCTTACATCTCCATTCTCCTAATTGTTCCCATACATGGTTATAAGTATGGAATATAACAAATAAATTTAGAATTTTTTTCTGAGAAAATATTTTCATAAAAAATAAAGTAACAATTTTAGAAGGAGGGCATTCATGAGTTCCTACTATCTGTTTAATACTAGTCTCAGATCTGGGACATAAAATAAGTGTAAAATGAATTTATAAGAGTATTTTTCTTTCATTATTAAAAAACATATCTCCAAGTTAAACTATTGAAAGTTAAGAAGATAAAACAACAATCTGGCTCACTGTACTATCCATGTCTGTTACACTTACCACAACATTCTCCAGAATGAGTTCTCCATAGGGTTCAACAGTGTATTTTCCTAACAAATTGGCTAAAAGAACATTGTCTTTTTTCCAGTGAATTGCTGGTGTAGGGATTCCATCAGCCACGCATGGAAAAACAGCCTGTGAATTCTCACTGACGGTGTAGTATACTTCCGTACTTCGAATTTTGGGTGGCACTACGAAGAGTTTAAAATAGATGGTCATTTAGGATGTTGAGTTCAATAATATATTTTTTACATTGAAAATTAGCACAACAAAGAGTCTTTGGAAGGTAAATTTGCTAGAAATACTAAAAAAATCTATTAAGATATTGATTTGTTTGTTACTATAAAACCAATCAACACTTCTGATGCTAGCAAGAACTGTCATGGATTTGAACTTATTGAGTACTTTACAGTTTCAGGGCAAATGACTTAGGGCAGGGTTGAAAACCTTTACATTTTATTTGACTTTCTTGAGTTTCTTTTCCTTTTGCAGTGAAGTAAAACAAACGCCAAACATGCTTCTTTTGTTGTAAACTGCTGGATTTGTATCAGAGACATATTGTGAGAATGAACTAATGAAAGTTACCAGTTTAAACACTGTAACACACTGCCCCATACTGAATATCACAAAATGTTAAAGAAAAAGTAAATTATTGCAGTATTTCACGTGTTGCAACAGACGCAAGCAAAAGCAGGTCAAGACATTTAATTCAAGTTTTATACTGTCACAAAGGAAATTTATAGTGATTTCATCACTCTGTGCATTGTGATACCAAATATTTCCTGTGCCTCAACTTTTTGAACTAGAATTTTGGCAATAAAGATAAATTGAATGTTTTGGTGTACTAAAAAATACTTTAGTGGATGTAGAACTAAGACATTCTAAAGGAAAAAGTCTTTAAAGTTTTAAGAATATTTGGATCAAAAAGTAAAAATATCTTCCCTCCCAAAACAATGAACTTTGAAATTATTCAAATACATCAGTGAGAAATGGATCCATTTTAATACCCTTTAAAAAGTGACAGGACAACAGTTGGTCTCAGTAAAAGTAAAGCTATTGTGTAAACTCCAATTTTTCATCCTTTTTATAATTATATGAGAAAATATACAAACATGATTGAATGAATATATGCATAAACATTACAAATATGAAAAACATAAGAACCTATTTTGTTTAATGGTACATCATAAATATTCAACTCATTTTTAATTGAATCATGCTGTATTTTTATTATCTCCTTTACACGGGTTTCTTTGGAGTTATTTATTTTGTTAGTTGTTATAGAGTTCCAACATTAGTACATTTACTTCAATTCATTCTTTTTCAAAATGAATAATTTAAGGCTATGCCTTTATATTTCAGTTTCGTTTTGGCCACACACCATGCATTTTGATATGCGCCATCCTTATTTTTATTATTTTCTAAATAATCTAAAAGTAAAAACATATTATTTAACCCACTTGTTAGTTAGAATGGTATTTTGTAATTTGCTTGGGGTTGAGGTTTTGGCATTAAGAGTTCATTACAGATGTCCAGCTTTGTGGGCAGGAATTGTGGCATGTTTTTTAAAAATCTTAATGATTTCTTTGTTGTTTAGTATCTGGTAAATTTTGGTAAATTTTCTACAAATACTCAAAAAGAAGGAGTGTTATTTATTCATTAGTTCCTTATTTATTAAGGGATCAATATATATTGATTAGATCAAATATATGAACTGAAAGCAATGTATTTCTTTGGAAAGAAATGTAGAAAACTCATAAATGGTGATTTTTTTTGTTTTGGCTAAATTATTCATTTATCAATTAAAAGTGATTTCACTTGAACTTTTACTGTAACTATGAAGCTGTAGGAAATTCAAATACAGCTGGTAAATAAAAAATAGCTTTCACAAACTTTTGAAAAAAGAAAAGCAGAAACTCATCATTAAAACAAGAGTAACTACTATTAGCAATACTAAGATTACAAGTACTAATAATAGTTCTGAAAATAGTAGTTAGAAACAGCTTGATTTGCTCAGTTTCCTACCACTGATATTAATAGTTATTCTATCATTAGTCTTACAATATATATTAACAACTAAAATATTTAAATACTGATCTTTAGATATTGTCATTGAATACAAAGGAAAATGTGGTACCTTTTTTTCTGTTACAAAAACTATACATGTAAATATTTTGCTACTTTAAAATAATGAATCAAATAGATCTCTAATTCTCATCGGGTTCACACTATATTTATAATGTAGGTCATGGTGATTAGTTTGGCGATGACTTTCGACTTGAGAAGTGAAGCAGAAGAATCGCAAATACAAATGGACTTCTCATAAGCCAAAGTACAGATCTCAGTAATCACAATATGAGGGGATCACTGGCAGCATATTAACTATCCTGGACACATTATTAATAAAATATCTCTTTCTCACATGCAAATAAATGCCTACAGAAAACAGATTTGAAGGGCAAGTGTACCTACAGCGCGCACACACACACACACACCCTCCACATTATGAATTATTGGTTTTGCATGGTTTTTATTTACATCAGATGTTTTCTTAGGGGCCTCTTTACCATGGTAATGTTGTAGATTGAAATAATCTTTTTTAATTAAATCTTTATTGTTCAGATTATTACAGTTGTTCCTCTTTTTTCCTCCCATAGCTCCCCTCCACCCAGTTCCCACCCCTAGATTGAAATAATTTATGTGAAACCACCTACCGTGGACAGTGAGCTTGGTGCTCGAGCTGCTAGATCCTGCCACGTTAGCCGCCATGCATGTGTACTGGCCGGCGTCCTCGGGCTGAGCAAAGGCTATTTGCAAAGCCCCAGAGCTGAGGGTGCGCTGGCGGACTGATTCCACAATGGCATGGCCACCTTTATGCCACGTGATGTCAGGCGGTGGGAGGCCGTCTGCCTCACACGGTAGTGTGACAGGCTTATCCACAGCAATGATATATTCCTTTGGATGGATGGTGATGACAGGAGGAACTAAAGATACAAAGTTCAAATTTCATCTTAAAAGTATGAATGTACCATTCACACACTCTAGTACTCCCCTAGCAAAGTGAAGTCTCAGAGATAAGAAATAAAATCCTGACTTTAGCATATAATCAAAGGGTCAAGTTTGTTTTCATTGACCTCATTTCAGAAAAGTATTCTTTATATAGTTAACAAATGTCAACAACAATCAACTTTAAATAAGGATAAAAACATATATTCCCAAGGAATTCCATGTCCAGAAAATTTAGGCGGTGTTGACAGGCACTTCTTAAACATGCATGTATTGTGTGATTCACTTCAGCTATTTAAGCTTTCAAAACAGACTCCTTCAAAGTTTGGAATTAACTGCTCTCTACTTATGCATTTTCTATGGTGCTTAAGTATGGTGTCTCATATACAGTGGCCAAATTTAATGAAGTATTACTTGAATGAATGAATAAATAAATGAATGGGTCATAGAAAAAAATTATATAGATAAAACTTTTCCCACTTCTTCAGAAAATTATGGAAGGGCTGATGATAAAGACTTTTCCTTTCTAGTGTTTATAATAAGTTGATTAACACTTAGGTATTGGTCTGGGTATTCTATTGAGACTTAAAGACAGCTTAAATTAGTATGAGAGAACAACCAACCGCAAGCACAGGACATAGGAAGGAGAGGAAGAGGATGGCCTCCCCACCTTCAAGGCCAGAGATGGTGACAAGTTGCAGAGACAGCCATGATGCAAAATTTAAAAAAAAATCCTCTGAAATATCCACCACCAATTCAAAAAAGCTTGAGAGACAAGGCCAACAATACTCATTGTTACCACAGGCTGACGAAGAAATGAAATCAGAAACAAGAGATCTCTGAGAACTCCACTCTTCCAAGTAAGACCCTCCGTACATGGCAAGACCCGGGGGGGCCTAGGACTATCTGCTATATCTCCAGAGGCTATGGAGAAATGGTCAACTATGTAGAGACCAAATCTTAGGCTACGCTAAAGGTGATGAGTGAAATAAAATCCCCATGTTGTGAAAAAATACGAATAAGCATGTTACAATTATTTTTACCAACTAAAATTATCTGGTTGAATCTGTGCTTGCAATTACATGCTGTATCTGCAAGGAGCGGCTGTATTCAGAATTGTTCCCGTCTCTAGAGCACACAATGATCTCTGGCTGCTTTTGGGATGTTGAAATGCTCTTAGTTGTTTAATGTGTTTCTTTGTCCCATAATTGCTCATATTGATAATTTTAATCAATTGGTGAAAACAAAACAAAAAAACCCCCTCAGTCTGGAACTGTTCTTTTCCATGACCTCTGTATTGTCAAGACCAATGAAGTATTTCTTGGTCCTTACCCTACGTGACCTCTCACTTTCATTCAACAAAGCTGTCCACTCACTCTCCTCTCCTGGCCTCAGTCTCGTTCTCTTCTGACTCCTCTGCCCTGTCCTTTTTATCTTTTCCAGTGTCTTCTCCTTTCTGGGACCCCTAAACAATGCAGTGTCCCAGGGGGCTTTGTCCTTAGCTCTTTTCTATGCAAATTCTCAACCAATCTTGTGAATTAAAATATAATTGTTACTTCCTCATTGATATCTTAGATATTTCTCCCATGAGTCCTGAATTCATAACTATTCATCTATTTGACATCACTAGGATTTCGAATAGTTTCCCACATTTAACATGATTAAGCACAAATCCTGGTTTCCTTTCTCCTACCAGTTCCTTCCTTGCATTCCCCGTGGCGAAATCATCACTCAGCAGCTCAAGCCCAAAGCCCAGTGATTCTTCTATTTCCCTAACCTCTCAAATCTGATTTATCAGCAATCGTGGCAATTACACCTCCATAAATATTGTCAACCCATCACCTTTTTTCATTAACCCTTGAAACTCCCCAGTCCTGGCCAGACCATAATACCCTGCCTAGGTGACTTTAATAGCTCTTCCAGCTCTAGTCTTGCCTTTTCTCTAAACTGTTAGCTGCACAGCAGCGAAAGAGATCATCCTAAAACCAAATCAGAGTTCTGGTTAAAGGCTTCCCAATGCACAGACAATGAAATCTAACCTTCCTTCGGTCCTTCGGCCCTCCATGCACTGGCCCTGCCTTTTTTTCTGACCTCCCTCACGTTTGCCAGCCCCTCCCCCCCCTCACTCATCACTGTCTAGCCACACTGGCATGCTATTTTCTTACTCTTTCCTGTCTTTGGGCCATTGCACATGCTGTCCTCTTTCAGACACTCCGCCACCTTACAGGCTCACCCTAGCTCATCAATCAAGTCTCAGCTCACATGGGACCTAATCAAACAAGGCACTTTAACCGCTGAAGTGGTCCCCACGTTTCCCCATTATTCTCCATCTCAGCCGTTTGTTTTTTCTTCTGAATGGCATATATCAGAATTTTTAATTATTTTATTTGGTAGTTTTCTTCTTCTTCTCCATACTAGAAGGGAAGATTCATGTCTGATAATTATTTTATTTGGTAGTTTTCTTCTTCTCCATACTAGAAGGGAAGATTCATGTCTGTAATGTTCAATGTATTTCCACTTATTATCCCAATAAATATTTGTTGAAAAAGACAAAGAAATTAGATTTACAATCTGCAGGGAAGTGAGCTTTACTAATAGTAATTAATTCATCATAAGAAAATCACACTATAAGGAAATTCAAAATCAGCAAACTCAGTGGCTCAGAACCCATTTTCAGTGCACTTAATTCACAATAGCAATGCATAGGATATGAAAATTATATCAAGAAAATACCAGTTAAATGTGGAAAAAAACGATTTTGTCTTGAGAACAATTTTATTCCCATCAACTTGGTTTAACTGCTATTATAATATGTTTTTAGGTGGATATTGCAATCTAATGTTTCAATTATGGAGAGAATAGCTTTAAAAATCACCTTCAATGAAACAGAGTCCCAAACAGCCGTTCACAGAAGATCAAAATATGATGAGATGCCCCAGTTTTCTTATACAAACAATGCCCAAAAAACCCTCCCAAAACTTAAATTTTTTTTCTTCGTAAGGGTCATAGATGACATAAACTAAGAGAGTTAACAACTATTTTAGACATATGAATTTTGGTATTCATGGTTGCGGCAGCTTTGCAATAAAGACATACAGATTTGTGATTTGGGTACCTTGAACATTTAACTTGATTTTGCCCAAGGCTGTACCAGCTGGATTCTGAGCCACACACATGTAAGAGCCGGCATCCTCTCTCACGGCTCTGGAGATCTGCAAGCCGCCACCAGGAAGAACTGCATGGCCGTTGCCTACATCACAGTAAGGAAAGCGGAGTGAGAAGAATTTTTATTTCCATTAAAAAAAATGACACTGACTTCTGAATCAGAAAGCACCGTCTAGCCACGGTTTTCTTGATAGAAACTGTGGCAGTACCTGAAGTGATGACATTGATGCCTTCTTTTTGCCAAGTAATGAAAGGACTGGGTGTCCCTGTGGCTTCACATGGTAACAGAATGGGATTGTTTAGAATGACGTCCAGTTCACTTGGCTGAGGATGAATGGCTGGAGGCTCTAGAAGAACCAATCAACAGAAATAAACAATGCCACTCATTGGTGGCAGAAAAGTCTATAGTAGCCATGAGGTTAAACGTGCCCAGATTCATAATTCCAAAACTGCCGTGAGTTGACTGTCCCAGGGAAAAGTGAATATTGGACACATTACATTTTTTTTTAGTCTTGCTGCTACTGTAGCCAGATTCCATTAGAAGACCAGAAACAGGAACAGGTTATAAAAATTCAAGAAGAAAAATAACTTGGGAATTGTTCTGTGGGGTTTATTATCTGTGTGTCTTCTTTAGTCTATTGAAGACTACCTACCAAGCTTTCTTATCCTCAACATATTACTGTGGTTCACAGATCTAGAATAAACATGACAAAACAAAACAAAAAGCCAATGTCAAGGTTTTAACGAGTCAATAGTCTTCCATACCCTGGACACGAAGGGTCACGTGTCGATGTGCAGAACCAGCCGCATTCCTGGCGACGCAGGTGTATCTTCCCGCATGGCTCAATTCAGTGGCAAATATCTCAATTGCTCCTAAAAAGAAAAAAAGTTTTCATGCACAGGGCATCCCTGTATTTCTGGCTCGATAAATGATGGTTCTCTGATTTTTGTGTTTTCATCCCCATAGCACAGTGGTGCTTGGCTTATATTCATACCTGTACCCCCTGAAGTGCCTAGCAAAGTACATTTAAAATCATCATTAATAGTTTCATTGAGGCAACCTTTACATATCATAAAATTCACCCACTTAGATGTACAATTCACAAATTTTAGTATATTTACCATAATCGAATGTTAGAATATTTCCATTTTCCTAAAAAGAAATCTCATCCCATTTACAGTCACTCCTGCTCCCAACCCAGCCCTAGGCGACCACTACTCTACTTTCTGTCTATATATTTGCCTTTTTGGAACATTTCATACAGATGGACTCATACAGAAGTCTTTTGTGTCTGACATCTTTCACTGTGAGCATAGTTTTTGAGTTTCACTTGTTGTAGCATGTGTCAATCTTTTTGTTCCATTTTATTACTAAATAGAATTCCATTGCATGGATTTATACACATTTACCAGGTGGTGGACAAATTAATTGTTTCTACTTTTGGCTATTATGAATTATACTGTATGAACATTTGCAAACAAGTATTTGTGTGGACACATGTTTAACATCATTTCTGAGTAGATACCTAGGAATGGAGTTGCTGAGTCATGTGGTAACTCTGTTTACCATTATAAGAAAGTTCCAAACTTTTTTTTTAGCACAATACTTTGTGCTGATGGATAATTAATGTATATTTTATGATTTTAATTGTTATGAACCTCTATGGGTTTCTGAGATAGCGAAATACTTTGCTTTGAAAGCCAAGTTCCGCCCCAAGAATAAATCTTCCATTATTTCCCTTCTAGTGAAGAAATAAACAAATTCTTTCAGAATAATATGCACATAATCATAAAGCCCCTGGATGTTAGTTGTTGCTTTATTTTATCCCCAGTGCACCTTCCCGATGCAGGATGAGCTTTTCAGAAACACCAAAGTGAACCACCTATACTTTCATATAAGTGAATTATTTTTTCTCTCTCTTCAATACTATAGGTTTTTAATACTTAACTTTTATAATTATTAGCTACCACCCTCAAAAATTATCCATTACAGCATTTATCATCCAGCCTTACCTGCTAAATTATAAATTGAAAGCAATAACCCCATATTGGTTTTATCATCCAAAACTACATGGTGTATGTAGTTTATTTTAGGCACTAAATGTTCTTTAAATAAATAGACATTCTATTTGGCCAATGAAAGAAACGCAGTTCACTCAAAGTCAACCAGTGAATTTGTTCAACCTTAGGTTTAGTAAATATGCCCATAAAATCCCAGTGATCATGCTTATTATATTCAGATCAGTCTTAGATATTGTTATTTTGTTTTTATACTTTTTCTCTCTTCCTTTCCCTAGGTCCCCTTCAAGCTCTCACTGAATTATTTTCCAGCTGCCTAATTCCAGAAATGTAGATGTAATTTATTCTTTTATTTTGGTGCAAAAAAAGCCAGGTGAGGCCATCCATTCATAATGACTGCAATCAACAACTGTGCAATCACGGAACTCAATCTTACCTGAGGACTGAATTCTGTAGCCATCTCCCCTGGGAAGCAGTCTTATACCATTTTTCATCCAGTGAATTGAGGGAAATGGAACTCCTGACGCAGCGCAGGTAATTATTGTTGGGGTGTGTTTGGTTACTAGGAGGTCCGTAGGCTCATCAGCTATGGAAGGTGGAACTAAAACAACAATAATAACACACAAAAAAGAAAACGCCATGTTTCCAACGCTTACAGGTTTCCAAAGTGTTATCATACATTTTTTTCCTCTTTCTACACTGAAAGGAAATGTTAAGTGAGAGGAAAAGGAAGCCCCCTTGTGAGGCTGGAAGGATGAATGATGTCAGCATAACTTTCACTCCACACATTAAGCCAGCTCTACCTTGGACAGTGAGATCTACGGTTCTCTTGTCCTCTCCAGCATCGTTTGTCACAGTGCACTCATAGGTGGCAGTGTCATCCACGGAAGGGGAAATAATTACTAGTGAACCTGAAGAAAGGAGCCTAGAAGAAAGATTTTAAAGCAATGAGATTCTATGTATCAGTTCACATAAATGTTTCCTGTTGGTTCAACATAGTGCCGTGTTATGAACTGGGGGAAATGGAACTGTTCTCATGTTAAAATGAGCATCATTTCTCTGGATACTTTAGGTATCAGACTTGAAGTTCCTATGGCAGTTGGTTAATAGGGCCTCAACCTTGACATCTATAGGAAGCGGTGGGTAGAAGGATTGTCTGAAGGGGGAGTCTTGCATTTTCAGGATGCTTCTATCATGATCAACCATCCCCTTCTAAGTGACTATAGTGCAAAGAGCAGGCTCATGAGAACCACTGTTTACTGAGCATTGAATACATTCCTGGCACCTTCTCAAATGCTTCACATCAATTATCTCTAAATCTCACCCATAACTTTGCAGGTTGGTATTTGGTTATTTCCATTGATAGATGGGAAATTACCAGTCTGTCTTGTACCTTTCCCTATTTCACATGTCTCCTTACCTGTGTTGGATACCTTGGAGATGCATAGTACATATATCAATAAGTCTTCTCCTTCCAACCAATTTGAAACTAAAGTGTTTAGGAGGCTTAGTAAATATGCATACATTATTTAAAGTAAACCTAAATAAGAATATCTATTTTTTTTTTACTTCAAACTGTGCACTGGAAGTACAGAAACAATTGGACTGACTGGGAACACATTTAACATGTTTTTTAATTCAAGGGCATTGTACATTTTTCAGATAGTGTGTACCCTCAAGTCACTAAAGCCCAATGTCAAAAGATTCAAAGGCTGAGAAAGAGAGGGTAGCAACAGCAGTTTAAGAGAAACACTTCTAGCCTCATATTTCTTGATGCATTAGAATTGATTTTTGTCAAAGATCTTTCCAAAGAGAACTTTTTTAAAGGTACTACTGCAAATCCTTTGATAACTATTAACTTAATTGTTAACTTAATTGATGCTCATCTAAAGCATCAGAAATTCATAGTGACTTAAATGTTAAACTTTAAAAATAACACACTGCCATATTACGAGGTATGGTAATAAACCCAGAAAAATGTAAAGAGAAAAAAAAAAGGAGAAAATGCTGTTTTTCCTTCCAAACATGCTGTCAAATACCTAAGTTGTGTTTCAAGGTATAAAATTTGAGCTTTATTGGACAAGTAAAACTTGAATTGTTTTTACAGAATAAATTTTCTTTTGTACTAAATCATGCGGTCATTCTTTGTCTTTATGAAATGCCAAAAGGTGCCAAATAAACAAACAAAAAAACTACAAAAAAACAGCAGAACAGAAATCTAATCCTGTAGACCTCACTAATAGACTTCAGATAGAAAGGTTGCATGAATGATTCAGAAAAAGATTTTGGGTTGGAAGACTAATTCCATATATATAAAAAAAGAAATACTTTCCAAACACTAGCTAATTCTTCATACTTTAAGTTATTTGTTGTCTTCATAGCTAGATATAAATCTTAATTATCTCTTAAATATTTTTCTGAGTAGAAGGTGGGATTTTTCAATGAAACTACTTCTTACCTGTAGGAATTCTGGTTTTGATCCACATTGAGAAGGTGCCCGTTTTTTCTCCAGCTGATTGATGGTTTGGGTATGCCAGTAGCTTCGCAAGCCAGAGTCGTTTGAACATTCACAGTTACAGTGATGTTTGTAGGGCCCAGAGCAATAGATGGAGGAACTAAAACAGTCACCAAATAAGAGGGAAACACTCAGCAAATACTATGCTGTCTGAAGTATTTCTGCCCAAGCAAAATTAATCATTGGCAACGTGCCTCATAGTTACAAAAACAATACCACTGTGTGCATTTAAATAGTGTTGTGATGGCACCATTCATAATGAGGAGAAAACACGGGTCTTGCCTGTTCATAATATAGTGTAACACATGTACATAGCCTTGGATAGCAAAGTCTTTTTAAAAATATGTATATTTCACTTCTTTATTTTTCATTTTTTTTGTTAATTCTCACCCGAGGATATATTTTTTCCAGTGGTTTTAGACAAGAGTGGAAGGGAGAGGGAGAGACAGAGAGAGAAACATCGATGTGAGAGAGACACATTGGGGTCAGGGATTGAAACCTGCACCTGAACTATGTGCCTTTGACTGGAATCGAATTCAGGACCCTTCAGTTTGCAGGTGAATGCTCTAACCACTGATCTACCGGCTAGGGCTATGAAGGTCTTTAAGACTTTACCGGCTTAGGGTATCAAAGAACATGTGACCCAAGGACTGGATGTTGTTCATAGAAGTGTACTTACCATGGACTTGTAAGTCTATCCGCCTGCGGTCGGTCCCAGCAACATTGGTAGCCATACACAAATATCGCCCAGCATCGCTGACATGCGCTGCCTGGATGTGAAGGAATCCATTTTCCAAGATGGAATATCTACAAGAAGGATCACAATGAAGTCCCTCGAATCAGCCTTTTCTGATGACTCACATTTTGACTGAGAGCACTTTTCAAGACTTAGTTCACTCCATCTCTAGTCTTTTTCCTGCTTCAGAAATTGCCAACATGCTGGTGGAAACAAGGGATATTCTACAAAGGGGCACAGCAGATGGGATTGTGATCTTGGAAGGATGATCATCGTTATGTTTTGGATATAAGTCTCAGGAATTATGCTTTTAAAATACTATAGTTTGATTCTCATATTAAGGTGAAGAGACCCATTCTAATATACCAAGTTCAAAATGATGCAGTGGGCAAAAGATTTAAGGATTTGTATTTCAGTTCCTGCAGTAGTTCTCACCCCTTTCCAGAGCTGTTACCTTGCGTGATTCCCAGAGAGAACAGCCCCGTCCTTTCTCCACGTTATCCTCGGGGTTGGCACACCTTCAGCAAAGCATTCCAACACGGCTGACTTGTTTAGGTGAATGACAAGACTCTGGGGGCCACTCTCTATGTTTGGAGGAACTGCAGGAGAGATGCATATGGAAGACTTCATTTATGTTAATAACGCAGCCTGAACTAAGACTTTGAAGCCATAATACAAGGTGAGCTTTGAGTCACATCTATAACTTTGCCCACAGCTAATCCAGGTTAGTATAAATAGAATCGGGGTTTTATTCCTAAAATATTATTCAAGATATTTGTGTTTAAAAATCAAGTGTAGATGGGGGAGGGGGTGTTAAATCCCTTATATGGTGTGTGAAATCTGGCTTTCTAGAAGAGAGGCGCACATAAAAGTCAGCTTTAGTCTGATGCAAATTAAAGATGATATTTCTTATTTTTCTTTGGCCAAATAATGGTCAGAGAATGTTAACACTGGCACCACTTCACGTTAAATGAAGAACAGAAAGTGGGCTGTTTTAACAAAAAGCACATCTGTGATTAATCACGCAAGTCTCAGAGCATGCATTTTATTAATCATCAAATGCATATGGGAATAGGGAACCTGAATTTTAATTTTAGTAGTAGAGATACTAGTTGTGTGGGTCACCTAATATCCTGAAAAGTTCCATACATTAAAAATCCAAAGGGACTGTTCTGGTGGGAAGTCTGTATTATCTTCCTCAAGCTTGGCAAAGCTTAGTGTTTAGATTTTATGTTCGATAAAATTGAAATTCAATGGCGGTTTCTGTCTTGTACATGTATACTGAAACACCAACATCAATAAAGGTGAACTAATCTGGCCGGCATGGCTCAGTGGTTGAGTGCCCCCGATGGACCAGGAGGTCAGGGTTCAATTCCCAGTCAGGGCACATGCTGGGTTGTGGGGGTGTGCAAAAGGCAGCCGATCAATGATTCTCCCTCATCATTGATGTTTCTATCTCTCCCCCCCTCTTCCTTCCTCTCTGAAATCAATAAAAAAATGTTTTAAAAAAGGTGAATTAAATAATGGGCCACTTGTCATTTGGAAATTTAGTGTATTAACTTCCTGAATGGCTCGGATCTGAATGACATGAAACATTAGGATATGCTGATGACAACTGGGCATATATTATCCTCTAAGCTAGAGTAATATGTCTTTAATTAATTTTTTTGAAATTGAGTTAGTCTGAATATGGCCACAATACAAATACTACATGTTGTCTTTTTCTAAAGAAATAGGAACCATGAGAATGAATATACTCATTAAAAAGATTATTATCTACTCAAATGTCCTTCGCTAAATTTTTAAATTGTGAACCAATGATTAATTTTTCTTACCATTGACAGTGAGAAGAAAGTCTCTTGTAGTCTTTCCTGCAATGTTGCTGGCAGCGCAGGTGTAATTGGCTGTATCACCTGGCTCCGCATTGTTCACTTGCAAGTATCTTCCCCCAGATAGGATTCGGACTCGAGGTGTTGCCTGGATTCAGCAAGTAAAACATATCATTAAAATGTCAGGACAAGGAAGTGAAATGTTACTTTATAACATCAACAGTCACTGTAGTAAACTGTAGAGCGCCTATTTTCCAGTACACTTTGTCTGCTCCCCCCACCATTATCCTAGTATCAAAACTCAGGAGGACCCTGGCCAGTGTTTGTTAGTGGTTAGAGCTTTGGCCCAGACATACCTGGGTTGCCTTTCCATCCCAAGTGCGGAGGCAACCAATCGATGTGTCTCTCTCATATCTGTTTCTCTCTCTCTCTCTCTCTCTCTCTCTTTTCTCTCGCTCTCTCTCTCCCTCTTTCCCTCCTTCTCATTCTCTCTCCCTCCCTATTACCCTTCCACCCACTCTAACATATCAATGGAAAAAATATCCTCAGGTGAGGATTAACAAAAAACAAAACAAAAACCCCATGAGAATAGCATATACGCATAACCCATGAACACAGACAACAGTGCTGTGGCCTGGGGGCAGTGGGAGCAGGGTGGAGGGAGTCAGTGGGGAAAAAATGGGCATCTGTAATACTTTCAACAATAAAGATAGATTTAAAAAAACATACACCCAGGAGAACCATGTCTATGAGTGTGGTTAAGGCGGACATAACACATGTCTCCAGTTCTCCTGGCCACAGTGATCCATTCAAGGATGGGCAGGCCATTCAAGCCGAGAATGGGAAGCTTTAGCGAGCCAGTAACTTGGTTCTTCAAGGATTCCAGTCCCAGACTCCTGATGTTGCACAGGTTCTTGGGGTTACTCGTGAGGCCCAAGTTTGGACCAGGGGATTTAGTAACAGGGTTGCTGTAGAGACTTGGCATGACAGGTCAGTTCTTTTGAGACTCTGAAGGCTTCTTCTCTCTCAAGTACAGAAACAACTGAGTGTTTCAAATCCCATGTGAACCCATGGGCTCCAGGAGATATATGCTTGGGCCAATTTATGGGATGTATGGGATCACAATACCTATCTTCTGACCCATAACTAGTTACTAACTACCCTAGTTAAAGTTGAGAAAAGAAGAAGGCAGATCAAAGGACCCTGTGCCCACCCCTGCAATGTTGAAAAACTAGTAGCTTGATGTTTGGTTTTGTCTACCTAGCCAAGACTCCACAACTGATTTTTTTCTCTCTCAAAATGAATCCTCGGAAGTTACCAAGACTTACCTGTAACCGTTCTCCATTTTTAAGCCAAGTGATTACAGGTGGGGGCACTGCATCCGATTTGCATTCCAGTGTCACTTGTCTGTTCCGTAACACAGTGAAATCCTGGGACCCATCAGTTCCAGCAATGTTAGGGGGTACTGCGTGTGAGAAAAAATACACCACAGGCTTTCAATAAATGAGATGTAAAACGATCTGAATTATAATATGTAATCAACAAATATTGCTTCTGCTGTGTGAAATAAAAGGCATTAATAAAACATTACTCATTCAGTGTAGGGTACAAATGATTACAAACAGTGGCATGTGTTTTTACTTACTTAATACTTTTGCATACAGTAAGTAATGAAATTCTTCCAAGCCACATGACTAACATAATCACATTAACATCACCATTTAACAAGTAAAGAAACTCTGGCACAAAGAAGGGATTCCATGTGCAGGATACACTTGGTAATGATTTCCCCTGAACATCAGATTTTAAAACCACTAAATTAGGGTCTGTCTATAAAAATATACAGAGATGTATATATTTTTCTTAATATGCAGAAACGTATCTTTTTAATGTAACATATCATAACACACACTTTACATGTCAATAGTGGCAGGTCTAATTGGTGTGTAGGGCAGGTGGGTGGAGGAGGACACTCCTGTATTACACCAGCCCTACAGTTTGCACTGCCTCGTCACTTAGGTATTTTATGAGAATCAGATAAAAATGTGCTTAGTTTTTTTAAAAAGCTCCTTTTCATGAAGAGCAATTCCTATTTCTATGCCAGAGTGTAACTGGTCCAACTTTTTAGAACATAATTTGGCCTTAAATGTGTGTGTGTGTGTGTGTGTGTGTGTGTGTGTGTCTGTGTAAACAAGTAAGATATTTACAGGAATTCATCAAAATAAGATAATTAAGAAATAGGTCAACATGTATATACAAGGATGTTTATAACAGTGTTGCTTATACTGGTTTAAATATAAAAGCAACCTAAATATCCAAAAATAAGTAATGGGTTAAATAAATGATGGCATATACGTTAAATGGAATATTGTGCAATTACAAAAAAGTAATTTTATAAAGATATATTTTTTGACATGAAAACATATTCACCATTCCATTAAGTGAGATTGAGAAACAGGTTAACTATTATATGCTCTGTGACCACATTTCTGTGACAAAATATTAATATGCAAAATGGTCTTATCTTTGTGTGGTAAGATTATGAATTAAACAACTTTTCTTTTTATCATAATTTATATTCTGATTTTAAATATGAATTATTTGTGCAGGATCAAAAGAAGTAACAAAACCCAATGAACTATTCCTTAAAAGCATTTGATCAGTAAAATATAAGCATCAGATTTGAAAAATACATATTTCCTAATGCATAATCATATCTTATGATCCCCTGTGGAGTTGCCTCATGTTCCATAAAATATGGCTTCTAGCTAGGTATTAGGGTATGATGAACTGACTACTGGACATTTTGCCAAATTTACCGTGCACTCTCACTAAATATTCTTTATCAGCATCTCCTGCAGGGCTGGAAGCCAGGCATGTATATCTTCCTGTATCTTCAACCTACAAAAATCCAGATATGTAAATTACACAATGTTACCACGTTAGTTTTGATGATGAGAATAAATATCCACTAGAATGAATTTGAAAATCTCACACCAAGCAAGATTTCATTAAGATGGCGCAATAATTAATATTAATAAACTGTTTTAACATTTGTGATTAGCATTCATTTATCACGCATTGCTTGGCATCTCTATTCTATGTAATTCTACGTTTTAACAGGGTTTCGGCACTTTAATCTCAGAATAATTGCATGTTAGGTATATTTCATGATCTCAGGAAAGGCAGATATGTACATGACAGACTGGATACTCAAAGTTTATTAAGGAAACAAGTATTTATGAGTTTGAATTTCACACTGAAAACTTCAAATAGGGTCTTCCTGAAGAAAATAAAAATTAAGTAAATAAGTGAATAAATAAATATCAGCTTATATAAATAAAGCACATGAATGCCACATGTTGATTATACCTTTGAGGAAACAATAGGGCTATATTATGTAATTTGGCTGCAAAGAGTGTTGACTGACAGCTAAATCTATTATTTTCTCACTAAAACCAAAAACATTTCTTTAAAAAAACTTCATGCATAGTTTCCACTGGAAGTGTTAGTCTTCATTCATATGTTTGACTTTTTTTTGTAGAAATGGCCCATGTTTATGTGTGTGTAAAGTATACTCTGGAAAATAGATGATCTTACTACTGTGAAAAATCTATTTTGGAAAAGTAGGAAAATCTTGTTTTCATTTATTTTACGTGGTGAACATTCCTAGTATATTGGAAATTTTAAAATTCTTACATTCAAAACTGACTTTATAGGTTATGGAAAAACTTTTTTGGTAGGCTGCAAAAACTCCTTTGAAAACATTTAAGACCAGTATGTTAAGACTAGTATTTTTGGAAAAATACTTAAACACAACTTTAGAAGAATGGCACTCACCAGTTCCTTCAATTAAGAATTTAAAATGCTGTGCTACTGCCTAGAGCAGTGGTTCTCAAACTTGGCTGCACATTAGAATCACCTGGGAATCTTTTTAAAATCCTGATTTCTGGGCCTCATCCTCTGGAAATTCTATTTCTTTGTTATGGGGTTGTGGCCCCACATAACAAAGAAACAGAATTTCCGGAGGACGAGGCCCAGAAATCAGGATTTTAAAAAGATTCCCAGGTGATTCTAATGTGGTGCCAAAGTTGAGAACCACTGGCCTAGAGAATAATTTCTGAATTTCTCATCATATTTTCAAAACCTCTAAAAGTCAACTCTTCTCAACCAACTCATTTTATTCCCAAGTAATACTTTCCCTGCACTTGTCCTGACTTAGCCAAACTTGAACCATCATTCATGATTACTCTTAAATCTTGCCTCCTCCAAGAAATATTTCTTGATGACTTAGGCCCTTCAGGATATCAACGGTCATTATTTGTAGCTACATTTTCTAGGATGCGTTCTGTTAATAGGGTGTTTGAAAATTATAGCTGATCAGTTTTTTTAGAGGAAGATTTTGCAGAGTTGTTGACAAGTGCTATGGCTCACAGAGGAGGAAAGGCACAGTCCATAGGTTTCCAAGTCTACTTGGTCATACAATTCTTCCCTCTTTGGAATAAATCACAGATGAATGTTTGACGAAAGATGTCTTAGGAAACTCTTGTCTCTACCACACATTTTGGAATTTGCACAAAATCCATTATGTGCCAGGCAATCTGTATGTTATAGATATGTACATGAAAAGACAAAAGTAAAACATGATTTAGTAAGTGCTTTAGGTGAGATGTGTATAAAATGTTATGGAAACAGAGGCGTGGAGGAACCAAGAGCAGTCACTTCTATAATGTTTTTAATGGTTTTCTTATTTCTTTTCCTAATTTTATCATACGTGTAGCTTTATTTCTCCTAGACAACTGAAAACTCACTGAAGGCTGAGAAATGTCTTATGGGTTATGCTGGTATTCTCCACCATAGCCAGAACACGTGGGTCACCATTTAACACTCTATGCATCTCTGTCTTGTTCGGTTATAACCCAACTTTTCATTCTTGCATTTAAGTCCTACTGCGATGTGGCCTTAATCTCCCTCTTAAGCTTTATCTATTTATTCCTTTACATTTGTGATTCTTTTATAAATGTATGATTTATAATCCACATACGTTCCTGTCTTCATGCTGTTCTTTATGTTACAAAATTCTTTTACTTCCTTTTCGGCCTTTTGAAATTATAGCATTCAAGTGGTTTGCTGGTTGGACCTGGGTTTTCTCTGGGTTACTGCAGTGGCTGATGGAGAGAAGAGGGGAATGGAAGGCGTGTTCTCCTTGGTGTTAGAAATGAGAAGTGTGCCGAGCTCCATCACTGAGCAACAATAAGTACTCGGCAGGCAAGTACTTAATCTCTCTGGATCTGTTTGTGGGTTTATAGGATGGGGATAAAGGCATGGCTTCATAGAGTTGTCATGAGGGTCACCATTATGATAGACAAATAGCTGAACACAGGACCAGCACAATTTATAATCCCCAGCTCTCTTTTTCCAGCTCCCTTTCCTTCCTTCCTCTTTCCTCAGTGAAAATGCAAACAAAATATGATTAAATAATTTGCTATTCTATTTTAAAAGGAATGACGATTATAACAACAATAATAGCAGCAGCTAATTCTCTCTAAGTCTATTTTAGAATCACTACATGCCTGTGGCATCAGTCTAAGCACGTATGTTAGATTATCTCTACATCCCCAAGTGCACGAGTTAGGTATTATTATCATTTTCCCCCTCAGTTCACAGATGAGAACATTGGGCCACAAGTGGGCAATATTTGTAATATAAGGCTTATCTTTATTAGAACAGAAGACACTAAGATATCCCAGACATATTCCCCTAAAATAGACTCACATTTCTGATTAATTTCCTTAAACACAAGGAAATAACAGTCAATTTTACTGAATCACTCAATCATTTTTTAAAAAATTGTGTCTCTTTAGATTTTCGGTTATGGTAGTTCATTTTGAAGATCAAAAGTGCTCTTTGAGGCTTCATATATATGTATGTTGAATTGCTTTTTGGCAGTTCCATGAAGTGCTACATGGCACAAATTAACAGCTTCTGAAAATATTTGATCAGTTATAACACTGAAAATTTATAAAAGTTAACGTGCAGATATCTTGCTTCCTTCTGAAAATCGATGATTTTACTACCCTGAAAAATGTATTTTGGGAAAGCAGGAAAATCTTTGACACTTCTTTCTAGTCACGTTACCTTGTAAGTGTCTACCCAGTCGTGCATATTGTAGGACCAATCTATCGTTGCTAAAGTTATGGAGAGCTGTGATATATTCCAATTCAAAGATAAAATTTTCCCCAACCTTTCTCAGATATCAGCAAGGGAGAAGCTGAACCAAGGATAAAATAATTGTATGAGCTGAACTTACCTGACTACTAGATATTCGAAGAACCTCTCCTCCTCCAAGAGTTTGTACCTGATGTGTCTGGGGAAGGGGCCGTCCATCTTTCATCCAGGTGATCTTAGGAGCTGGGATTCCAGAAGCAATGCAGGTAAGTTCAAGTGGATTATGAACAATCACTGATATCTCTGTAGGTTCTTCAGATCCATTGATATGAGGTGGTTCTATTTAAAGGAAATTAGAAACAAAATAAACGTGCTGTTTCGTAAAGTACTGCTGGTTAGAAAATCTTTCAAAGAAAACTTGACTCAAATTTATGGTTCAGCCCAGCCGGCGTGGCTCGGTGGTTGAGTGTCGACCTATGAAACAGGAGGTCACGGGTTCCACTCCCAGTCAGGGCACCTGCCCAGGTTGGGGGCTTGATCTCCACCCAGTGTGAGGTGTGCAGGAGGCAGCCGATCAATGATTCTCTCTCATCATTGATGTTTCTATCTCTCTCTCCCTCTCCCTGCCTCTCTGAAATCAATAAAAATATAAAAGAAATTTATGGTTCATATGATACAATCTAATTAGAACAGGATACCAAAATAATTACTAGATGTTATTACCATTTTAAAAACGGCAATGCTTTAAAAAGGATGGCTAATGGGTATAACACATCACGAAGTAACAAGCCATTACAAAGTAGCTACATCTCAGTAATTGGGGTTCAGATCATTAGAGCAGTCTTACTTAACTGTGAAGATTTGAAAAGAATAAAAAGTAAACCCATCTTTTTCAAAGAGCGGTACTTAAACACAGTAGTGTGTTTCTGCACCTTTCCAATAGCTGCTGCTTCTACAAAAGCAATAGGCAAATGCTATGGAATTTTGCTATCAGCTCTTCAATGCAGAACTTTAAGAGGAAATGATCACTAAGCAGAAGAAAAAATAGTTACAGTTGGAGACTATTTCTGCATAAAACACATTTGTTATGTCTGGGCAGAAACTCTTTCCTTTTTCGTTATTTATACTTCTAAATTATCCTTCTCAAGGGGATGTTAAGGAATCTAGACCCTTGAAAGGAACAACAAGGTTTTCAGTTCAACTGTTTCTAAGTTTAGGAATGCCTTTGAAACAGACCTCCCTTACAAAGATCATTCAAGTTTTCTACGAACATTTCCAGCTTACTGTTTCGTAAGGCCGCCAAAATCGGTTGGACAGCTCCAAACATTAACTGTCTTCTTATTTTATTTTATTTTTTTAAATCAGGCACATAGTTTACAACAGAGGCTTACAGGAAAGGAGCTGGAGTCAAACAGCCCGAGTTTGAATCCTGGCTCCAAAAATTAGTAGGTTGGTGAATTTGAACACATCTCAAAATAAAGATGGTACTATTATTTCACTATAGGATTGTTGTGAGGATTTAATGAGATCATCTAGGAACAATGCATATTTCTTTTGTGTTTCTGAATCTGTTTTATTTTATAATTAAAGTTTTAAAAAAGTTATTACTATTACAATGCCTGCTACAGCTGTTGGTATTATTATTAAAACCTGCCTCCTAAAAATTTCTACCCATGGTCATCATTTTTCTTTCTGGAAAAAGAAGGATATATTAAATATGTCTTTGTTTATAGATTATAATTAAGAAATCAGACAAAATACATTTCCTTAAGTGTATTTTAAGTTGATTCACTATTTCTTGCTTAAAAGATTTGTGTCTCCATGTTGTTTACTGAGTTAAATAAAAGCTCTGTATTACAGCTCCCAAGGCTTTCATAATATGGCGTAATCTATCTTTATAATATTATCTACTTTTAATATACTTGTCCTTCAACAAGTTCAGTGCTTTCTTGTTCTGTGACTTTTCTAATGCTATTCCTCCCAGTGAAACATTGTCCACTAATCCCATTTCCTAACTGAGCATATTCGAGGACAACCAAGGTCACATCAATGTCATTAAGTTCATTTGTAAAACTGTATATCCTTCCTTGATTATCTCAACAAACTATGAAATGTCTATCCCTTCTAATTTCCATAGTGTGTTGTCTGTATCACTCAAAAGCATGTCCCTGATTCTTTTTCTGACTCTGGTCAATTCTTTATTCCTCTCACTTGCTGTGTATTTACTGTGTGGATAAAAAGATTAGTTAGGCCTGGCCTTTATCCTCAAAAGATTCTAGTCACTAGATTTAAAATCACAACAATAACAACATGTTCCCAAATGGCTCAATCCCCAGTCATCAGAGCCTACAGGCGCTAAGTGATTGTGAACTTCCGCACTCTGGGTCTTGTCCCGAAGTCTCGTATTCGGGCGGCCTAGGCATTGTCCACAGTCTCAGGACTCCAGAACTTTATTTCCAGCCTACATCTCTCCTCTGAACTCCAGACCCAGAAATCTAATGATTTAGATAAACATCTTCAGTGGGACGTTTGAAAACGACTTCACTCCTCTCACTTGCTGTGTATTTACTGTGTGTCAGCCACCGTGGATAAAAAGATTAGTTAGGCCGGCCTTTATCCTCAAAAGATTCTAGTCACTAGATTTAAAATCACAACAATAACAACATGTTCCCAAATGGCTCAATCCCCAGTCATCAGAGCCTACAGGCGCTAAGTGATTGTGAACTTCCGCACTCTGGGTCTTGTCCCGAAGTCTCGTATTCGGGCGGCCTAGGCATTGTCCACAGTCTCAGGACTCCAGAACTTTATTTCCAGCCTACATCTCTCCTCTGAACTCCAGACCCAGAAATCTAATGATTTAGATAAACATCTTCAGTGGGACGTTTGAAAACGACTTCACCTCAACCTGTTGCCTTGTTCCTCAAAACCTGGTCCTTTTCCAGCAGTCGCTGCATTTATGTGAAAGGTCCACCAATCATTCAGTCATGTGAGCCAGAAACTAGGAGTCCTCCTGGATATCTTCTTCACCTGTGTTCAAATCCACACCTAAGTCCTAACACTGCTACCTGCAATTCTTCCCAGAATACATCTTCTTCTCACCTCCATCACTAATCTGAGCTAAAAAAAACACTTACTTGGACCCATATCTCCTCCCTGCTGGCTGCAGGTGCCTATCCAATATCAATTATTTGTTTCTTTGGCGTTAACAGACCCTGATTTTGTTGGGGTTGTGCCTCTTCAGTAGAGAGCAGGTGGAGTAACATGTGACAATTCTGACCCATAGATATTCATGGGACTTCTAAGAAAGTCCCCGAACTCTTTGCCCTACGAATTTTTCCTGCTCTATTGCTGCATCCAGTGATTCTGGGGGGTGAGCAAACAATGCGTGATCATGGAACTATGATATGAAGGCCAGGGGAACTATAAATATCTGAACTGGTGAACCAATGCAACTACCGCCTACCGCCAGATATCTCGCTCAGCAAGAGAAATAGAAGTTCTTTGTTCCAGCTGCCATCTTTTTAGATGTTCTGTTTTTCCTAAACATAATTGAGAATAGTACACTGGTCTCCCGCTCTAAGTAGCTCTCCACTCTGCAGTAAGAGTGGCCTTTACAAACTGCAACTCTACTCATGGTATTCCATTTAGTAGAATTTTTACTGGTTTTCCATTGTTCTAGGATAAAAACCAACATTTTTAATGTGGTCGACAAAGCCTTCATAGCCTGGACCCTGTCAAAACCCCTCAGCTTTGTTTTGTAGGATTTCCTCCCTTGCTTTCGGTATTTTCGCCAAAATGGACTTTCCAGAACCACTAATACACCACGATACCTCCCACCACGTGGATGGAATTAAGATGAGAATAGCAGTTCCCCAAATTAGCACATTGACATTCACATTCTGAGGGTAACACTGATTCAAGTGTAGCGTTTTTCAGGTTTTAAGGGAATTAGCTTTCAACAGATGCTGGAATGCAGAAACTTCTCTTTCCGCTGAGGCAGTTTTCAAATCTGTCTTCAGAAAATATAATTTTTATACACCCTTCAGCTGGGAAGGCTGTTCTTTGTAAATGACTCTAACAACATCAGCGTTATTTTTCTCTTTCATTTTCTACATCCAGAAATGCACCACGATTCTATTTCTGGATTCCTAGAGGGTTTTTCCTTCGCTCTTTCCCCACTCACTGCCTCTTCCAGGTCAGGGCCTGCATTTTCAGGCCTGTATGAGTACAACAGGCTCTTCTCTGAATTCTTCACTCTGTCATCAGAAGGAATTTCGGGGAGATGAAATCTACTTGTAACACATCCCTGTTTGAGTTTTTTTACTGCCTTTGTCACGGGGTCAAATTCTCTAGAATGTTCCCAAGGCTCTTCACGGTTTGTATCTTTCCAGTCTTGTCTTTTGCTACGCCTCCTTTCTCACTCAGTTCAGTGAGTACAGATGGACAACTCAAGCTCTATCATTTTCAGGAGAAAGATGTAGGCAACTCCTCAATATTGAATGTTTACATACCTAGGACCTTCAGGAGAAAGTGTTTGCTGACTTCTCCAGCTTCGTTGGAGGCAATGCAGGTGTACCTTCCCGAATCTTCGGTCTCTGCTTGGATGAGTTGAAGGACCATTCCTTGAGTGCTTACTGTCAGATGGGCGTCAAGCCCCAGAGGCTGGCCATCCCTAAGCCATGACATTCGGGGAGTTGGGGTTCCATCTGTGAGGCATGTCATGGAGGTAGAACTGCCCTTGACAACTGTGATGTCCTCTGTTCCCATGGCATTGTCGAGATTTGGTGGTACTACACATAAAAGAAAACGGGCACATTTTATATATCTACTTTGAGATCAGTTTAGATTAAAAAGTTGAAGAGTTCAATTAGTTTTATAGTGTTTCTATGCTCTATAAAAATGTAGAATTTAAAACAGCATGTAATGAGTTGATGACGTCACCATAAAAACATGTGTTAGGTAGGCTAATTACTAATCTTCCAAAGTATTAGCAATGAAACCTCAGGAATGTTTCCTGTAGAACATACAATGTTCCAATGTGTTTAAATTTTGGCCATTGTTTTAACTTCTTAGGTTTGCCTCTTTAATTTGTTATAATACATATTATAAATTCCAGAAGCATATTTTCAACTACTTTCAATAAATAAAATAATAGTATGTTTTAGAGTAAGTTTTATATAAGCCAACATCAGTCATTTATATTAAATAGTTACTTGACTATTCTGAGATGTCCTTAAGGATTGAGAAATCTAGACCAAAAACCTTCATATTTCAGAAATGAAATGTTGCGATTTCTCTATACATACACACAGAGACATATGTAGGGTGTCCCAAAAATGTATATATCCTGTATATATGAGAGCTCAATTGATGTTTCTTTTTTTCCAGATTGAACACATTGGAATTAATAATTATTCAGTGTATACATTTTGGGAACACCCTGTTTATGCACACATCAATTCACATTTTCGATACTCTAAATGGGCCACTAATAATATTAGAAAACAGTCTGAACTTTCTATTTGTATGAAAGGAATGGTCTTATGTCTGGATTGAAATGCTATTTTTAAAATTTTAGATTTGACTTAATGTAAAATTCCAGGTTAGAAGAGCATTTTGGCAAACAGACAGTATTCTCTAACAAACATGAACCCCGTGGAAGAAAATGTGTTCTTCCCTAGTCAGCAAGATCCTATTTTGCCAAGCTTTTCTGATATGGCAATATCTAAATATAAAAGCACGTTGCTTAATACTAGACCCATGGTAAAACACTAGAGTCATTTCTGGGACATACCAAACACTTGAAGACTATAATGTTTATTATCCACCCCAGCTCTGTTGGAGGCCACACAAGTGTACACGGCAACATCGGACACCTGAGCTCTCACAATCCTGAAAAACAATTTGACCCAACAGTTCATAATTTGATCCCATTCAACATACACAAATAAAATACCTATGGTTTAAATATAGATATAGAAAGTGATTTATGTGGGAAAAATTTAGGTATGAAGGTTATAACCATCCATCATAAACCACAGATGCCTCAAATGTAATTTATCCTACAAAGTTGATTAGACACTGACAGTAAGCCACTGAAAATATAATACAGTTTGAGAAGTGAATAGTTTTCAAATATATTCTAATAGAGAATGATATTAATGTGAAAAATCACATGATTTAGTAGGCATCTTCCTATCATTTGCCTATAAATTTTAGCTAATAGTTGTTCTCAGAAATATATATGTAATAGATACGTCCCTTTATAAAAGACCTATTTTATACAATTTACTAAAATACGAGCATTGAAATAAGAATAAAAAGCCACTGTAATTAAATATTTGTTATCCTCCCTCTTCTAAAAAGACACTGAAAAGGAAAACAAACAATAGTAAAAACTTAGAAAAAAAACAACATTCCTTAAACACGATTTAGATAAGTTAAAGTCTACAGTCACTGAGACTTTATCTGTCCAGCAAACAACAAGTCACATGCGATGAAAGCTGACCTGATGACCTGCCCTCCTGACAGCAACCGGATGTGGGAGGACAGAGGCACAGGAAGTCCGTTCTTCAGCCAGTTTATCTGGGGCGGAGGCGTCCCTGTGGCTCGGCATTCAATATTGATTGAAGTGTCCACCAAGGCCGTTAGTTTCTCTGCTTCTTCTTTATTACCCCTGATGGCAGGTGGGACTACGTCGCGCAGAAAACGAGAGGGGGAAGGGTGTGTGTGTGTTACTAGTTCAAATCATCTCACAAGGAGCCCGCAATGACATCATATTGTCAAACGAAATGCTTCAGACACCTACTGCTGGGCCTTCGTATTGTACTGAGAGAGCCCTGAAGTGGCACAGCCAAAAGAGGGTGGAATTTCATACTTACCGTAAACATTTAGGTTAAAAATTCGGTCTTCCTCTCCAGCAGGATTAGTGGCGACACACGCGTATTTCCCCATGTCGGACGGGAGAGCTCCGAGAATGATTAACGTGCTGCCGTTGGCAGTCACCCTATGGAAGGGGTTATAAAAGAGTACTGAGATGATTTGTATAGAGCGAAAATCTGGAAGACTTACCCCAGATCATGGTGTTCTTTTAAAAGACAAAGACCTCAGAGGGAAGGCAGGCGAGGTTAGGTGAGGTGCTGGGTGTGGGTAAGAGATTAACCAAAGAACTTGTATGCATATAAGCATAACCAATGGACCCAGACAATGGGGGGTGGGGGTGGTATAGGCCAGGGCTGAGGTGCGGGGGCAGGTTGGGAGATGACAATGGGGGAAAAGACATATGAAATACTTTCAACAATAAAGATTTAATAAAATTTAATTTAAAAAAACACACACTGTAAAATACATCTTTCCCTTGGATTTAATGGTTCACATATTTTTCACTAACTACATGGAAGCCTGAAAAGTCAGAGCTAGTTAAACAGATGGAGATTTCAGGCAACCAACTAAAATTCTACAGTCAAGGGTCTCATACATCCACTGCCTCCTTATGGGAAAAAAGGAAACGAACAAAATTAGATTAGGAACTTGTCTATCCAAAAGACACTGTTTTTCTTTTCTTTTCCCCCCTCATAGTTAGAACATTTTATCCTTGAGGTTTGAATTAAATAAAAATTATTAAAAATTCTGGTATGAAAATTAAAAAATGCTACAATGAGAAATTAAAGAATATATATTTTAAAAAATCTAGTTATAACCCTGGCTGGTAGCTCAGTGGTTAGTGTTGGCCTGCACACCAAAGGGTCATGGGTTCGATTCCTGATATCTGGGTTGCAGGTTCTATCCCCAGCCCTGGTCAGGGTATGTGCAGGAGGCAACCAATCAATGTGTCTCTCTCACATCGATGCTTTTCTCTCTGTCTCGCTCTCCCTCCCTCACCACTCCCTTCCACTTTCTGGAAATCAATGGAAAAAAATACCCTCAGGTGAAGATGAACAAAAGAACAACAACAATAAAATCTAGTTATAAAAAACTGTGTAGCCCTAACCGGTTTGGCTCAGTGGATAGAGCCTCGGCCTGCGGACTGAAGGGTCCCAGGTTCGATTCCGGTCAAGGGCATGTACCTGGGTTGCCGGCACATCCCCAGTAGGGGGTGTGCAGGAGGCAGCTGATCGATGCTTCTCTCTCATCGATGTTTCTAACTCTCTATCCCTCTCCCTTCCTCTCTGTAAAAAATCAATAAAATATATTAAAAAACAAACAAACTGTGTAATACTTAATGAGAGGGAGCGGAATAGAATAATTTATTTAAACTGCGATACCAACTCAGGATTATGTATGCATATATTTTGCCAACATTTTTCTAGAAGTTGCTAAAGCTTTTCCTTTGAACTGTGTAAATGGTAAATAATAACTACACAGTTAGATTATCAAAGACATTTAAGTTAAGATCATTGCATTATTGACTCTCTTCAAAGACCAATTATCAAACAAAACTTCCTGTTTTATAAAGAGATTACATTGCTATCCATAGTTACTCCTACAATGGTGATTTTATTAGTTTCTCCCAGTGTCAAAAGTAAATAGTCCATTTCTAACATATATTATTAAATATGGTTATTGAGAATTAAAATAATATTTTCTGGTTCTGTTGTATTTTTTCTTTTTCAAAATGTGAATTTTAAAATTCCACGAGTTTAACCATCTGAATGAACAGAAAATTAAGTTGCTATGACCATGGAAAATAGTTAGTTAACTTTGGAAAACTTACTTTATTTGACCGATGAATTGTTCTACTTACAAACCTATACATATTGTGGAGCAGTAAACAAATAATCAATAAAGTGAATATAGGAATAAATACAGTTAGACTCTTTATATAAAATAAGTGAAAGATTGTAAATTCCTTGGTACAAATATTATCTTATGTAAGATCTTTAGGTCCCACCAACTATCTAATACTTAGCTTGGAATAGGGTTGATATCAACTGATTTAATAAAAATAATTATATATATGTTAACTATTCAGAAATGTCCACACCAGAGATATGAAATTTAAAGTGTATCTCTAAAATATTGGGCAATTTACCTCACCTTGGAAAGGGAACACATATCTAAATTTTAACATAAAATAACTTAAAAAATAACTAGCTTTCTTTAAATTATGCATGTTTAATTCATTAACTAGAAAGTACACTCCAAAGTGTTAAATTAAAAATTTTGGTTTAAAATGATAAAGATTTAATATATTTATTTAATACTTTCTTAGGCATATACAATTCTTTAAGCAGTTATAATTACTCTGGTATTTGAATATGATAGGGCTTTGTGATAAAGTAATTGAGTAGAGAGTAGAAATCTGTGCTCCCAAAGGTATTTGTTGTTGGGAGAGCAGGAGGCCCTTACCACATGATTATTCCATCTCTATGTGGTTTGTGGCATGGGTGACAAGTATCAGCTGAAAACAGGATTGGACAAATCACTATAAGGAATGAAGTGGTTATGATGATACTGTATCTTTTCTCAAAATGGGCCAAGAAATACGGCATGTTTGGTGGTTTAGTGATCTCAGGACACAAAATCAGATCAAAGATTATTGATGAATCTTTTGTAGGGTAAAACTGTTGTGACGTTAGCAGGAAAGAACTAATTGTTCTATGGCATGGACTTTGGTATAAACATTCTGAGACTAGAGGAATAAAAGCAACAATAGTTAATTAACATCTGTAGGAATGAATGTCTGAGAAGATTTTATAACTCTGAGTTAATGAATTAACATCCACCCCCCACCTTTTTGAGTGATTCTCTAAAGACAATTTCTGTGTCCAACACTCCAAAATTTGATCTTTTTTTCCCCTCTCTGAATCTAACAGCCAAATTCCAAGGAAACTGAATTTGGTATTATTCATGTGAAAGGTGAAGCATAAAACATTTTACAAGACCTTGAAAATAATGATGCAAATATTCTTTGTAAACATACCGGATTCTTTCTGTTTCACTGCTAGTTATGGGTCTTCCATCTCTAAGCCATTGAATAACTGGGGTAGGAATGCCATTTGCATTGCAGACCAGCTCAACATTTTCCCCTACCAGGACACTGACTTCACTTGGAATTTCAGCACCAGCAACACTTGGAGGAACTTTGGAGAAATAAAAATGTCTATTAACAAGGCACAATGATATAAATTCTAACAAATACAACAGAATCACAAAACAATATGTCATTTTTCATTTCATATTCTTCCTAAATTGTGGTTCAAGAGAAAACTATTCTTATCCTCATAAATTATTTTTAAATGGGGAACAGCTAAAGCAGTCATTTCAATATTCCTGGTATTTTGGTAAGTTGATATAATTATTTAGTCATAGGGACTGGTGACAAGTCTAACTCATGGACACACTTCCTAGCTAAGTAGAATCTCTCTTGGACTAAATTCTCAATAGACAGTTTACAATTAATATAATTCAAGAGAATCCATTTTATAAAAATCTTAGCATAACAGTCTGAGAAATGTATCTATAGGGTTATTTCTTTCTCCATATGCAATTTAAATATTATTCATTCTGAACAATGGATAGGTTTATTGTTTGTTCTCTTTTTCTAACCATGTTTGGTTTATAATTTAATGATTCAATCGAGAAATAATGTATAATAAAAATATTGACAATGGTATCAAACAGAAACACATTTGAATTCCTCTTCCATATAATCATAGTGGTCTGCTAGGGCAGCTCATGTCAGTTTACAACAGCCAATTTTGCACGTCTCCCCTACTCCATGTTCAGTGACATCATGTTGGTAGTTTGAAATGAGCCATGGTGGGGATATTTACACCATGGAAACTTGCAAATTGTTGGCAACAATTCAGGACCTTTTTATCTGGAGAGTTAATTATAAACACTTACCAGCACACCACTGCACACTTTCCAAATCTAATGTTAGTCATCCAGAAGATAATAATAATTATACCAAATATACAGAATTGAAAGTACTAAAGAAGTCAAATCAATGTTGATAAAAAATATCCTTTAATGAGTGTCTAATATATGACAAGCACTGTACTATGCCCTATTACATAAATTATTTCTAGTCTCAGGACATAATGATGCCTGTAGAACATCTGGTAAAACGTCTGGTCACACCACATACCCCATGATTAACAGCTATTATTATTAATGCATTAAATATAACAACATAAAAAATTTCTGATTCTGAATCCCTGAGTAGCTATTTTCCCATTTTGTTGCTGAAATCTCAAAGTATTACTAATCCAAGAAACCACTGATGCCCATAAACTTATTTTACTTTCTGTTTAATTTCATTTTTTTGTAGTTAGCTTTAGCAGAGCACACAACAGAGCCATAATAATGTATAATTTATTATTTTTTTTCAAAATAACTATATTAACATTGGAAAAAAGGAAGCATTTCAACTTAGTTTCAAGTTAGACTTCCATTTCAATTAACTATTAGGACATAAATACCAATTAGAGGTTTACTGAAAATAAAAAAAGTATACAAGTTCTCCTTGCATTGCTCAATACTACACTGGAACATAGTAGGATTAAGTAAGTATTTGTTGGATGAATTAATGCTTCTTTTTCTCAACCCAAAATAGCATAAGATTCATGATTACTTGAATTTACCCAAACTCCTCCCTGTAGTTACAGCCTTTTCATGAATTAAATATTAGTGATATATTTAAATAAGAACAAACCTATGAGCTTAGCATCAAAGTAAATTATGCTAGTTTTAAGTAAATAAGTATAATTCAGTAAGAATTTTGGTAAACATAGAAAAATAAAGATTATAAAATTTCTGCTATTCTTTTTTCCACATCTATGCCAATTCCCATGAGCATATAATCTACAGGTAAATGTAGGGCAGAGCACTGACAATATTTTTTGTTGATCTAAAGACTTTGAATAAATTACAAATGATCTCTATAATTGTAGACATATTTTGTACTATAAGAAAGAATATGCTAAAGATATTGAAGATACATCCCATACCTTGAATAGAAAGAATGTAATTTTTCTGTGCTTTTCCTTCCATATTTGATGCAATGCATGTATAGTTTCCGCTATCTGAACGCTGGGACCGGGCAATTTGGAGTTTGCTACCTCCAGACAAAATATGAACTTCAAGTGAGTCAGAATTTTCTAGAGGCAGAAACAAAGCAAAGCCAAACAAAACATTAAAGAAGCTTTTATTTCAACCTCTACAATTCAGCATAAAAATTTCTTGTTTCTTGTGGTAGATTTCTTATGGGACGGGGATTGGGGCTGGGCGAACAAGGAGAAAGGGATTAAGAAGTACAAATTTTCAGTTATAAAAATAATCACAGAGATGTAAAGTAGAGCCTAGGGCATATAGTCAGTAATACTGGAATAACTACATATGGTGTCAGCTGGGTACTAGACTTTTTGGGGTGGTCACTTTGTAAGGTATATAAATGTCTAATTATTATGTTGTACACCTGAAACAAATATAATAGTATGTCAACTGTGATTAAAAAATAATTGTTAAAATGTTCTTCCTTCGTACTTTTATTTTAAATGAGAGCCTTTTTGAAAGAGGCAGAGAAAATTCCCTTTATAAAATAAAATAACTTTGAGTCTATTTTGTGAGTTTATGTATCCGTACATTAGGCTTTCTGAACTAAGCACAGCTATGAGCATGATCTGAAAATGTGCTAGTTTACAAATCTAGTGCATTCAGAGCAAAAGGAAGCCACAGCCAGTGCACAGCTGCATTACCTATGGGCTTGCGGTTCTTCATCCACGCTATGGTGGGAGGTGGGATTCCAGTGGCATCGCATGTTAAAGTCACAGGGTTGCTGATTGTCTCAACAACCACTTCTCTTTCGGGTCCTTCGATACTGGGTGGCACTGCAAAAGGACAGAAGAAAATCATGTGTCCCCATTAAGCTAATTCAGGCCACTTTCTTTCATTGGCATATCTGGGGGAAAAAGAGTTGTATTAGAGGCAGATGCTCACCATATACATTGAGGTGGAAATTTTTATCATCCCGTCCTGCTACATTTATAGCTCTACATACATACTGGCCTGTGTCAGATACCTAAAAGAAAAAGATACTATTGTATGTGCTCCATTGAGTTACAGATGACCAATCACACTGTTCCAGTGCAGATTAAATCACCAGTCATCTTTATGCTCAAACGCCCCAGGTCTAATTGCTTTCTGCAATCCTGCGTTTTTATGGAAATAAGGTCAATGGCATGGACGATGTTATTTTATCATAAACTGTAGTAAAGGGAACATGCAACTCCCAAGGCTCTCTTCCAAAACCCACCAAGGAGTCGTGACATGCAAACAAGAATCAAAGATGCACCTCAGCTTTCTTGATGTGCAGCATTTGTCCACCTGCTAAAACCTCCACGTGAGTAGATTCTGTTATCATCCGCCCGTTCTTATACCACGTGACGACTGGAGGTGGGACAGCGTTGGACTCACACTCCAATGACACTGAGGTCCCCTCTCTTACATTGACTACAGAAAGCGAGTCACCGCCATGATCTTTAATGCTGGGAGGTACTGAGGGAAAGAAACAAGAACAGAAGGTGTTTTTTTTTTTAAATTTTTTTCATTAAGGTGTGCAGATGGGAAATATTTCATACCAGTTTAAAAGTGAAAGGATTTTATGAGGAGAGTGAAAACAAACCATAAACAGTCAGGGAGACTTTTTTCTTGCTTTCGCCAGCTTGGTTGATAGCTATACACGTGTACTGACCACCATCGGATTCCTTGGCCCGAATAATCTGTAGAGTTCGGCCGCCTGTGGGCAAATATAATGGAAATTGAAGAGTGGTATCAAGGTTGTTCTAATAACTATTTTATCAATAAGATAAATTGACAAAATATTCCATTGTAACATTTATATGGCCACATTTCATAGTTAAGATGAAACAATTGAATCTGTCTTATTTGATCCTTCCTTTAGGATTGATTTTACTTCTTGATAAAAAATGAAATTCATAATTTTTTCTCTCCATTAACTAAACATGGAGAGAACTGTTTGATACAGGTCCCAAATGAGTAAACAGTAATTGTACTACAGTCAAATATGTTAACAAGCATTTTCTGGGTTTAAATCTCCTACAGTGTGGAAGGATCTGTCTGTCCATCTATCTATTTTCCCGTCATCAAGGGGCTTTAGGATTAAAAACAACCAGTGAATTATCCAATGAAAGCACTATTTACTAGCCTATCACCCCCATGGAATTGCTAAGCAGTTCTGTTTCTAAACCTCATAATTTCTTGAAGTAGACCTTGTTACTGTGCATTGCCACTAAAATCATGAAAGTCTATACAATCTTATCCTAATGGCCCCATTAGGTAAAGAGGTATGTAATGTGAACAAACAAATGGAGCAAGACAAAATTTTGGAAAGGGACTAAGCGGAAATGCCATTTGTATTTAAAATAAAGGAACATGAGAACACTTTGCCCACCTTATAAGAGTATTGAGTTCCTTACCAGGCACAATGAGGGCATTTGTGTTTGGCTTGATAGGCTGTTCGTTCTTGAGCCAGCTGAGATCAGGAGGTGGAAAACCAGAGACCTCACAGGTCAGAGAGATGAAGTTGTTCACCACAACAGTGAGGTTTTCAGGGTTAGGACCAATGACACTTGGAGGAACTGTACGAGTAAATGTATTAAAAGTGAAATCTGATGTGACTAGTAATATACACTGCAACTTATTAATATAAGTCCAGCCACTGTACTCTGCCAAAGCACCGTGTTACTGACACTGTTAACCACCCAGCTGTCTTCCCCAGGATTCCCAATGCCTTCATCACACTATGTCCATCAGTCTTGCTTCTCCCAATGACAGAGTGCTAGAATTTTCAGGAAATGTAGTTGGCAATTCCTAAGATGGTTTTGGCAATGTACAAAGAAACACCCGATAGTGCTTTTTGTTAAGTTTGCATATTCTTGTTTCTAATATTACATTCTTATTTAAAGTTTTTATCTTCCTGCATATAGCATTTATAAAGTAGAAATTTAATTTTAGGGGTTAGCTGTCTATCAATACATTTACAGGTTATTTCAACAATGAAATCAATGACTTCCAAGATGAGCAGAAAACTTAAGAAATAAACAATACCATGGTTTGTTCAAAACAAACAAACAAACAAACAACAAACAAACAAGGAATTCCACAAGCAAAAGCAATGCAGAGAAAAAATGAAGTAAAAAAAGATAAGATTAAAAATGCACTGAGTTCTTGCATAACTTTTTGTGCTAGATATAGCTTTTATCCTGGGAATTCATAACACATCTGTTTCTGTTTGGTCAGATTTACTCATTAAAAGAACCTCAAAGATATTAATGAAGTACCTACTGTAAGTGACCCCCTGTGCTAAAAACCGGGGATACAAAGGTGGAAGTGTTTCAAATATGAAACACCAAACATTGCTAGACATCGATATCCCCTGCATGTCATATCAGGAAAGAACATCTATGTTGCTAAATCAAGGTCCTTTCAGGGGAGAAATTTTTCATGAAATTTCAAATTTCAGCTCTCTCCAACACAAGCCACAATTTTATATCTATGTAGCATACATATAAAGGAAATCTTTTATAACGATTGTTCACCATTTCCAAGTCAATATGCTGAAAGCAGCTGTGTGTCACACAAAAAAACTACTCTTTTGTAGAAGACAAACAATGGCTTTTTTTTTAGCCAAAAAAAAAGTATTTATGGAGTGACCAGCATATACTGAAAACTTAAAAGTGTGATGAATGAATTGGGTGTGCTGGTGGTTTTTGGAATGATTTCACTCCTAAGTGACTTCTTCTTTTCCAGGGAGTATATGAGGTACAAGAGGATGTAGCTCAACATGAAGTCCACCCTTAATGACAGAAACTGGTTTCAATCAGGACTAGTGAATGAATTTTTATGAGCGAAAGATCTATATTTAGTCCAAACTTCATAAAAACATGTAATCTTAGGGATTTCAGATTTTGACTTTTTTTCTTTCTTTTTCTTTTTTTTTTAACTTTCAAATATGTAGAAGTTACTACCTTCTCTTGAAGGACTAGAATAATGTAAAAACAGGCTCCCAGAAGCTCTGTACTTTGTACCTTATAAATCCTACTAGCTTCGGTGGGGAGAGAGGGAGGCGATTGTATGAATGCAGGCCCCACACACTGTTTCAAGTTAAAAATACACGAAAAGCCTCCATAATGTAAAACACAGTTTTCCTGCCGTTTCAAGCACACCCCTAGCAGATGCTTTTGGAACTGAGCTCTTACCGTGAACATTGAGGTTAAAATATTTTTTGGCACTTCCAGCCGTGTTCTCAGCAATACACACATACCTGCCAATATCTGTTATTTGAGTATTTAGAATCTGAGGGAAAAATAAAGAAATTCCAACTGAATTTTTTTTTATAAAGCCACTTGTCATCATGTTGAGAATGAATAATACGTATCCTCTCCAGATGGACATAAAAAGAACATTTATATATAATAGCATTGGTGCTGGCTTTTATTAATCAGGTCAATCAAATAAGTATTTATTTATAAAGATTTCCAATCAGGAAAGGCAATTTTATACATCCTTGTGGTCTACTGACTACAAAAGTGCCCCAAATTATTCTCCCACTTTCCCATCTACCCTCCACAATGTGACTTTGAAACTCCCCCCATCACCAGGTAAAGATGTGGAATTTGGCCCAAGCTGGTTTGGCTCAGTGAATAGAGCATCAGCCCATGGACAAGATCCCAGGTTTGATTCCAGTCAAGGGCACATACCTCGATTGCAGGCTCCATCCCTGGCCCAGATCTGGGCGCATGTGTGGGAGGCAACCAATCGATGTGTCTCTCTCACATTGATGTTTCTCTCTCTCTCTCCCCCCCCCTCCTTTCCACTCTCTCTAAAAATCAATGGAAAAATATCCTCAAATGAGGATTAACAAAAGAAAACAAAAAAAGATGTGGAATTTGTGTGGTCTTGTGCCTGGCCTTGACCCACAGAATGTGATGGAAATGACAGTGTGCCATTTCAAACCTAGGCTTAAAAAAGGCATTGTTACTCTTTCCCCCTCATTTGGAACCCGGTCACTACATGAGGAAGCCAGGACTAACCTGCTTGAAGGTATGGAATCACATGGCGAAGAATCAGCCCCATTATTGCAACTGAGGCCCCAGAGATGTGCAAGAGCCCAGCAAGATCAGCAGAACCACTTAGCCTATCCACAATAGGCAGACATTTGGGTAAGCCCAGCTGAGACCAGAAGAATCCCCCAGCCAACAGGAAGAATTGTGAGCTGAACAAATGCTTATTGTTTTTGAATCCTTGTTTCGGAGTGGTTTGTTTTGCATAGCAATAGCTAGCTATATACCAGTTATAATTTATTTTATTTAGCAGAAAGTGCTATCCATCTATATATTTTTTTGGCCATAGACACAGAAACATTTAAGTATTTTTGTAGAGGTCGTATGATCATCAAATAGAAATAGTCAGGATGTTTACAAGATACTTTGAGAATTCAAAATTATTTATAGGCAGTGAACTGACTAATTTTTAAAAAAATAAAGAACTCTAGGAGATATGTCCTGTGTTAGATACACCGATAGTTATGCTTAGATTCTTGGGCCTGCAGAATATCATTTACATGTTCAAGAAATGATTTAATTAAGTTGTAAACTAACGAATCAGTGTTATTTCTATAAGTACCTAACTATCTTTTAGGACACTTGGAAAGAAAAATATAGACATGCCCATTAGTGAACAATTCAGGATATTTATGTGGTTACCATTATTATTATATTATAAATTCTTTGCCAGTAGCAAGTAAATTTTAATTGGCAGGGAATCTTATACCAGCTAGAATTTTATCACCAGAAATATGCAGTGAAAAGGACTGTAATAATTTGCTTAATGGTTTTTCTTTTTAATCACAAAGACCACGTTGTCTTAAACGTGTGTGTGTGTGTGTGTGTGTGTGTGTGTGTGTGTGTGTGTTGAATGTAGACAATTTCTACAGGAATTCACATAAAACTGTTAATAATGGTCACCTCTCATAGTGTGAATAAAATGAAGAAAATAATATTATTTCATATCCCTTTTATGTTTGGTTATTTTTACAAATCTATTTCTAAATAAAAAAATTACTTTTAAAAGTCATAAAGACAATTATAAAATACAAAGCCTAGCGGGTATTTTAAAGTCAGATGTTTTTACTTTTACCTGCAGAATTCTTCCATTAGACAGAAATTTATGATGCTCATCTTCCAGCAAGGGCTGCCCGTCTTTCTGCCAGGAATTCCTCGGTACAGGGCTGCCGCCCGACAAGCACTCCATCCGCACGCTCTTGCTCACCAGCACGGTGACCTCCTCAGGGAGATCACTGTTCGCTTCCTTGATAACCGGTGGCACTAATGAGTGATTGCAGCAAAAAGATAATAACAGGAAACGAAGCCTTTTCTAAATGATTCTAGTTTTCTGACAATTTAAAAAATTGTGGGGTAATTGAGCCAAACTTGAAGAAGAATCTATGATCCTTAATAAATTAGCGAAGATTCAGATTGTGTGAATTTGGGTTGATTTTCTTCCCTCTCTTTACCTACCCTGGACTAACCCTTCCTATAATTTCATTCTAAGTCAATCCCAAATTATTCTCCAAAATATCTTGTCTTGCTTTCTCTCTCAGCCCATCCCATTCATCTGCATGAATCTATAGTAAAGTCTATTTGGTCATCTAGACAAACCAGATCAATTACAGAAATGTACAGATTTGGTCTCATTTGCAAGGGAATTGTCTGGGCTACTCAGTGTGTTTCCCCAGCCTCAGTATCAGTGATATCAGCATCATCTGGGAGCTTGGATAGGAATGCTAATTTGGGGGGCCACCTTAGCTCTCCTCCATCAGCATTCCTAAAAGGGGCCAAGAAGTTTATGGTTTAACAAACTCGTCCTAGCCCGGCTGGCATGGCTCAGTGGTTGAGCATCAACCACAGAACCAGGAGGTCACAGTTCGATTCCCAATCAGGGCACATGCCCAAGTTGCAGGCTTGATCCTCAGTGTGGGGCATGCAGGAGGCAGCCGATCAGTGATTCTCTCCTATTGATGTTTCTATCTCTCTCTCCCTCTCCCTTCCTCTCTGAAATCAATGAAAATATATTTAAAACAAAAACAACAAAACCTCTCCTAGTGATCCTCATGCACACTAAAGTCTGAGAAGTCATGCTCTAGATTTTCCGACATATATTCATTCTCATTTAATATAGTAGTACTGTGAATCCAGGTTCGTGTTTACATTAGACTAGTCAGTTATGAAAAATCACATATCGCCCAAGTGATTTTTATAAATGGAAATGTTAAATAAACTAGGAACACATGTGTTGGTTGCTTGTGAATGCAGAAATTTAGTTACATGGTAAATAATCTTTTTATCTTGTTTAGAAAAAGCTTAGTTATTTTATGTTTCAGTCTCTTATCTTTAGCAATCAGTAAAGATGGCACGTTTAATGCAGATGCAGTCTTCTGGTATTCGCGTCTCTCAAAAAATAAACTGAGAAGTGTCTATTCAGGTCCTTTGCCCATTTTTAATTGGGTTGTTTGTTTGGTGTTGAATTTTGTAAGTTCTTTATACATTTTGGACATTAGCCCCTTATGAGGTGTATCATTGGTGAATATGTTCTCCCATACAGTGGGTTGTCTTTTCATTTTGTTGGTGGTTTCCGTTGCTGTGCAAAAGCTCTTCAGTTTGATGTAGTCTCACCTCTTTATTTTTTCTCTTATTTCCCTTGCCTGAGGTGATATATAAAAAATGGGCAAAGAACCTAGCTAGACATTCCTCCATAGAGGACATACAGATGGCCGATAAACACGAAAAGGTGCTCAGTGTCACTAATCATCAGAGAAATCTGAAGTAGGTCTTATCAATTAGGCCTCTTGGCTTCTGTCACTGGTTCAGGGATAGATATGTGATTCATACTTGGCCAGTTAAAGCCATGGACATCTGATTCCGGGACTTCAGTTGTAAATAAAAGCTTTCATTTGTCTCTGAAACTAGGAAGATATAAGACTAGAGCTTCAAGGGGCCAACTTTCCAAGCAAAAGGACCCTCCACCTGAGAATGACACTAATAGAGAAAAACAAAGCCAAGAGACAGGTTAAGTCTGGTAAACTCTTTTGAGCCAAGGAAGTCAAACTGCAACCAGCCCTACCTGAGGACTTTTCAGGTTCTTAAGTCATTGAATTCTCTCTCTCCCTCTCTCTCTTTTTTTGGTTGATACTTCAGGAGTCTTAAACAATATGCTCTCAATTTGTATAAGACAATGAACTCAATGGGAGAACTATCAGTTTCTGATTATCTTTATAGTCTTTAAGATACTTAGCTCAACATCTTGCAAACATTAGCTCCTCAAAAATACTTTTGAGAGAAAGAATGGGTAATGAACAAACGGAAACAAACTCACAGAGTACCCGGACGTCATACTGAAGGGAATCTTCTCCAGCCTCATTCACAGCCACACACGTGTATCTCCCGGCATCCTCTACCTTAGCCCGGGGAATCTGCAGCACTCTCCCACCTGGAAATATATCCTAATGTGCTTACTGCTGTCAGTCTGAGAGTGAATGCTGCTCATAAGCAGCAGATTTTTAGACCAGATTTTTCAGGTCTAATAACTTCCTTGCATTTTCTTTCCAGGTTCCATTTTAATCCCACATATCACTTTCATCACAAACACTGAATTATTGAAAAGTGAGCCCGTATATGAGTGAGATCTCCTGAGAAATGAATAGCTTGTGTGGATTTTCCTTAAGGCAGGAATGTTGCTCTGTGCCCCTCATCATGTTCCATGTGAAATGTTACTCTGTAGTAACTTCCTGCTTTATAGTTGGAACACATATAAAGAAGTTTACACAGTTGCGTGCAAGTAGAGGCTTCAGAAAAATAATAGCCAACGGTGCAAAAGGCATACAGTACACCATTATGTATACAATCTTGAAAGAATAACCGTGCATTTTTCATGTTGATATGATTTCCAACATAGAGAAAAGTTATAATAATTGTATATAAATTGTTACAATTATGTATATTTTATTCCATTGGTTTTATCTTTGTTATATATATATATATATATGATCTGTCATATGTGTTATATATATTATGTATATATATAATCTTTTTTTGAACCATTTGAGAGTAACTAGGACACATGATATGCTTTTATCCCTAAATACCCATAGATCTATATTTCATAAAAAAGAATAATCCTTTATATAACTATAATATAATGACCAAAATCAGAAAATGTGAAATCAATACAATACTGTTGAATTCATAGTGTGCAGTCAAATGTCATTATTGTTATAATATTGTCTTTTATAGCTATTTGTTCTCAAGCCCAGATCCAATTTAGGATCACTTATTATATTTAGTTGCCATTTCTATTTAGTCTCTATTTTTTTCCAAGACATTCTCTTATTTAATGAAGATAAAATTTACATACAGTGGAATGCACTGACCTTACGTATACAATTTGATAAAGTCTGAGAAGCCTATTTTAATGTTTGTTAAAAGTGAATAGAGGCCTTGAAAATATTACTATCTCACAACAATTTGAAAATCTCCTTTTCCATCAATAACTAAAATACTTGAAACTAATGATCTTTACTACTGTTTTATGATAAATGCATTTAATATACTGAGTACAACTATTCATAAATATATTTTAGAATTTATCATTAATGTATAGAAACCTAAGTGACTATTTCATGACACTATTAGAAAAATAAAGGCACAGGGAAGTCAAAGGACTTCCTTAAGTTGACAGAACGATCCTGCAGCAGATCTGAAGATTAACTAAGGGGTTCTATCCGATGCCAACTTCTCAACCTGAAGCGACAGGGACAGCTGTGACATCTGGCAGCCGGTGTCAGATAAATTACATGGCCAGGAAGTCAATCAATTCAACTGGTCTTAATAAATGAGAGAAGCACATCTGAAACAGATTCGGACTTCCCCCTGTTCACAGCAGTCCTTACCTGGTAAAATCAATACTCTATCACTCGAGGCCAGAGGACGGCCGTCTTTGTACCACGTCAGCGTAGGAGGAGGAGCGGCGTTTGTCTCACAGTAGAGAGAAATGGGGTTGTTGATGATCACATCCTTGGCTTCTCCACTCCTGCCGGTATCCAGCATGTTTCCCATTTCCCAGAGTTTCTGAAAACTTGGAGGAACTACGGAGGAAACACATGGGATTTTGGACACATGTGAATGCCAGTTTCAATCCATTCAACGAAGACCTTGGCTGTGTTCTCACGAGAGTGATGTATAAATGTAATAAAGTAGACAGTGTGACAATATTTTCAGGTATTTCTACATCTACCAGCTCTAGCTGTGAGCCAGAAAAGTAGGAGACAGAAGCTGGAGCTGGTTCCCCTGGGAAGAACAAGAAGTACAGGCTCCGAATGCTACGCTCACCCCCTGCTCTCCTTCCCTGTCAATGCTGCCTGCGGTCAGCAAGGAGCTACTAGAACAAGCCTGGCTAAGGAATGCCATCATAGCAGGAAAAACATATTTTGAAGAGCCATTAAAAAATAATGGCTCAGTTGAGAGCATTTTCCAATAATTTGTCTTACTAAGAAAGCTAAAGGAGTTATGATGTCAAGATTAATAAGTCCATTAACTAAAACAGTAGGATAATCTCAAACTTTTCTGGGGAACACATATAAACTTTCTAGAAGGTGATTTGCTTGTACATCAAAAAATATTGAAAATGTGTGTAACACATGACCTAAAATTTCCACTATTACTAACGAATAAATGAAAAAAATCAAAGATATACGAAAGTTTTATGTAAAACCACCCAGTGAAACATTACATACGAGTAATGAAAACTTGGAAATGACTCAGACATTCAATAACAGGAATCAGGTTAAATAAATACTTGGATACTCAAGTGCTAAAACAGGTATAGTTATTAAAAATCATAGAAAAAAAATCATGTTGAGAGTAACTATCAACAATAATAGCAGGTATCATTTCTTAACCATTTTTCTAAGAGTTTTACATACTTTATCTTATTTAATAGTCACCACATTCTATAAAACATTCATTTTCAAAACAAGGAAACGGGTTTAAAATATTTAGGTAATTTACCCAAATCAAAGGGGTTTTTTTGTAGCCACAAAGTTTTTAGAAGCCAAAAATCATCATTCTAATCTGTCCGACTACTTTAAATTCTGCATTTTATCTTTTCTTTCCATATAAATGCTACTTGAGAAGAAAAAAAGAAAATGCCCTGGGCTGTGTGCTCAGTGGTTAGAGTGGCAGCCTGCATACAGAAGGGTTACTTGTTTGATTCCCGGTCAGGGACATACCTAGGCTGCAGGTTAGATCCCCGGTCCTAGGCCTAGTTCCTGCTGGAGGTCGGTCTCTCTCTCTCTCTCTCTCTCTCTCTCTCTCCCCTCCCCTCCCTTCCTCCCTTCCACTCTCCCTAAAAATCAATGGAAAAAAATATCCTAGGGTGAGGATTAAAAAAAAAAATTTAAAAAAAGAAAGCTTCATGATATAACATTGGGGGAAAACTAATGTAGCAAAGAAGTATGGATCATGTGATCCTAATTTGTAAATGCAGTTTACATTTACACAATAGAACAGAAGGAAAAATATCAAAAGGAAACACATAAAAATAACTAACGTAATCCTGAATAATGGGATTATTTTTTTCTTTGTTAATTACTCAAGTCCAGGTTTTCAATAATGAATTCATATTATTGTCAACAGAAAAGAAACTACTTAAAATAAAACCAAGCCAAATCTCTTTTTCATTGCTTAGGCATATCATGTAAATTAAATGATATACAATAAGCACATCAGTATTACCTTGTATATTCACATCAAAATCCAGCTCATCTTCACCTGCAATATTAGATGCCACGCAAGTATATCGTCCAGTGTCTGATATTTGAGCTTCCTTTATTTGAAGTGTGTGTCCATTGGCAGCAATATTAACATGATCATCTGATTTAAGGGGCTGTGATTCAATTATAATTAATGTTAGCATTAAGTACTCTAATAAATCCTCTAAGAGACCATGCTGTTGATAATTTGTATAATTCAGAATAAACAGAATTAAATTTTATGTGAAATACTCAAAAGCATATCTTTTATTATATTTTGTCAAAAATGCTAGAGCATTTTAATGAAAGGTTGAGGGCATTAACATAATCTGATTTCATGTAGAAGTCACTGTTGTTCATTTAGAAATATCATCACTTCATAAACAAAAAATTTTAACCTAGAGATATTTATATTATGATGTTTTATTGAAAGTATTACTGTACTTAATGGAATATTAACTCACAGATATTTATATTATGATGTTTTATTGATAACATTACCTACAGTTAATAGGGCATTTTTCATCTTCTACATATTCCTGTTTACACTAAGTTCCCTCTTATTCCTTGAAGATTTTAGTTCCTGGATCAATGTCACTTCTTCTAATGGTACTTTTCTCATAATTCTTCGTGATTTCAGTATCTAAATAGTTATCCAATGCTGTGTGCATCCAATGCTGTGACCTCTTCTCTAATTGTTTGTCCTCAACCCTCTCTCAGCCACTCAACAGGTAAGTCATACCTAGACCTTATAATTACCCATAACTGCACCACTTCATAGTCTCAGTTTCAAGTTCTCACTCTCTGACCGCCACCTCCTAACTTTCTAAGTCACTTCTAGCATCCCAACTCCAATACATTTTTGATCCCCTGGGAGGACCCACAATCCATGGGCCTTGCAACATTATCAGTGCCTCTCACTCTCCTCCTGATCTCCATTCCCTCCTGACCCAGAGAAGTCTACTATGGCAATCGCTCCTTGTATAAACCCTCAACTCCCTTGCCTCTGTCCCTTTATTTTACTTCCCTGGCAAAACCCTAACCCTGGTTAATATCCGTCTCTGTCCATCTGAGCTTCCCGTCCTCTACTCAAGGACATCCCTCCAGCAACTGTGTCCTCTCTTACCTACATCATCAGCAATTTATTCTTTTCCACCAGATTATTTCAATCTACATACAGCATACTGTAACTTCCCCCATTAAAAGAAAACTCTCTTTCCCTCACATCCTGCTACCACCTTCATACCAGAAACCATCAACTCTCTTCTGGACCACTACAATAAACTCCAATCTAGACCATTTTTTTTGTTCTCTCAATACAGAAGCAATATAATCCCTTTAAAACCTTAAGTCAGAGCATATCACTCTTGTATTTAAAATTTTCTAGTGACTTCCTATCGGAATAAAGGACAACTGGTCTAACAGCAGTATAATCTGGCACTCTATTAATCTTCTTCTGTGTCCTCATGTGTTGGGGTCCAACCCCAGCAGGTCTAGGGGTCCCCAAAGGTGTGGACGGAGTCGGCGAAGAAGGAATGACAAGGAGACAGCGTTCAGTTGATCAGCAGCCTAGCCAGGATCTCTAGCCAGGATCTCCAGCCAAGTTCTGTGTTTTATTGTCTTGTTACATCTGTATTTATACCAGTTGATTTTAACCCTATCAATTTCTATTCCAAGGGTTAGGGCGTTTCTTATCTCCATTCCAGGGAGTAAAGATTATGTAGCTTAAGCATGATTGTTTGTAGTTAAAGTGATTAACTACCCGCCTGGCACTTAGTTAAGGGGTTTAAACTGATAGCATGTAGGCAGCCTGCAAGGGAGGGGTGGGACAGACTCCTCCCCCGAGACCATAGCTGAGGTAAGAAAAGGTAAAAGAACGAATGGTAAGAAGAAGCAGGGAGCCTTGCCGCACTAGCCTGCCAGTCTGTAGTCCCAGGACAGCAGAACCCTGTAGGTTAATGCAAGGGCCAGCTGGGGCTGAAGAACTCCCGACAGGTTTCCAGACCCAGGGAGCACCCTCACTCAGCCCTAATATCCCATGAGTCTTTTGGCCTCTTCGCTCTGGGCCTGCAGGGTCTCACTTGCATACTTCTGGAGGAGTTCCATCTTCTTCCTTCGCACAAGTGCCTCCTCGATCTCTTGCTGCGATGGCACAGGGACATGGGCGATGAACTTCTGCTGCTCATCTTCGCCTCCTTTCTCCTGGCTGCCTTCCTCATCAGACTCCTCCTCCGTGACAGCATAGATGTTGATTTCTTCCTCCTCTTCCTCCTCCTCTTCCTTTTCTCCTCTTGCCAGCCGAGCCTCTCTCTCTGCTTTCCACTTTTCCACTAACTGGGCTCTGAATTTCTTTTCATATTCCTGTTCCAAAGGCACAATAACACCATCATCTTCATCTAGGTAACCATAGTATTCAAAATCAATTGCCTTCATGAGCTCAGCATGTGTCTTTCTTGGAGGAGGAAGAGGTTCTTTTTCAAATAGCTCTCTAACACCAGGCAAATGTTTTGCTGCTCCAAAGTATTTGTAACCTCGATTTCCAGGGACTTCTTTGCCTTCATGATCTAGCATTTTAGGGCCAACTTTTACATAATCAGGACCACCCAGCTCCGTTATCCGGACCTCCCAGTGTCCTTTCTCTCTTAGCAATTTGTTAATTTCATCATTCAGGTCACGAATTCGGAATTCACCTAAACCAGCATTCTGAATTTGAGCCACTTTTTTAGAGATCTCTCCAATGATCTGTCGTCTCCACTTCTCAGTTTTGGGCAAGTCAGTACATTCTGAGGCAAGGAAGGGTCTTCGTTCCTTCACTTTTCCCTCTTCCAATTGAGCTTGGCGAAATCTTGCTAAGGCCGTCATGGCCTTTTCTGCATTTCGGGCCATGGTGCAAGTGAAGGGGGCCGCCCTCGGACCGCGTGGCCAGAGAACTTCCCGGCCTCAGGGGAGGCCAACCCTGGCTGTTTGGGCACCAATTGTTGGGGTCCAGCCCCAGCAGGTCCAGGGGTTCCCAAAGGTGTGGACGGAGTCAGCGAAGAATGAAGGCTGCGTTCAGTTGATCAGCAGCCTAGCCATGTTCTCTCACTAGGTTCTCCAGCCAGGTTCTGTTTTTTATTGTCTTGTTACATCTGTATTTATACCAGTTGATTTTAATCCTATCAATTTCTATTCCAAAGGTTAGGGTGTTTCTTATCTCCATTCCAGGGAGTAAAGATTATGTAGCTTAAGCATGATTGTTCGTAGTTAAAGTGATTAACTACCCGCCTGGCACTTAGTTAAGGGGTTTTATTCCCTCCCTAACTTCAGGGAAAAATCCCTACCTGGGGAAACAACCTTTCTTGGAGAGGTGACCTTGGTTAAAACACATAGCGCCAAGAAGGGGAGCAAACATATTAAGAACAGTATGCCATATACGCCAGGTCCCTTGAAACATATGCTGTGCAGATGTTTCTTCCCTGGAGCGACTGTGTCAAGCAGCAAGGATGGACCGGCTTCCGGCACTCATGGGTCACTGCACTCCAGCAAAGATGTCTCAGGGCCTTGGCCCTTGAGATTCTCTCTACTTTAGCATATTTTCCTCTCATATCTGATGTTTGCTTCCTTTACTTTCTTATCAGCGAGGCCTTCCCTGTATAAATAAGAGATCACACTCCCCCCACTCACTTTTCTTCTTCTTGACTGAATTTTCTCCACAACATCTACCCCATCTGGTACATTATGCATTTTACTGCTATGTTTGTTTAGTTTTTGACTCCCTAAACTTCATATGAACAGAGATCTTTCTATTTTTTCTTCATAGCTGTACCCTCCTCACCTAAAACAAAGTCTTGCCAATAATATGATATGATCAAAAAATAATGTAGAATGCTAATGTAGAATATAAAAGTAGGATAATTTAAAATTTCTATGCTAAACAAAAAACTTTAAAGTGTGAATAAATAAAACCCAAACGCTATCTCAAAACTTTTTGGGTCTAACATTGGCAATATTTTTAGTGATGTTCTCAAAAACTCTGTTTTGTTCCAGTGGTGTTGCTTATCTGAAGAATGAAATAACAGAAGGATATGGGAAATAAACAACAACAACAAAAACCAGAGTGCTTTTTTTGTACACATTCAAGGGGACCAATCCCAAACCCTAAAAAATTTAACAGCTTAAAGTATAACAACTGGATCAATTTCAGAGTCTGGATTTGAAACTGTAATTTAACTACTCAGTATAAAATTCAAAACCACACGAAACTGTCTTATTCCTAGTGCAATTCTAATCATTATCAAATTTTTATGTGTGCATGTGTTTGCTTGTGTTTATGTGTGTGTGTGTGCATGTGTAGTAGCCACAATGAATGAAAAGCCTTTAGATAAAATTAGAAATAAAATAAGATTTGCAGGTGAAAGGAATTAACAAGTAAACTCCTATAGATTTAATATTGTACCATGAAGTGTGCTTGCACTCAGGAAAGAAACTGTAAACAGAACATGGTGGGAGTTCCTTATTTTTCCTTTTGTAATGGCTTCCAGATGAAACTTGCTTATTTTATGAGATGATTTTTTTAGTTGCCAGTATTGCAAAATCCATCTGTTGAAAAAATAAAGCTATATCTTTCTGCATCTTAAATCATGACTCGTACCCGAACTGCCACAACTGGATGTAACTGACCACTTGGTTGATTATGTGTAAAACAGGACAAAGATCAGCTTAGTAAGCACAATATGCACAGCAACGAAAAATCATCTATTTTGGTTTAATCACCAGCATATATTTCTTTAAAACATGCGTGGAAGAAGAATGAGAAATGAGGGTATGTGGTCTGAGAGAACACATAACTGAAAGATGTGCTTTTTCTTTAAAAGACTCTCATTGCCCCTAATTAATTATGTTGGGCACTTAATCATCACATCTAGCTTTCCCCTGCATCTTGGAAGGTTAAAAATGTTACCTTTTGTAAAAGAGTTAAAGATGTTTACAGAAAGTTCTGATTAAGCTCAGTCCCCATGTTACGCCTGTCATAAGCTGGTTTAGCACTGTTTTTTGTGTTTCTTCACTATGAAGTTTATTTACTATGTAAAACCAAAGAACACTAGAAGATGTTTACAGAAAGTTCTGATTAAGTTCAGTCCCCATGTAATGCCTGTCGTAAGCTAGCTTAGCACTGTTTTTTTGTGTTTCTTCTTTATGAAGTTTATTTACTATGTAAAACCAAAGAACACTAAAACCGTTCCCCATTGGGAAGGTGGTTGAATTTTCATGGACAACTGCTAATGTACACAAAGACAACCCTTGTCAATGATGGAATAATACTAATATTGTTGAACACAGTTAAAGTTGTGTGTTGTTTTTTTTTTTTTTTGCAGATTTATATTCTTAGGAGCATGAGATTGTGCTAGTTTTAAGGCCACATTGATTCTCTGAGTTACTTGTGTCTGTTTTACTAGTATTATTGTATAATTGACCACTTGAATCGGTAAGAAACCATCAGCAAATGAAAAATCTTGTGACTGGCCTGTCCATCCTTGTACCAGCTGAGAGAGGCAGAAGGAATTGCATAGGCTTCACATTCCAAGGTCAGGGTGGTGTTTACTTTGATCTTCACTTCTTTAGGGGAAAGACCTGGTCCCAAGAGGTCCCCTTTATTGATTATGGGTGGAACTGTATAAAAACAAATATTAAACCATTAAACATTGGTTCTTTCAAATACATGGAATACCATGAAAATCACACGGAGGATCACTTTACAAGAAAAAACAAGGAAATAACTGAAGCATTTTCTATGCTCCCTTTCATCAAGAACCCAAGTTAGGGTCGTACGAAAGGGTCATGTTCAGATACAGATTATGAAGGAAAATATCATTCTCCCTTTGTCATTATAACACTGACAACGAGGCTAATGTCCTTTCCAGAACAGTTAGCTGCATTGGTTCCAGGTCCCCAGACACAGTGTGAGCATAACCCATAAAATGCATTTTATCGGTCATTAAAGAGACCAACTCAAAGAACCAAAGACAATCAGAAAGATACTCTCCCTTTTAAAAATACAAAAACAAAATCTTGATATGTTGGTATTATTAATACTCATATTAACTTTGTTTCCCCCCCCCAATTTATTTTACTTATTTTTTCTTTATTGATTAAGGAATTACATATATGTCCTTATCATCTCTTCATGAAGCAAGCTGTATAAACATCAAACTTTAATAATGAGTATAAATAATTATGGACCCATAAAAACAGAGCTGGAAGAGTGAGACAACTTGGGGAAAAAATGAAGCATAGTGCTCTCTCAGAACTTACTGTAGACCTTCACTTCGTAGTGCTTTATCATTTCCCCCGCCTCATTCGTGGCTACGCAGGAGTATCTTCCAGCATTGTCCTCCTGTGCATTTAGGATCTGCAGAGTCCTACCTCCTGAAAAATCATGGGACACCAAACAATCTTTGAAATCACGGCGGCGGCAGAGCATGCACAAACTACCAAGGTTTTAATTCTTACTATTGGTATATTTTTCTTCTCTATGCCAATTTTGTAATAGGTATTGAACACAAGACAAAGTACAAAACAGATGGCCGCTGCATGACCACCTCAGGCTCATTCTGACCCTCCCATGCCTCTGTACTCAGTCTAGCTAAGGTCCCTATTTCACTCTCTTTATATCTAGGTCTCTCCCTCTTAGTCATCTTCTCCTTCTCATCTACCTGGCCTATCAGTAGAGGTTGGTCTTGCTAAAATAGAGGTTTTATTCGTTACGTTTCTCCTTAAACATCTTCAATGGTTCTTAACTGACTAAAGATTTAAGTCAAAACTCTTTAATCCAGGCATTCAAAACATGACTCTAACCTTCCTTCCTCACCTTTCCTCCTACCTGCCCCCCTCTGTGTAGCAGACACACACAACACACATATACACACTGTCTCCACTTGTTTGGGAAGGAGGAGTATAATTATTAGTACTTGCACATAAATAGGCTATCTTAACTTTATTCCTTTCCCACCTTAGTCATTGTGATGGATCTGGAATCTCTCCTAGTTCATTTCCAAACGAAGAATTTCTATAACTTTGCTTTAAGGTCTGGTTCAAGTTCTGACTGCAGCTAAGCATTTCCTAACCACTTCAGCTCACTGGCCATTCCTTCTTGTGACTCCTCTAAAACTTGTGACTATTCCATTAACCATGCCCCATGACTATTCATAACCCATGAGTATTCATGCATTCCTGTTGTTAATTAACTTTCACATGTTTTATTTCTCCTTCTCATAAGACTGTAAATTTCTTAAAGCCAGTGATCATACTTTTTAATTCTTTCTATTTTCATACATATTGCCAGGTATTAGTGAGGAATAAATAAACTCAATTGAAATACTAACCTTCAAGGCTCAATTCAACAAGAAATAAATTTCTACCATTTTTTTGGCATTCCACATATTTTAGCAATTAATTACATTGTGGTATTTATTTGCCTTTTTATTTAGATATTTTATTAGTCTTTCAAAAAGTAATTTCAGATACCTTAGATTACAGTACATATACAAATAATTTTATAAATTAAAATATCGATAGAACATAACACAACCAAGAACATAAATACGTCAATAACAAAACTCCAATGATTCTGCTTTTCTACAATAGTAGATGGCACAAATGCACCTCAGGCATCTGAAGGAAACTAATTACCTGGAAGAATACGAATATTTCGGTTGGATTCTAAAGGAGTTCCATCCTTAAACCAGGTGATGGTAGCTGGAGGATATGAATAAGCTTCACAGACCAAGGACGTGGGGCTGTTCAGGATGACAACGACATCTTCAGGGCTGCCATCACTATCGGCACCAGCAATTGTAGGAGATACTAAAAAGGATTTAAAATTTAAAGAACTATATTTAGAACATCTCTGTGCATTTCTAAATTTCCATTGTACTTATTTGTGTAATTCCATTCTCTAACAATTTCAGAGAACAACTGATTATTGTTCTTATTCTACACAAAAGCAGTGAGAACCTCAAAAGACCCACAGGGTAATGGAAAGAATGACATTAAAAAGGAATCATGACACAATGTGCTAAGGGCAATAATGGGAACTCTGGTGCAGGATAGACAGAGGCATAGCATTCAATCCAATGTAGGGCCTGAGGTGTGAGGACTCCCCTCAAGGAAGGCCTCCTAAAGAAGATTTCAAAGTGAGCTTAAAGGATAGTGCTAGTTAAAAGGTGAAAGAAGGCAGAGAAATAGGAAGAGGGAACAACACATTGGGAGCAGAGGAGTGTAAACAATAAGGGGCAAGCCAGAAATACTTACAGAGGACGGATTCATGGGGGTCAATATTGGAAGCAAGGATAACAGAGACAGGTCCATTTGTTTCATAAAAGGTAACGAAGGACTGAACTAGAGCATTTAAAGAAGGCATAAAGAGGAGGGGGCACCTAAAAAATATATTTAGGAAGTCAACGGGTGGGACCTGATGATAGAATTTGGGGGTTATGAGAAACCAAAGTCAAAGATAATTTCCAATGTTCCTGCTTGGGAACCTAGATAAACAGCAGGGAAGCAACATACATGGAAAATATAGAAAGATTTGCTCATTGAGGAGTGAAAGATGGTTTGTTCAGGTCTGAATAACTTGACTTTTTAGTGCCCAAGAGAATTCTCAAGAGAAATGTCCAACAAGAAATTGTATATAGAAATCCAAACCGTGGGAGAAAGTTCTGGATCGCAGGTATGGATTAAAAAGTCACCTGTCTATAGGATAATCAAACCTCTTGGAGTTAAGTTTATTATTTGAAGAGAATATCTGGAGTAAATGAGCAGTGAAGTAAGGACAAAACGTTTAAGAGATGGGGACTTAATGTTTAGGAGACAGATTAAATAAGAGTCACTAAGAGACAGAGAAAGGGAGCAACCAAAGGTATGTAAGGGTAACTAGGGAAGAACCCTGTCAAGGAGAAAGTGATAAATAATGTTCAAACCATTAAGAGTCAGACTGAAAAAATAACTGTTGGATCTACCAACAGGGTAGCCTTTGCCATCTTAGGTAGCAAACGTAGATTTCAGTACAGACAATTGCCAATAATGGCAGAGTCCCACAAAGAATGGATAGGATATCTCAGGTTGAGCCCCCTTTGCTTTTGACCGGCTTCTCTTTGACCCGCATATATTTATGCTCTATTATTGCTTATTTAACATCTATCTTCTTCATAGTTGTGTACCCAGCATAAAACACAGTACCTAGAACATAATACGTATTCCAAATATAATAAATGAATGAATGTATGAACTCATTAATAAAATTTAAAAAACACACAGCAAATGTCTGCAAACACTGGTCTTCCTTAAATAATGAAATCCTATGATAGAAATATTAATAAACATAAAAAGAAGAGAATTTAGCCTATGGTCATGTCTGAGTCTTCAAGACTTGAAGCAATGCTTCTACCTACCTAACACGTTAAGACTGAAACTTTTGCTCTTGTCACCAGCTGTGTTAGAAGCCAAACATGTATATCTTCCAGTGTGTGACACCTGGGCATTGGTAATTTGAAGAAAACGGCCACCAGACATACTGTGATGGGTGTCATCTTCTTGGACGAGCTGCCCGTCTTTGTGCCATGTAATTTCTGGCACTGGATTCCCTGTAACAAAAAGCCATTTCTGAGAGCTGGCTATGCTCACATGTCTACAAGTAACAACTGAAAGAAGGCATTTTACTCATTTGCCTTTTTAAATATCCCATTTCTGAAACAATGCAGTAACCATTCATACCAAAATAAATTTAAAACATAACCTAATGTATAATAATAATAATAATAATAATAATGCTATGATAAAAATGTACAAAACTTAAAAATAATTTTCAAATGAAGATTAGTTTTTATCAGACCTTAGACCAGTGGTCGGCAAACTCATTAGTCAACAGTAACTGAAAGAGGGCATTTCACTCATTTGCCTTTTTAAATATCCCATTTCTAAAGCAATGCAGTAACTATTCATACCAAAATAAATTTCAAACATAACCTAATGTATAATAACAATAATGCTATGATAAAAATATACAAAACTTAAAAATAATTTTCAAATAAAGATTAGTTTTTATCGGACCTTAGACTATTACAATGAAATGATTTCAGAGTAAAATATACTTAAAAAAAGAATGGAGCATGTAGTTCACAATACCTTTGCATTCATATTAATTGTTAAATATTTTATATTCTTGATAGCTATATAAAAGGAAAAACATTTAATTAAATAATCTAATAAGCAGATATTTCGAGTTTATACCGGGATTCCAGCATAGATCTATGGATGGGTAAATAGAGATATAAAGTAATCATTCCTTTAATATTTATAGCCTGTAGGTAAATGTATTTTATTTTTATTTTAACATGGGACTTATGTTCAATATTAAATTTTAAATTACTCGAAGAGATTTTTTTAAATTTAAAATTTAAAACCATAAAGCAAGTTATGTTAGGAAAGATGGATAGTATGATATTATAGTAAAACTGGAAGGCTCGGCTGTACTGGCTGTGGAGCATGCTCTATGGCCCTGCCCGGGCAGGGAAGCAACTGCCTGCCCAACTGCTGAGGATAGCAACCAGGCCTGCCCGACTAGGAAGTCTTACCTGGGAATCCAGGCAATGATGGAGCCTATCCTACAGCTGCATGTGTGCAGGGAGCAAAGCTAAGAGTCCTGTCCAACTGTTCCTAGCCAACAGCAACACCCACCCAACCTCAGAGCTCAGGCAGTGGCCTCACCCAGAGCCTAATAGAGAGCTCCACCGGGCCAAGGACACAACCAGCTAACCTGTCCAGAGCTCCAAGCTGCACTGACTGGTGAAGGGCTGTCTCTGCTGAAATAAGCCTATGAAGTCTGGAAGAAGAGAACCTTTACTCAAATGCACAGATACCAACATAAAAAAACACACGGTTAAACATGACACCATCAAAGGAAACTAATAAAGCTCCAATATCTGTCCATAAAGAAATGGAGATCAATGAACTGTCTGAGAAAGAATTCAGAATAGTCCTCTCAAAGAAGTTTAGTGAAGCACAAAAATGACGACTTTACAAAGTTAGGAAAACAATGCATGAACAAAACGAGAAGTTCAACAAAGGAAAAGAAGTCATCAACAAAGCCAAACAAATCCTGGAGTTAAAGAACAAATGGACTAAATAGAAGAATTTAAAGGAGTGCATCAACATCAGACTTGATCAAGGAGGAGAAAGAATCTGTGAACCGTTCAAGGTCATCAAATCACAAAATAAGAGCATGATAAGAAGAAGGAACAAAGGATCTACAAAACAATGAGAAAAATGGAAATAGTAAGTCCTTGCCTACCACTAATTACTTTAAATGTAAATGGATTAAAATTTCTAATACAAAGACAGAATGCTTGAATGGAGAAAAAAACAAGATGTCGCAAAATGCTCACAAGAAACTCACCAAAGCTTTAAAGATACATATGGCTGAGAGCAAACAGATGTACAAAGATATTTAAAGAAAATGGTAATCAAAAAATGCAGGGGTGGCTATACTTATTATCAGACAATACAGACTTTTAAAAAAGTGGTCAAAAGTCAAAGAAGGTTATTATATAATGAAAAAGGGGTAAATCCATCAAGAAGCTATAACAGTAAGTATTTATGCACACAATAGCAGAGCACCTAAATATAAAAAGCAAATACTAACAGATCTAAAAGGAAAAGTAAACAGCACTACAATAATAGTTGGGGATTTTAATACCCCACTCTCAACAATGGACAGATCATCCAGTCTGAGGATCAATAACAAAACAGAGGATTTGAAAAACACCATAGACCTTACAGACATGTCCAGAGTATTCCATCCAACAACAGCAGAGTAGACATTCTTCTCAAAGGCACATGGAACACTTTCTAGAATAGATAATATCTTAGACCGCAAAACTAGTCTCAGCAAACTTAAGATGATTGAAATCATACCAAGAGTCTTTTCTGACCACAGTGATTGAAACTAGAAATCAGCAACAGGAGGAAAGCTGGAAAATTCACAAATAAAAAACCTGAAAATTAAATGTCTTAACAAACAGTGAGACTTTTGTTTTGGGGCAATCCCCAGTATCAGTAATGCCACCCTCCCACCAACACTCCTACTTATTTATTTGAAATGCAATTTGAGAAAACAGGAAAAGAAAAGGAGGTTCAGCCTTCAACCAACAGAGAGGAAAACAAAATAAGAGGAGATGAAGCAGAGAAACCCTACATTCAAATAGTAGATTAAAAAATTTGGTTTATTGGACTGAAAGAAAAGGCCAGTGTGTCTTTCCTTTTTCTTTCCTTCCCCTCATTTCAAATACATATTATAGCAGCTTGAATTTTTCTCAGCTAAGTAAGATATGTAGGTGAGGCAATGAATAACCAGTGAGGGGTCGGGGAAAGGAGAAGCAGAGGGCTGAGGCCCTTACCTGTCACCTCACAAGTCAGTGTAACACTCTGCTTCTCTTTTACCTTCACATCTTCCAATGTATTTTCACCCACAATGCGAGGTGGCACTGAAAAAATACCAAACACAAAAAGTAATGATTCTTACCACAGGGCTGTTACTTTAGAGAGATCTAGGTTCATATTTTTATTTCGATATAACCTTTAAAGCAAAACCCCAAATTCTCATTGATTACTAGAATAATATCATAATATTATTTTGATTAACTCCATTTTTATGATATATTATAAAGTAATATGTCATGAATTCAATTACATAATGAATTTCATTGTAAAATAAATCATAAAGTCCAGATAAAAATGTCAACAAATCAGTAAGAACATTTATTAGACCTTTATTTTTCCTACTCTAAGCAGCACTCCTATTAAACAAGTGATCAGAGAGTCTTAGCATATTATTGAATAATTGTGAACAAACAAGATATGACGTTTTATCCATTTTAACCCAAATGATTATCTTCAAATCACTGTAACATTGAATTCTTTTCAACAGTGTGTCCAGGGACCAAAGAATACATAAATGTGAGATCAAGCTGTAGATAAATTCTAACTTTGGTTCCAGAAGGCACTTAAGCCAATTTTATTTTTTTTAGATACTGAAGTTTATGTAAATACCTAATACTGAAAGTCCAAAGAGTTTTCTTTCTTCACCAGCTGCATTCCTTACGACACAAGCGTACTGGCCAGCGTCTTCTATTCTGGTCTGCATCAACCGCAGAGTTCTCCCTCCTGGAGAAGCAAACCACCAGGTGACTCCAAAAGAAATCTGAAACTTTACCAGTTGTCCAAGTGATGTTCAATGTAGGGAAAATTTAGTCAAAATGCTTCAAGGGTCTTTCAATGAATTGATGTCAATTTTTTAAAAAATCACATGTTTTAAGCCTATATGAAACAAAATACTAGATAATTCAGAAGAATTTCCTGGATCGATGGATAAAAAAATAAACACATGCTAAGTGACAGCAAGCAAGAAATGGAGTTTCATAAAGGTAAAGTGAAACTTCAAAGGTAAGTATATTTTAACCCACAGAGGAGATGAGGAGCTTCACTGTAAGGAGAGTACAAATGAGGATAGAGAGGTGGAAAGTAGATATGGGGGGTGGTACCATAAGCAGAGCAGGTGGAGATAATGGTGAGATGAAACTAGATGGAGTACGGTCAGATTCTGTGAGCCCTTGAAGGCTGTGTTAAGGAATTGAGACTTTGTGTTCATTAAAGGCTATGGAAGTATGTAAACAAATAAAGGTCATGATCTGATTTGTGCTTTAGAAAGATAACTGTTACAGGATGTTTAGAAAAAGAATTCCCAGTTGACCACTGAATATATAAAATGGGAATGTTAGAGGACTATCCCAGCAGCCCAGACATGGGTGACAATAATATAGAAGGGATGGCTGAAACCATGAAGTCTGGCCACCAGTTTTCAATTGAGTTTCATGGAATCCTAGAATTATTTATGTCAAAATTTACGGGGGGAGGGTCGCCTCATTCACTAGTGCAACTCTGTTTTTGGTTTTACATTTTGAACTTCTCTGTATTGTTTTCTTTGAAGAAAGATTCTTCATCCAAGAAATGTATATAGACTGAGAATGAAACTCTGATATGTTGAAGATTGTAATATGGAGTGAAATCCATCTGAGGACAAAAGAAGAGGGAGGGGCCCAGCAGTGAGATTGAAGCAAAGCCTGCAAGGGAACTAAGACATGCACGGAGAGACCAGAGTTCTCGAAACCACTGGTGGCATAGAGTGTAAGTGAAAAATGTACAACACTTCATACATTTTGTAATAATTTTCTGGCCAGTATACCTTTGCTTAGTATAGCGGTTCTCAACCTGTGGGTCGTGACCCCTTTGGGGGTCGAACGACCCTTTCACAGGGGTCACTTAAGACCATCGGAAAACACATATATAATTACATATTGTTTTTGTGATTAATCACTATGCTTTAATTATGTTCAATTTGTAACAATGAAAATACATCCTGCATATCAGATATTTACATTACGATTCATAACAGTAGCAAAATTACAGTTATGAAGTAGCAATGAAAATAATTTTATGGTTGGGGGTCACCACAACATGAGGAACTGTATTAAAGGGTTGAGGCATTAGGAAGGTTGAGAACCACTGGCTTAGTACCTTGAATTCAAACTAAAAATTCAAAATGATTAAACATGAAATTTTCATGTAAATATTCACTGAACCTAAATTTGTCAGGAGTTTCCATCTAGTTTTTGTTTTTTAAAATATATTTTTATTGATTTCAGAGAGGAGGGGAGAGGGAGAGGCAGATAGAAACATCAATGCTGAGAGAGAGTCATTGACTGGCTACCTTGGTTCATAGGTCAATGCTCAACCACTGAGCCACACTTGGCCGACAACCTTCTGTTTTTTAAACACAACAGGACATCATTGAGTTTTCCTAAAAGCAACCTTCCCATCCTCAAACCACTAAAAGGTGAACTTAGTATCTTATTTAGACAAACAAAGCTGATTACCTGAACTGAGTCTTTTTTCCTAACTGAATTTACATAAGCAAAGACTTATGTTCATTAGGAAAAGATTCAAGCACGGACTGCTACTTCAGATTACAGAAACCATAATATAATTCCAGTTGAGAGCTATTAAAACAGTCCAACTTTTATGAGTCATTGCTGGCTCAGCAAACCTCAACCTCATGGGTCTCATGATCTTTCTTTTTTCCTGGTCTTCTCACTTACTCCAGTGGGGGGAAAAGGGTCTGACAGTTAGTTATACTTATACAGAGACGTTTCTTGTACCTATTAAATTTTTATAGCAGTTATCTCTTCTTGGCACACAACTTCATAGCAATGAGAGAGACTTCGCTAAAGCACGGCTTCTAGAAAAGCTGTACTTAACGTCTCAGGAGGATTAATCTTAATAAAACAGAAGTGTGCAGCAGATGAAGGACCAAGCGAGTCACATGCCATTCATTTGATTCTCATTCATCTATTGCACAACACACATCAGACCGTAAAACTTCAATGACTCCTTTGGCAGCGCCACAAGGTGAAATTCTTTTACTGTGTTCACTCAGGGATCTCCAGCTGCTGGTCAAGCAGAACAAAATGAAAGGAAACCCAACCACCACTTGGGTACATCTGTAATAAGCCAGAGTACAGCGCTCTAACCTGCCCTGTCATTTCTAGGAGCTCTGATGTAGTTATTATATTTAGTAAGAGTTCCTACTTTTTTTAGCCAATGGGAATTAAGGGGGGAAATAAAGTAAAAAATCTGAGAATAATTTCAAGATAAGAAGATAGTGTGTTCAGGTTTTGGGTAACCAAAATGTAATAAAATCTTGGCCATTACTATCATTTCCCAAGACCAACAGGGCCTGGGAGTCCATGAAAATAAAAGTATCAAAATGAGGACACAGGACTGTCTCCCAGGACAGGAAGACCACAAACCTTTTACCAGGTTGTCTGTGGTTATAACAACAAATACACATTGGATGCTTACCATATAAGCAGGCACTGTGCTAACTGATTTACATATATTGACTCATTTAATCCTTCCAAAAGCCCTAAGAGGCAGATTCTATTAATACTTTCACTTTGTGAGTAAAGAAACTAAAGGTAGCAACATCAAGTAACTTGCCTGAGGTCATAAAGTTAGTGAGTATTATGGGCAATAAATAGGTTCATAGCAGTGTTCACTTCTCATCAAGCACCTGTCCTGTTATAGAGTCAGATCTTGGAGAAGCAGAGGGACCTACGGTATTTAGACATCATTCAAACACTAGAAAGGACTCTTTTCTGAAAAGGCTTCAAAGGGGGGAATTTAATTTTTGAACCAATTTAGGGGCAAGGAATTCACTACCTATTAAATTAGCTCATCTTGACTTTAAACAATATATATTTTTAAAGTTCTTTCTATTCAGACCCAAATTTGACCTTAGAGTCTTCCATACACTGGCATTACTTTCTACCTCTGGAACTAGACAGAACCAACATCATCCTTTTCTACACTATAGCTCTTCAACTATTTAAAATTAATTTTCACTATGTAACCATATGCACCGGGTTTATTTTTCCAGGTTCGATACAATCAGACTTACATTATGATGTAATCATTAACTGTCATGGTTACCTTCCTTAAAAAACAATAGTCAATAGATCCTTCTAGTTTTCCTAATAAGTGAGTTAAATCCAGAGTACAATTGGTCTCTTACTTTTCTTACCAGTGACAATATATTTTGTTAATGTGGCAGAATATCGCATTTACTTTCCTGATAACCACATTACACTGTCATTGCACAATGAATGAATAACACAATTCGGAAAGCTCTTCATATGAAGAATCACCCTAATTTTCATCCTTGGTTTCTGAACTTCAGTGCAGGAGTTTATTTAACATTTATTTTGTTAGGTTCAACTCAAAAGTTCACGAGGTATGTTTGAATTTGGGTTGTCTTCATTCAACACATTAGGTATTCTTCTAAGTACCCAAGCTTTTTATTAACCGCAGACTTGGCAAGAGAATCTTCTTAGTGTGTCCAAGTCATTACTGAAAGGGGTCAAGTGCAGATTCCTGTGGCATGCCCCAAGACACCTCTCTCCACGCTTAACTGACCCATAAAGGAGAAGCTAATAGATTTTATTATCTAATTAGATGAGGACTAAGCTGAATATCTCTTTTACAATAATCAAGTCTTAGCTCACAGTAAACTATTCTATCTCATAAATATAAAACTCAGATTAGAGTCATGAATAAGGTGAAATACTTGCTTATGGAAGTATATTACATAACAGGAATCTCTCTAGACTCTGGTTTTAATTTTAGTATTTCCTTTCACTTTTTACTTTTCAAATTGGTTGGTACTCATTGTAGTGTGACTGCTCTGATTATCACCATAATTTTTAAAAAATATATACATTTTTACTAATTTTAGAGAGGAAGGGAGAGGGAGAGAGAGATAGAAACATCAATGATGAGAGAGAATCATTGACCGTCTGCCTCCTGCATGCCCCACACTGGGGATCGTGCCCGCAACCCAGCCATATGCCCCGACCAGGAATCAAACCGTGACCTCCTGGTTCACAGGTCAATGCTCAACCACTGACTCACACTGGCCAGGCTGACATCACCATAATTTAAGTCATAAGTGACTGCCAGGATTTCTTTTGTAAAAGGATCTAGAGGTAATTTAGAGATTCTCCCTTTTTCATATAACTTTTTAAATATTTTTTTTCTTAATATGATCAATGGGTATTATAGTTAGCAGCTACAGTGGGGCCTTGACTTGCGAGTTTAATTCATTCCGTGACAGAGCTCGTAACTCAAATTACTCGTATGTCAAATCAACAGTGAACGAGTGAGACACGTGATGCTGGGCTGATGTTGTGGCGTTCACTGTGATGTTCGCTGTGCCAACTAGCGGTGGGGTATCTGAAACTGGCTCATAACCCGAATTTTAGATCGCAACGCAAAGCAAAAAATCGGCAGAGAGACAGCTGGTATCTCGAAAAACTCGTTAGTCGGGACACTTGTAAGTCAAGGCCCCACTGTATATCAAAAAATATGAGACAGGAAGAAATGAGAAATGAAGGAGAAATTGTGGCCACATGAAGAGAACCAGATTATGAGACTATGAGAAGTCCTAGTACCTGAGAGAATTCTCACAGAACTGCTAAGGCTGATGGGCCACCCGTCTTTAAGCCAGGTAATGGAAGGCAAAGGAATGCCTGAAGCTTCACAAGTCAGGGACACGGAGTTCTTTTCCACCACACTGATATTTTCAGGTGTCCCGTGGTTTCCGATGATGCTCGGAGGGGCTGTAAGACAAAAACAAAACAAACAGGAAATGGAAAGGATGGTAGCTAATCTATATCAAACACCAAATCCTACACAGTTCATTGTTAATAATACGACTTCCATGTTTTGGTCAACAGTAAGCAAAATGAGTAACCACATCAATGACATTAATAGTTGTAGTAGTAGTAGTGTAGTGTGACATCTCTGAAGTACATGTTACTTCTTCCCCACTAACTGCAATAAATGAAATTGATATTGTTATTCTAATGGAGGTGAATGGTTTTCTATGAGTCACTCATCTTTGCTGATAAATCTCTAATATGGATTCATGGCCTTTTTATAGGCGGGATTTTCTAACAAATTATCCTAATTCTAAATATAAAACATAAGGTAACAAAAAGATACTTAAGATGGACTCCTTTTCTCTTCTGTGTTCTGATTTCATGAGCTTTGGCTCACACATTAGCTGCAAACTACAGGATATTAATACTGTACTTTGTGTGAGTCCTATCTGGATTCAAGTTATCAGAATGTGTCTATTAATTTTACCATTGCTTCTATGGACCTAAAATGTGCAATCAAATTATATAGGTATCCCTGAGAACGAATATGTTTGGTCTATTCCTAATGACATTTATGACTCATTAATTAGAATATTAAAGCTGACTCATGATCAACTGATGCTGAGTCAATGAGCTCTAAGGAGCCTAGGTTTATACTAGCCAAGATAGCTAATTTGGAAAACAAAGAATCAAAGAATATTAGTTGAGATGTCACTGAACAAAAATACTTGCAGATGACCATTATCTATCTCACTACATGCTTTCCTAAAAGTCTATCTAATATATGCTTATTTCAGCAAGGTAAGAAATGGGAGGTCAGGCACAGAAGGATAAGTGATGAGACTGATCTAGAGAAGTGGTGCATATAGAGAAAATAACAGCCTATACATAGAAGACCCAACACTCAAAGCCCGCATCTCCCATCCAGGATGCTATAGAGCAGGGGTCCTCAAACTACGGCCCGCGGGCCACATGCAAATACAAATATTGTATTTGTTCCCGTTTTGTTTTTTTACTTCAAAATAAGATATGTGCAGTGTGCATAGGAATTTGTTCATAGTTTATTTAAACTATAGTCCGGCCCTCCAACGGTCTGAGGGACAGTGAACTGGCCCCCTGTTTAAAAAGTTTGAGGACCCCTGCTATAGAGTATATCAGTCAACGAATAGACTTACTGAGCTTCTTTGTACTTACTATGTACACTTAAGTCATATTTTCTGTCAGTCATTCCTGCTACATTTATGGCAACACATACATAACGGCCTGTGTCAGAGACATGAATATTCTTCAGCTGAAGGATGCGACCTTCATCCAATATTTCCATTCCCCTCCCCTTCGTCAAGGTGCGGCCATCTTTCATCCAGGTCACTGTCGGCTGAGGAATACCCTGCACCTCACACTCCAAGGACACGCTCTTCCCTCGAGTCACAGTAATTTCAGTAGGGTGGCTGCCACTGTTGGATATGGTTGGTCGAACTGGACAAAAAGAGAGAGGGAGAGAGAGAGAGAGAGAGAGAGGAACATTTTTTCTTTAAGTTTATTATCAAAATTTTTATCAAAGTTAAATTCATTTTAAAATGAGATTTTATTTTTTAGAGCAGTTTTAGGCATGCAGAAAATACAGAGTTCCCATAAACTCTGTCCCCACACAAGCATAGCTTCCTGAAATATCAATATCGTGGAACATTTGTTTAAATTGATGAATATACATTAATACACCATGATTTCTCAAGGTCTACAGTTTATACTATAATTCACTCTTGGTGTTGTACATTCTATGGATTTTGACAAACGTATAATGACATATATTCACCATTATAACATTATTCAGTGTATTTCACTGCCCTAAAAATCTTCTGAGCTCTTCTTATTCATCCCCTCTCCCCCCAAAGCCATGGCAACCTCTAATCTTTCTTTATTGTCTTATTTTATTTTTCAATTACAGTTACCATTCAATACTATTTTGTATTAGTTTCCAGAGTACAGACAATCATATACTTTGCAAAGTGTTCCCCCTAATATTTCAAGTACCCACCTGGCTCCATACATAGTTATTACAATATTATTGTCTATATTCCCTATGCTGTACTTTTTACATCCCTGGGACTATATTCTGACCACCAATTTGTAGTTTTTAATCCTTTCACCTTTTTCATCCATCCCCCCCAAACCCTCTCCCCTCCAGTACCTCTGTCTGTTCTCTGTAGCTATAAATCTGTTTCTATTTTGTTTGTTTGTTTTGCTCTTTAGAGTCCACATATAAGTGAAATCATATATATTTGTCTTTCTTTATCTGACTATTTCACTTAGCATAATATCCTCTAGATCCATCCATTGTGTTGCAAATGGTAAGATTTTATTCTTTTTATGGCCAAGTAATATTCCATTGTATACATGTACCACATCTTCTTTGTCTACTAGTCTTTTGATGGGTACCTGGGTTGCTTCCATATCTTGGCTATTGCAGATAACATTGCAATGAACATAGGGGTGCATATATTCTTTTAAGTTAGTGTTTTGGGTTTATTTGGATATATGCTGAGTTGAATTGTTGAGTCCTGAGGCAGTTCCATTTTTAATTTTTTGAGGAACCTCCATACTGTTTTCCACAGTGGCTGCATCAATCTACATTCCCACCAAAAGTAAATGAGGGTTCTCTTTTCTCCATATCTTTATCAACTCTTATTGTTTATTGATTTTAAATTCATTTTGATGTCAGAAGATTAACTGCTAAAGAAAGATCGAAGACTAACAGAGGTGGCATGTTATACTGAGAGCTGGAATTCTCCATTGTTTTAAAATGAGGTGTGTTTGTGTGTGTGTGTGTGTGTATGTGTGTGTGTGTGTCTAATCAATCACTTACTATAAACTTGCAGATTATAGTCTTTCTGTGCAGTTCCAGCAATATTTGATGCTACACAGGTATAGAGCCCTGCATCAGATTTTTCAGCCATTGAAATCTGTAACTGTCTGCCTCCAGATAAAGTTCTGACCCGCTCTGTAGAGTCAGCCAGCACCAGGGAGCCTACAAAGGAATCCAGATGACAGAACATGAAGCAACAATACAAAGTTTTGTGCTTACATTTTCGGTTAAGTATATGTACTTAATTTTTTTTACTTCCAGTTCAAGTACCTAAAAGGCAGATGACACTGTAAAGTAATCCTACACATAAAAGAAGGAGGATAAGGAAAAGAATTAGGAGGGGGATGAACAGAAGGAGGGGAGGAAAAGAGAAAAGGAGAAGGAGGAAATGTTTACCAAGAAAATCTGCAAAATTTTGGTAAAATTTCAACCAGTATTGCATTTCAAAGAAAACATACTTAGAAAAACAAACAAAATAAAATCTTAAAGCAGGAAAACAAAAATGATTTTTTAAATCAGCTAAACATTTAGATGATCTGCCAAATACTTTACAGACCCAAATATTTGTCAATGAAATAAATTGAAAATCTGTCCAACTGCAGAATTTAATCTTAACACACATTACAAAACTGTCACAAATACAGCAAAAATGTTTGCTTTAGAAAATAATTTTAATCCTATTTTAAAGAAAAATAGTAGTTCTTTGAATGGTGGTTTCTTGATCATTGCAGATACCCTGTAGTGCATTTCATTAAAGAACGATGCAAATTTTTTCCTGGGGGGGCATTTAGTCTCAAAATTGAAGATTTTTAGTTGGATAGTGCAAAAGCGCCACATTGCACATTGAGTTTTTTAAAAATATATTTTTATTGATTTCAGAGAGAAAGGGAGAGGGAGAGAGAGATAGAAACATCAATGATGAGAGAGAATCAGTGATTGGCCGCTTCCTGCATGCCCCCTACTGGGGATCGAGCCCACAACGAGGCATGTGCCCTTGATTGGAATCGAACCCGGGACCCTTCAGTCCGCAGGCTGACACTCCATTCATTGAGCCAAACCAGATAGGCTGCACACTGAATATTTAATTATGCTGCCTAGTATTTTAGTATGCAAACCCTCAGAAAGTTTGTTAATAAATTAACATATTTGTCAGATAAAATGTAAATTCATCTAATATTATATTTAATTTTATAAATGTCACAGGATGAAAACTGACCTTTCTTCTGCCAAATGAGATGTGGGGGTGGAATACCACTTGACTCACATAACAGACTGATGAGATTCCCTTCAATGACTGTAAGTTGAGCAAGTTCATTTGAGCCATAAATATTTGGGGGTACTGAAAGGTTTAAAAAGAGAGAAAGAAGTACAAAATAGTATTTTCACACTCATTAATTTTAAAATTTCCCTAATACTTTACATGTTTTTTTTTTAAAAAAGGCTAGCATTCAAATGACACAGAAAATAATTAGCACTTGAGGTTGACATATCAACACCACATTAAACGTCCACTGGAAGACATCCACTACATACCTTGAGCAGACTTCCCATTTTCACCGGCAGAAACTTAATTATCAAAATATTGAGAGGGGCATACAAAGAAGGGAATTTGTTATAGATATTTAGATATCTTGCATCAAAACGCTAAGTCACTTACCAAGTATAAACTTAACCCAGTCATTCTTACCTAGCCAGCTTTAATATCGCAGAGGCCGAACAGAATCGGAAAGCAAGAGGCGTATAATACACAGTCAAGAATGGAGACAAGGAATTGGATCTAAGAAACGGGCCTGTTATCTGTACTCGACTGTTATCTGCATAGCCTGCCTCCCACACTGGCCTCAGCTTCTCCTTGGAACTTTCAAAGTGAATCCTGACTACCCACGCCTGTCTCCGAGGCTGAGCCGGACTCTCTCCTGAGCCACTTCTCTGGTTGCAGTATCATCAGGCGGCAGACGCTTGTTCTCCAAGCTCCTGGAAGTGGAGGAGTGGGAGAATCCTCCTCACCTCCCGAAGCAGCTTCCAGTCATTGTTCAACGCCCCCCCGCCCCCCCCAATGAAAGCTCTGTTCTCTTGAGGCTCCTGCCACCAGTTCACTTGTCTGTTTTTATCCCTCCTCTTCATATGACGCCCTGCCATTCTTTTCTATGAACTTAACTTCCTGGCCTGCTCATTGGTCTGCTCATTCCTTTCTCCATCCAAGGCCTAGAACATTCTCATATATATTTATAACTTTAGGCTACTCTCTGACTACTCCATCCTTAGAGCTCTTTCACTTAATTTCCCCCAATTAATTAATCGACAGATACAATCAAAATGAAGAGAGCTTAATATGCAATAAATAATTTAAAGAAATATTTAACATAAATTATTAATACACTGGGAACAGGAGCAGTTTTTAAAGATTAGCAGACAATCGCCGCCAATGTCAATGTTGTGATTACTTTTAAGAATTACCTTAATTAGGAGCATAATAAAATTTCAAGCAAGGAAAGCTAGTCACACTGGTTAGCACAGTAAGCCCATTTCCCACCCACAAGTACGTGTGCTCTCTGTCTCTCACACTCACATAATTCACAAACATAATCTGGCCTTTTGACTTATTTTCAACTGACCAACCCACTCTTCATTCATAGAGAACACTCAATCATTAGAAGATGCTGGTTGTAGAAGCTAAAACGTATATGACTCAGACAGAAAAGGAGAACCATTGAGCATCAAAGTTACAGTGATTAATGGATTCAGGTTCAAGGAGTCTATCTAGAGTTGCTCTTGAGTTAATTATATGAGCTGATACTCAGGGCAAGTTAGCATCATCTAAACATATTGATTCCTGTCCATCTATGTATTATGTTATATGAATGTCATTTCAAGAGATGACACACAGTATAAAAGGTTAAACCACACACTACATCTTTTTTTCAGCAACTGATCACACTTACCCCAAATGTTGACATTATAATTTTTCTCAGTTTTCCCAGCAACATTTGTTGCCTCACAAGTGTAACGTCCAGTGTCTTGAACCTGAGCATCCTCAATCTGAAAACAAAATCAGGTTATAAAACCAGTTTCTATTTTGTAAGTAATGGGGCTTTTCTGTTATTTGTGTATTCTTATTTTTTATTTGTATTATGGTCATACAACCATATAAGTAATGGGGCTTTTCTGTTGTTATTTGTGAATTCTTATTTTTTATTTGTATTATGGTCATACAACCATTATCCACATCCAACACTTATCAAGATTCAATAATTTTTGTCTATGTCAAACCTTATTTTAATTTCACTAATATTAGTCACTGAAGGTCTAGAAAGGCCCTTTAACTATAATTCAAGTAAAATATCAAAAAAAATCACAATTTCTGAATTCGTTATTTAAAGCTTTAAAGTGTATAATCTTTCTACATCCAGGACATTGTTCAGTAAAATAATACCCTTTGTATGGATTTATTATGTCTCTTCTCCCATAAGGGCTTGTAAACTTCTTCAAGCCAAATGTTATATTCAGTTAGTCTCATCTCCTAGTACTCAGGTTGGTGCCTGGTAGGTAATTGAATATCAGTAAACATTTTCCATGTATTTCTCTGCAGCATGCATTGATATTCATTCATCATCCATTCACTGAACATTCAGCAGCTACTTAGAACCTTGTACCAGGTACTGCAGGTAGAAAATACAAACAAGTATAGTGTAACATATGTTTTCTGACTTGAGTTTGCAATCTGGTTGAGAATATAAAGTATTCAAACATAAAAATGAACTTAATAATGAAGTATAACTAATAACAGAAGGTAATACAAGAGATTGTAACAAACAGTATGACATTGATTGCCAAGTAACTTCACAGTCAACTGCTAAATCATTCAAAAGAGTTGAATCATTGGAGTTAAAGTTGTCTTTGAAAGCATTTAGTACAGTGGGGGTCCACTACAAGCTTTCATTTCCAGGAGGTCTTCTCTCTATGCCCCTCAGTGGGACCTGCCCCCACTAGGGTGCCTACCTAACCTCCAAAGTGGGGATTCAATGAATGTCAGGGTTGCTTCGCCATCCAGCATCTCTCTCTCCCGGCTTCCCAACCCCTTGGGATCTGTGCTCTGAAGAAATAAACTGCTATGCTCAGTGAAAACTGCTGACAGTTCTAACCACACATCACTCTCCCCTACCAGTGCTGGGGCCTGTATCCATGTAATTGTTTCCTTCTATCATTCAGTGAGAGTTAAGGTTTGCGCATTCTACCAGCTGCCTTCTAGAACTCTGGGCTCTGCCTCTGAACAGGGGATGTTTTGTTTTGTTTTTCCTGTATAGCTCATTGACTCATCCTAGTTCCCAAACTCAGTGATTCTGGCCTTTCCTTCCTCAACAGTTCCATTATTTCAGAATCATAATTCGCAAGGTCTCTACCCTCTTGCCTCCAACATACACCTTCACACTCCCTCCCACGTTTCCGCTCTCCTGTGTAAGCTTCTCTGCTTCCTCTGTGCTGACATTCCCATCATCCATTTCTCAAGACTCTCTTTACTTGCCAGTAATAACCTTCCTTGACCAAGAGGCTGGAAGGTCGAGTGGGGCGCCGCATGGATGTCAAAGCTATGCTCCTGTGTTCACAACTCATTTCGGCCATTTAGTAACCGTGGGCGGATTACTTGGCCATTTTTCAATGTCTCAATAGGATTATTTTGTGAAGATTTTTTAAACTTTCCTGAATCCTAATTCCTCAGGCTGGCTTTAAATCTTAGCTCTTATTTTACTCAAGTCAACCGTGTCAGAATTATTTCCGAATATTCGCTCTGTTAAATTCTCTGTTTTAGCCACAGTAGCTCACTTGCTTTCTTAATCAGGGCTTTCGCCCCATAAAAATGCAAATAGCCTTCCAAGAAGATTCTAGGCAACCACAGCCTTACCTTGTGCTACCCTCCCAAAATGTATCCACTTGGTCATTAACTTAGACTTACAGCATTCACTGCATTTTTGACTGAACGGTCAGAAAATTTTTCCTAAATTTATGTGAAATTAGAAGACACCGGGGGCAGAAAATGCATCTTACACTTTTTGGTGTCCCTACCCACAGCTCCTAGAATGGGTATATGCTGATTGGTTGAATGACTGCGGATGAGGCACTCCTAGCAATATTCTTCTCATAACAGTTTCCCAGAAACATTTTTGGATGGCTTCTGGCTACAAACATGGATAGAAAAATTAAATATTTAAAACTTAAGCCCTAAATGTTAAAAAATATTACAAACCCTTTGGATAAAAGGGTTCCTAGAATTTTATAATATGAAATTGATAGAACATTTGTAAAGACAGGCAAATGTAATAGGGTTCATACCGAAGCCATGAGCTTACGAGCAATATAAGAAGAAATAAATGAATCGACAGCCTTACCTTTAACACACTTCCATTTTCAGAGATCCTGAGGCCTGGCTTCTTCAGCAAAGGGCGGCCGTCTTTTAACCAAGTCAGAGTGGGCGCAGGGATAGCATCGCTTTGGCATAGGAGCTCCACAGCCTGGCCGATGAGGACAGAGACGTTCTGTTCTTCTCCCATGATATTTGGCGGAACTAAGTGAAAGATGGGGTTTCCCTCAGGATCAAGCAGGCCAGCCCACTGCCTGTCATTATTAATCATCAGGATATATATACTGGATAACTCCACTGTTTCTTTTAAGATGTAGGATCACGATCATTCTAACATACCCTCTTTGCATCATTTAGTTTAGAATCAAAAGTGTTAAAAAATCACCGATGAACGTGCTGCTGTTGAACAAAAATTGTTTCCACCATCTTTTCTCTTTAAAAAAAAGTTTTAGAACGGGAAGTTTTCACCAAGTGGCCATTTAAGAAACTTCTTGAACGCCATATTATTATTTAAGATTTTCAAAGGAATAAATCATTCATGATATATTTTGGAAATAATGGATTACAGCAAATGCATTTTTGATACTTATGTTTTGTTGCAAAAGAAAATAAATTTCATTGTAACAGAGGCAAAATAAAAACACAGAGGTATAAAGGTGAAAGGGATACTCCAGTCCTACCGAGTCACCCTGTGCAAAACGAAGTGGGTGACAGATAACAGCTTATCTGAAATAACCTCACTAACTGGTGGCAGAGCCAGGAGTCTTCGGGCTTGCAGTTCAGAGCACTCTGTGGTTTTCCATGGTACCTTGTCAACTTTCTATGGAATAAAAACCATGTGGGATAAATGGCACAATAAGGAACAAACTAAATCAGTGACCAGCTGCACAGCACACTCACGATTACATAAAAAGAGGAAATGATGTGAAATGTTAATGAGATTAAGATTTGAATTCCCTGGCTCGAAGGCTTGTCAGATGCTCAAATGTGTTGTTGGAGAAGTTTAAGGAATCTCCTTCCTTTGGATGTATTAAAAAATAAAGTAAACAGTCATTTGTCTTCGATGGTTGAGGTACAGCCCTGCCAAGAATGGGAGGGTGGGCTCCATAACCTCTCCAAGGACTCCTTCAGGCCTGTATTTATAATAACTCAAATACACAAACGAATGATGAAATCAAGCCTGTTGCTATAAAAGGGACACTTCAAAATTCACAGAGGAGAATTTCCTCGGCCGTTTCTCATGAAATCCCATAACTATTTAGGATGTGGGGAAATTTGTCAGATTTCTCGTTTTTGTTTTGTTTTGTCTTACAGGAAAGGATACGTTTCATTGAAATGACTCTTAAAGAAAATTGTCCAAATTTTCTTTAAGAGTCATAAAATCGGCAGACATAAAATCTTTGTGCTGAAGAATGTCATAGTTCACCAGCCATTGTTTCGGGCTTCACAGCTTGTGGCAAAATGACAATGTAATCAACTTTCACTGTGACAGTGTGTTCTTATAGCCAGGAGGTTTCTCTGCTACCCTGCCTACCGCAGAGGGAAAGGCATGTGAAATGGACTCAGAGCACTTTCTTGTGCTGTTTCTGGATGCAGGGCAGGTGCCAAAGCCAGAGGAAGTGATGCTGAAGGAAGACATGCCATGTGCAATGACTGGAACAGACCAGTGGAGCATTTGTGTAGAGGTGATGCCCCTTCTGCTGAATTTAATGGCACACACAGACATCTGGCTCTCGATGAGCTTAAAGTCATCCATGGGGAACACATAACAGTGGGATTGTTTTCAGCATGGGACACAGATAAAAGATGCACAACTGGTCCGGTTTCAGATGAAAACTACTATAATGATGGCAAAATCAGCACAATTAGTGCCATTTCCTAAAGTATCATGAAAACAGATACACTCACGATTCTCAGCACAGAAAGCCCTAAATAGAATAGTTGATTTCAAAGCTTGGAAATAATTTCGAGTAGTCTGATCTCAGTGGATAAAAAGTGCCATAAATGTATGAAATTATATTTATCTTAGATTATTTGTAGAATTTACAAAAGAGCATGAATTCTTTTTTTTCTTAAATCCTCACCCAAGGATATTTTTTCCACTGACTTTTTTTTTTAAGAGAGTGGAGGGGAGGGAGGAGGAGGAGAAAGAGAGGAAGAAAGAGAAAGAGAGAGAGAGAGAGTGAGTGAGAGAGAGAGAGAGAGAGAGAGAGACATCAATGTGAGAGAGACACAACAATTGGTTGCCTCCCACACATGCCTCTGACCGGGACTGGGGATCAATGGAGACCAATGGAGATACGTGCTCTTGACCAGGAATCAGACCCATGACCCTTTTTGGTCCACAGGACAAGGCTCTAATCACTGAGCAAACTGGCCAGGGCAACAAAAGAGAATGAATTCTTTTTTGTTTGTTAGTTTTAAAGAGCATGAATTCTGGATGGCTCCGTGTAGGTGTAAAAGTCAGAAATAATTCAAGAAAGCAGAATGCTAATTTATTTTCAAATATTTTTCTTTCAGTTACTTTTCTTTACAGCTAAGTGAGTTAAATCAAGTTCAAAAGGATACCAGATTTTTTAAATTGAGAGGAAAAATGAAAAAGTAGAGTATTTGTTTCTTAAGGAACATAAAGCAAATCTAATTACAGCCAAGGATATATATTACTGAAACACATCTATTTGTCCTGTCTTTCATTTTCAACTTTTTGTTTAGTCTGAGAAGAGAAAAGCTTCTACCCTCAGATTCTCAGCTTTCTTAGATGTTATCCCTAATTTGCTTTGTGGTTTTGTTGCTTAGGAAGGGGTGTGTTATGTCTGTTTCTCATCCTACACATTATACTAGTTAAATCTAATTACCAAAATTAGAACTGCCATAGGGTTATATTTGTTGAGGCGCTGGGGAATGTGTGATCTCTAACAAAGTTCTCTGAGCTTAAGTTTAAAGAAAAGATACTACAGAAATCCAGTTCTTTTAAAAACTCAATTCTCTTGTCAGAATATGGTAGGACATACTGTGAATTTATACCAGCAGAAAAAATGTTAATGACCTACTCTTTTAACTGTAGGGAAAGGTACTTTACTCACCGTCTACTCCTCCTACCAGCCCCACACTCTACAAAGTCTATCTGAAAGGAATTTACCTTTGGGGATACACATTCTTTAGGCTCTAATTAGACACAAGATTGCCAATATTACTGTTACAAAGATAGGAATACAATGTACGGAAATAATACTAATAGTAGAACACAGTTTGGAAACTAATTTCAGACTGAAAACCCATTTTAATTTTTACAGTAGTTTGCCATGCATATATATTTCAAATGCTAAACACATATATGCATTCTCAAATATATGGTCATTTTAGCTGGAAATTTGAATCTTACAACAAAGGAAAGATCTGGGTTTTCAGACTCAAAGGATAGTGTGGAAGCATCTTAGCCAATGACAAAGAATAGTGATGCACATCTTTGGAAGGCCTGGAGAACATCAACTCCCGATCACCTCCCAGGTCCACTTTGACACTAACCATTGTAGAAATGGAAGGAGCCAATCCCAATTTTCATTGCTCACTAACACCCAGTAAATACTAATGTCACCCCTCTGCCTGCTTGCTGATGACCGAAGGAGCTATTGTGCCACATGCTTTGACCCACTGATGAACCATTCTCTAAGGATATTTGAGGTTGGCACATTCCAGTTCTCCATAAAGCACAAAGGAGGCCCTTGAAGGGAAGGAGTTGGAGTCTGTGGGGATGAGTATTTCAGGCCCATCTGCTCCCTCAGACAGAGAGCACCAGCAAAGCTGGAGGTTTCACATCCAGTGTTCGGCAAACTTTCGGCTCAGCAAACTGCAGCTCACGAGTCACATGCGGCTCTTTGGCCCCTTGAGTGTGGCGGTATTTTGTGGACGACCCACACTCAAGGGGCCAAAGAGCCGCATGTGACTCGTGAGCTGCAGTTTGCTGAGCCGAAAGTTTGCCGAACACTGGATGAGGAGAGATGCATAGAGAGCCCTTTAGTAGTCCACTGATGCAAATGGGGAGTTCTCAGCTTAATGAGGCATGCATGGTATCCATGTTGCAACAAGTGGCCTTTTTATTAAAAAATTATAACTTATTTGAAAAATAAGTAATATATTTGAACAGGAGTGAATTATTGGGAAGTGAGGTGGGATGTAGAAGAGAAGGCCTACATTAAATAGATATTCTTTGAGGAGCCACAGAAGAAACAAATTCATTTTTCCATGAACCAAGAAATATAATAAGGCCCTGAAAAAAAAGCCTGACAAAGTTCTAAATGCAAAGGTATGCTAACATGTGGAATGACCAGGGTAATCTATGGATGGAGGCCAATGGGGCCCCAACTTTGTTCTGGGGGCTGTTAGCTTCAGACTTTCCCTTTTGTACCTTACAGCCAATGCACAGATAGGGGAAAAAACACACCCAAAACTTAAATTTTTGTCTAAGTTTATGATTAGTTTAACTTTTGCATCTCAAATAGCCTTTAATTCACAGACAGAATATTGACTACCTAGTGCTGATTGCAAGTATATGCTGATTGTAAATATAATTAAAAGGTAGTAAAGCCAAGGCTTTGAGTAGAATGGATAAAAGGAGCCTCTTGAACAAATGATTGCTTTAGTGAGGAGACTGTATCTTTCCAATTATAAAGCTGCTCTCCGTAGTCATGCTCCTCGCGCGGTCTTCCATAAAACCCACACCTTACATGATTAATGTACGCACTTTAATTTCTCAGACCTTTAAAAAGGGATAGTTAGTTAAAGATAAATATAAGGTAGAAAGGGAGCATTTGATTTGAATTAATCCTATAATGTCATTTCTATTGCCCATAGTTCTTTATTGTCAAAAACTTCCCTTTCCTTTCCTCAATGATCTTAGGATTAAACACAGCCATATCAGAGCAGAAATCATTGTTAAAATGTCTCACCATATACTCGGAGGTCTATGTCCCTTTGCTTCTCTCCAGCAGCATTCACGGCCACGCAGGTGTATCTCCCCGTATCACTGATTTGGGCACTGGTCAAAGCCAGGATGCGCCCCCCAGACAGAACCTATCAGAGATAAGAAAGCTAAATAACCAACATGCCCCCTGAGAAGAGTAGGTGTACACAGACTTTTTCTCTTATTTTCTGAGGTTAATCAATAGACATCTGTCTCTAGAAAGATTCCAGTTGGCTGTTTTAAAGTGTGCGAGCATCACTTAATCCATCTTCTCTGTGGAGGAAGACTCGAAGGCCAGGACCCAATGTGGTAATAACCACTGAAAACAAGTCTGTCTCTATAGGACCAAGTGAAGGTCCAATTTCACCCACACTTACTACAGAGGAAGAGAAAGCCACTGGGGGAGAAGGAGGGACAGAGGCGGGAAAGAGGAGCTAACTTCCTCCTAATTTTAGTTTGGGAGAACAAGTGAGAAGTTAAAATTAACAGCAAAGTAGCAGCCAAATAAATTAATTTGTCACATTCATGGCTCTTTTATCCCATTGATCTAGTTGCACCTCTATTATACTGACCTTAATTCTACATCTCTTAAGATCCCAAATTCTGCAAGCATCGGAATTTTAAGAAAAGCTAAAGAAGCAGAATGGTGAGAGAACTACGTTTTCTGATAAACAAAATAATATTAAAGTACACTTTAAAAGAGATATATGTGTTTTGGTATTTTTAATTTTGAATCCGTGTAAAACAAGTTGTTGTTTTTTTCCCCAGACTCTAATTTCATTTCTTATAATGTGGCCTTTATGATGTCTTACGTTTTTATTTGATAATTTTGTAGAAGTAAATATACTCTATATGGTTTTCTGAGTCATTATTATTTCCATACATTTAAGTATAAATTCTACAAGGCAATTCCTGTTTATTGGTGTTGATGAACATTTCTTTGTGGAAGGTAGCTCATGTGGAGGTGGCAGGGAATGGAGGTTGTGGGTAGAAAGTATCTAAAAGAAAGCACTACATGTGCTGTAAGGGAACTCCTAAGTATACTGAGCTTTTAACAAATTGTTTAGAAATCCCAATTGTGTGTCCATAGTAGTTATGAATGTATATGTGTGCGGTTTTGGATAACCTTTGCGAATCCTTGTTCTCCAAATCTCTCTCTTTTTTAAATATATTTTATTGATTTTTTACAGAGAGGAAGGGAGAGGGATAGAGAGTTAGAAACATCGATCAGCTGCCTCCTGCATACCCCCCACTGCAGATGTGCCTGCAACCAAGGTACATGCCCTTGACTGGAATCAAGGTAGTTATGAATGTATATGTGTGCGATTTTGGATAACCTTTGCAAATCCTTGTTCTCCAAATCTCTTTAACAGCTTTATCTGCTTGCACTTCCTGTATTGAACAATTAGGTAGTAGATTTCACCAAAGGAATGACAGCGATTACCTGTATCCCATTAGCGAAGCCAGAGACAGGGCTCCCATCCTTCAACCAGGTCAGACTTGGGGCGGGGATGCCTCTGGCTTCACATTCTAACCTCACCAGGTTATTAACCACCACCGCCACCACGTTACTGCTGCCAGAAATGGATGGGGGCACTGAAAAGAGATAAGCAAGTAAATAAGCTATGTTCACATCACAGAAGATTTCACCTCAAAGTAATGAACATTATATGCAATGTCCACAGTAGTGTTTTCACATTGTGGGTTTTGGTATGTATATATATGGGGTTGGGGGGGGCATAGAGTTCTTTCACTTTTCTTATTTGGGATTCTAATCACATTTATCCTGTGAGGTAAGTAGGGCAATGATCAGTCTGGCCACCTTACAGATGAGGAAAATGAGGTTTTGTTACTTTGTGTAGGAAATCCAGCTTTTGATACCAGAGTGGATTTTTATTTCTTGATTTCAGGCTCTTGTGTGTGCGTGCATAGGTGCATGCATGTATGTATGTGTGTGTATGTGTGTTGATGTCCCTCCACTGTATCCACTCTAGTATGTTAACTACCAACTCCTCTTCAACGTATTAGAGATAACAAGTTGGAAACATTTGTTTAAAAATAAGATTCTCATAGACAGTACTGTATTTACAATCAGGGCTATTGTCTTTGCTGATAAGAGGGTTGGTGACTATTTCAACAATTCATCTAAAGCAAACTTAAGTTCGATACAGCATGTGAAAATAAAGCATTTTAATAGGAATCAGGAAATAAAAACGTTTATCAGTTTTAGAACACTGTACTCTTCTATAATGAGGATCCTAACACACTCTGTTAAATATTTACACTAGGATTTTATAGAAGGACTTCGTCATTTCGAAGGTTTCTTTACCCCAGGTGCATGCAGGGGAAGCAGCACTCACCATGGACTTGAAGACTGTAATATAATTCTGTGGCTCCAGCTGAGTTGATGGCCACACATTTATATATGCCAGCATCCGCGATCTGGGCGCTTTCAATCTCAATGATCTGCCCTCTGTTCAAGAAAGCCACACTGGTGGAACCTGCGAGCGGCCGGTTATCTTTGTACCATGTGATAACTGCAAGGGCAAGAGGGGAGAGGCCCGTCTGTTTAATTTGTTTCTTTGAAAAGCTCAATACCTGCACTAAATTAGAGCTTAACTAAAACAGTAACAACTGCTTTATTCTTGTGCTCATCATTTCAGTTTAATCTGTTTAAACTTTGCTTTAGAGAGATTTTTATGAGGAAGTAACCATAAGAAGAACATGAATAGCCAAGCCAGCATAAGAGTCCTGACAGTGAATTTATAAAAAAAAATTTATTTTGTCTCTCATGCATCAATATTGTTTGGGAGCAAATTTTTAACTGGTTCTATTTCTTTTTGTTGTACATATTCCTCTCTTCACATCTAATCAAGACCAAACATATATCCACTGTTAGCCTCAAAATATGTATTATTATTGACCCCTAAGAATAACTTACTAGTGATGAGAATAAAAACAATAATAGTCTCCTCAAATGACTGATGTGTAAAGATAACCAATATGGCCCTAGCTCAGGGGTGGGCAAACTTTTTGACTCGAGGGCCACAATGGGTTCTTAAACTGGACCGGAGGGCCGGAACAAAAGCATGGATGGAGTGTTTGTGTGAACTAATATAAATTCAAAGTAAACATCATTACATAAAAGGGTACGGGTTTTTTTTTTTTTTTTTTAGTTTTATCCATTTCAAACGGGCCGTATCCAGCCCGCGGGCCGTAGTTTGCCCACGGCTG